AGCTGTATAGTAAACCATCGATCAGCCCAAAGAAAATAAAAGAACTACAAGACGAAATGGACAGAGATGCCACCCAGCAAACACTCACAGAAATCCTTGACCAAGACATAAGCTCCGAAGAACTGTTGGCTTGTACTCGAGTGCTCAAGAAAGGGAAAGCAGTGTCGGAGGATTTAATCCCCAATGAATTTATCAAACTCTCTGGAAAACATATGCAGTGCGCTATACTGCATCTCTTTAACCTATGTTTATCACACAGAGTTTATCCCTGGGGAACATCTGTTGTGACGCCTCTGCACAAAAAAGGCAACATCTACGATCCCAACAACTATAGGGCAATTGCAGTAGCCAGCAACGTGGGAAAACTGTTTGCAAGTATTCTCCTCCAGAGACTTATAAAATTCCGTGCTGAGACAAACCCTGACACCCCCAATCAACTGGGGTTTTGCAAAAACGCGCAAACAGCAGATCATATATTGACACTGTCGACTTGCATAGAAAAATATGTAAAAGCTAACAAAGGCAGATTGTTCTCCTGTTTTGTTGACTACGCCAAAGCGTTTGATACAGTCTGCCGGGAGGCACTCTTGTACAAACTCTGGAAACTAGGCATCAAAGGAAGATTCTTTGGTTGCATGGAGTTCATGTACACAAACTCCAAAGCAAAAATCAAGCTCTTGAACAAGCTCTCTGAAAAGATCGATGTTCTTTGCGGGACTGAACAAGGACACCCCATGTCTCCAGAACTCTTCAAATGCTTCATACACCAACTATCAGAAGACCTTAATTCTATGGAAAATGTCGAAGTACCGTTACTGAAAAGTACTAGAGTAACCCACCTCCTCTGGGCCGATGACCTGATTCTGTTGGCTCTCGATCAAGAGAGTCTTCAAAGAATGTTAGAAGTTTTACACACCTACTGTCAAGAGTGGGGGTTATCGGTTAACATATCAAAAACAGCAATTATGGTGTTTAACCGGGCAGGACGGGTGCTCAAGGACAGTACTAATTTTGTCTACGGGGAAATGACCTTGCCATCAGTGCGTGAGTACACATATCTTGGAATTACGTTCACACTCACGGGATCATTAAAACTTGCTCAGATAAAGCTTAGACAAAAAGGGCTCCGGAGCTACTTCTCTCTCAAGAGTATGCTTGACCTCCGATACCTCCGGAAGACAACTGTGTTTAAGCTTTTCGACACTCTGATTGTTCCTGTTCTATCCTACGGGTGTCAGATCTGGCTTCCCATGACAAATTTCATGTCTATCTTTGCTTCGGGGAGTTATCCGGCTTCTCAGGATACAGCAAAAGACCCCCTGGAGAAAGTTCACCTATCATTTATGAAATGGACTATGAATGTCAACAAATCGACTTCAAACACCGCTGTGTGGGGTGACACTGGAAGATACCCGCTTGCCATCGAGCTTACGTCCCAAGTCTATAGCTACCTCGGGAGGTTGGAGGGACTGGACAAAGAGGGATGCTCTTCTTTAGTGAGGCACGCTTACGCCGAGCAGAGGGATCTGAAACTGTTATGGTTCTCCCGGCTGGAATCCACCAAGAACACAGTGAAAGAACTGACAGGAGGAAGTGATATTTCAAACCCGCTCAAAATCAGCGAGGCTATGAAAACCCTTTTCGTTCAACAATGGAACAAAGAGCGAAAACTCAACAGAAAACTAGGATTCTACAACCTCATCAAGGCAAGCTTCGGTTGCGAAACATACCTGTCGATCAACCTACGGCCACAGCAGACTAGGAGACTTGCGCAACTCAGAACAAGCTCGCATCAATACAACATCGAAACTGGAAGACACGGCATGCATCGACAAAAACTTTCGAATAGGGCATGCAAACACTGTTCTACTACAGATGTGGAGTCACTCGATCTTCTTCTAGAGCTTCCTTTCCCTGATCCAATCATCGAAGATGAACTTCATGTATTGCGTATTTGCCCTCTCTATGAAGATCTCCGCCATTGTTTGTCCCAACAAAGTAAAACATTACTCTTCTCTGACATTGGACAGATCTTCGCACACCCTACAACCATCGGAGACCTAGGAAGGTTCCTTACCAAAGCTCATGAACGAAGATTCCCTAAAGCATACTTACTTGTACTTGATTAGGTCTCCTCAATCATTCGAGTGGCCTGCACCAATGAACTCCCGTTTGTGACGTATCATCTCCCTCCAAAGTTTGCGGTCACTAGCCATCTCGCTCGCTCCTTCTAGGTCTATGTCAGTGTTTCCTGTAAACGCTGCAGCATCTTCCAGCAAACATTTCCTCCAGTTCTTTCTTGGACGGCCCCTAGATCTTCTCCCATGGGCAGGGGTCCAGTTAAGCAGGTACTTAGGAAGCCTAGTGTCTGGCATTCTGGTGACATGGCCAAACCAACGCAGGCGGTTTGCTCCTATGTACGTCTCTACTGGATTTATCTTTGCACGCTCCAGCACTTCAGTGTTTCTAACCCGATCGAGCCATCTTATCCTAAGTATTCTCCTCAAGCAACGCTGATGGAACACCTCAAAGCGATGTAGCTGCTTTTTGGTTGTGTTCCAAACCTCACTACCATATAACAATATTGTCAAAACCGCTGCCTTATAAATCCTGATCTTTGTATAAGACTGGATGTTGCGGTTTTTCCATATATTACTCAGTTGATTGAAGGCTCCGGAAGCTTTCTGAATCCTAGCTGACAACTCACGGTCGATAGTACCGTCGCTGGAAATAATTGTACCTAAGTACGTAAAATCACTAACTTGCTGCACTGGCGTGTCTTCAACAGTGATGTTCCGAGAATACTCGCTCCTATTGTTGTTGTCACTAGGCGCCATCTGTTTAATCTTACTGCGTTCTGCAATAAGGCTTTTTGTCTCCTGAGACAAATGCTGCTGCTTTCTGCGCCGGGGGCGCTCACCCAGTACCTCCATAGACACTTCTTTAATGGTATCCTTAACTAATGTCCATTCTCCATCAAGATTCTCCTCCATTGGTAGGCAGCTAAAACGATTTTGAAGAGCAATGCAGTACTCTTCAACCTTGGACTGATCTCTAAGATTCTCAATTGCTGGAGATATCCTACGAGAAGCGTTCATTTTTTGAACTGCCATAAGTTTGACTCTAAATTGACCCCGAACCAAATAATGATCGGAGCCAATGTCTGCACCCCTGCATGATCTTACGTCAAGTAGAGAGTGACTCCACTTGGTAGAAATACAGACATGGTCAATCTGATTTACTGTGCGGCCATCTGGAGACTTCCAACTTCCTTTATGAATATCACGATGCTGGAAAAGCGTCCCACCGATTGTCAGCTGATGTAATGCACAGAAATCTAATAGTCGAAGGCCGTTGTCATTTGATGAAACGTGAAGGGAATGCTTACCAATCACACCGGACCAAGCTGAATTATCTTGGCCAATGCGAGCATTTAGATCTCCAAGTAAAAACTTCACGTCATGAGCTGGTAGTTCATCAAATGCCCCAGATAGCTGCTGATAAAAGTCATCCTTTACCCCGACTGCTGCATCCTCAGTTGGAGCATAAGCTATCACAATCGAAATGTTGATATGTCGACTGTGCAGCCTCGCTGCAAGAATACGTTCTGATATCGGACTGTATGAAATCAATGAATTTTTAGTCTTCTTCGAGAGGACTAAACCTACCCCTTGTCGTCTGTATCCATCACTTCTTCCTGAGTTAATAAAGAGGGACCCATCATCCAAGGTAACCTCACCAGTGCCGGGTCTGTGCGTCTCTGTCAGCCCCAAGACATCCATTTTATATGCTGACATATTCTGTGACAATTCATACAGCTTTGAGGAACTGCTCTCCAATGATAACACATTCCACGTTCCCACATTAATGCTGTGTTTGATAAAGTTGCATGGGAGTGCTCTCCCCTTCTCCGGGTCCACATGAGTGATATGCTGTGAACTAATAACACTGTTGAAATAAGGCGACTTCTTTGTTCTCATCTGCACACTGGGGTCCTTGCGGCTTTGCCCAGAGCACTTCATCCTGGCTACACCCTTCCTTGAACTCCGAGAGTCACTCCACTTTTGGTTATTCATTGATGTTTCAGTAGCTATTTTAAGGCTGAAGGGTAGCTGGCCCCTCGAACCTGGTAGTTTTTTATCGACCTTTACTGGTCTAGATCCATAGTTTTTTGTTGCACCTCATCTGTTTAAACTGGAATCACCCAGAACAGATTACTGTACTTAATAGTGGCACCTCGTAAAGGGTGTAGTACTATGGTCATTGAAATAGGAGAGGTTATAAGTTACACGATCACTATTTCCTGAGATTATAAAAATCTCTTGCCACCAAAAGCATCCCCCAAACAAATTCCTAACATTAACAATATTGCCAAATTATAATCTATGACTCGGAACACTTTCAGAAAAGTTCATTTAAATTATTAAGTATTTTGAATCTCACTTACGGGGTTCATTGTATATATATTAAAATAAATCATTGTATATAAAATTAAATTTACCCAAAAGTCATAAAGTATATATATATACTTTATGACTTTTGGGTAAATTTAATTTTTTTATCTTGTCAGACATTACCATTGTAATTTGACTTTTGAATCGTTTAATCCGTTTAATCCGTTTAATCCGTTTACGACAATGTTATGCGTTTTTTCAAATATAATAGGCGGGTGTGGTGGTTCTAAAACGATTTAAATAAAAATGGAAAGCGGTTCAAGACGGGAGTGATGAGGTGTAATAGTCGGTGTTCGGACCTTATGATCATGGAATGTGGTGTCTAATAATGACACGAGAAAGAACTGATTATGAGATTATTGTTTAAGATACTATTGTATACGTGAGGGCACTCCGAATAGAATTGCTCACCTAATTCGGGTTTTGAATCAGCGGGTAATTACTCCTACCCTTTTTAACTGCGGCAGTGAAATCCCGGCCGAAGGCCGGGTTACACTAGTTAAGTAGTTAAGTCATAAAAGCACTGAAACCCGAGGTTAGCTCCACTCAAGAGAAAAAGAAACTGACCTGACAACTCGGAGGGGAGCTGATCAAGTACTCCTTTCCATTAAGACAGGTTATCTGAGAGTCTCCCTGAAGGGTGTATCCGGGAATACACCACAGTTCTACCACCGTCCCAACAACCACAGGGAAGGTAGTGTTTGTCTTGATGTTTGGAAGGTTGGGCAGTTCCGTGCATTCGTCTGGGAGATATTGGGATTATTCAAACAAAAATTATTGTTAAAATCTGCTTCCCGTTGGAAAGTTTTAGCACATACTATTATTACTAGTAGTAGTATATGGCCACTGGTCAGGTATACCCCGTAATTACGGACGGGATTCCTCATCAAAAGAACAGAAAAAAGTTGTTGCAAACCTAGCTGGCAACCAGGCATTGCATTTTCCACTAGAAATGTTCTGCCCTTCACACAGGTGATAGCATCATCTCCAACCAGCGTATATCTAGCTAAGCAGGATACCCTGACTGTAGTTCCGTAGTCAACAGGGAAGGGAGTGTCTGTAATCAGGTTGTATATATCCGGTAGATCCGAGCAAGTGTCTGCAGGCGAAGGGTTAATTAATAATTATCAATAGTTAAACTGTGATTAGATATACTTCAAACAACTTCGTCAACTCAATATATTATCGTGACGCTCAGAAACCCGATCAATTTAGGTCTTAGGATAATTCCTACTTATTCTTAAAGCTATCCTGACCAAAGCCCGACTCAACCCTGACGTCTTGTAGATAATAAACCTACAATAACCCTGACGTCGGGCTAACCGTACTCACCAATAGAGCAAGTAGGCATGCTCTGCTGAAAAGTGTACTGATCATCTGTGACACACGTGACAACACTGTCTCCTGACGTGTGGGTAGTTCCAGTCTCACACATCACCATTATTTGGGTCCCCGCGGGTACAGGGAAGATGCTGTTTGTTGCTAGGTAACAGTTTGGAGGTAGCTCTGTACATTTGCCTGGTGTGAGAGTGAGGAATACATTTGTGTTGTTGGTGTTTTCACTTAATTAATAGCGTAATCTACATAGTTAGAACAAAGATAAGGGTTCATTAACAGATTTCAGATTGATTTGGGATGACATTTTTAGACTACCAAGATGGAGTAACAAACCTTGTTCATTACAGCGTGGTGTCTCTTCGAACGTAAAAGAAGTTTTATCATCACACGTTATAGAACTGTCACCTGAAATAGATCACGTGATTAAGAGCTCTAGAAATCTTGGCACTTATCCAAGAAGCTGACGGTAGAGGTTTGAGACACAGAGATTATCAAGATATGATCTCCTGCGAGGGGTGGGACTCAGATGATGGAACCCATCACCCATGTGTAACAAAGTATCTCATCAGTGGCTTCACCTCCAAACTCTGTTTCTGAACTGAAATCATGGTGTCGTCCAGACACGATTTTTGATTTTTGATGAAAAATATGTTTAATAAACTGGACTTACCACGTAGTTGAGCTCCAGAAGCAGGGTCGCAGAGCACAGTTACCACAGTACTGTGGGCAGTAGGGAAACTTGTTGTGGTGGTGATGTGGTCTATATGAGGAGGTAACCCAGTGCACCTCTCTGTGGTAATATGAGTTAGTGGTGTTTACGGGATCTGCACAGCTGAACATGGTGGAAAACTCAACTTTCGCCGGTAGAATTCTACAGTAGATAAGAAAGGAAGCATACCGACTATTACGAAAGATTAAATCGTGAAAGGGATTTCGACTGGCATCCATGGGCAGGCGATGTATTTTGTTTTGAATAAGAAAAAAAGTGTAATGAACTGGTTATCATCATCACTATTAAAAATACTGGACCTACTTTCCACACAACTCGGCTCCGCCTCATGCACGAACTCAGTTCCACTCTGGCATGTAATAACTCCATCCCCCTGAAGAGAGCTCCCACTCTGACACGTGACTGTTACTAGGGAGCCGTACTCCACAGGGAATTCGGTGCCGGGTGAAGTGAGGTTTGGAATGTTTGGAACTCCTGTGCACGTGTCTGAGGGATGGCACAGGATTACAAACGATTACACAGGATATGTAAAACGTTTTAAAGTGTGCAAAATACTGTCTCAATTATCTAATAGTTTAGTTTATTGATTAATCGTCAAATAATTTACTATCCCAACATATTTAACCAGATTTAATTCTCACCTTTATCGCACTTAAAATCTCCATCTCCATCAAACACCCTGTCTCTGACACAAGTAACCAGACCAGCACCACCTGCAACATGAGAGTGACCTTGCTCACACGTGAGGGTTACCACGGTGCCGGGTGGAACGGGGAACGTTTCACTGGGCAGCATGTTCGTGTAGGTTTGGGGTAGCCCGCTACAGGACACTGAAGTAGAATAATATACTCTTTAGTCATTAGTGTGACAGAATATTCGGTTACTACGGATAAATATTTGTATCGCCGCTGTCGATCTGAAAAGCTGTTAAATATCTACATTTTACAATAGTATAATCTCTGTCATACTCTCAAAGAATACCATTAGAGTACCACAAATTACCACAAATTACCACAAAAAGTTCCTAAAAATCATATCTTACCACACTCCGTTTTATCCTCACTGGCTGCGCTGAATACCGGACACTGGATGCAGATTCCCGCCCCTTCAGCACTGTAGTGATTAGCTTCACACGGTTTACACACTTGCATAGATGTGTCCTTGTACGTACCGCCTTTACATAGAACTGAAAACAAAGAACCTTAAAATTAGATTGTGCTCTCGGTACTTTTTGTAAAATAATCGAGGAAAATTATGTTATTTTATTTTTAGAGGGGAGGCTTTAAAATAGAACCATATGTTTCGCAAAGATTCATATTTACCACATGAGTTGAGCCCAGAGCTCGGTTCTTCTCCCACTTTACCACAGACCACACATTCTGTCATGGTGGAGTCCCTGTACCTTCCTTCTGGACAGGTATCTGAAGGTGGAACTTTACGCAGAGTTGGAAATGCTTGCAGAGGGAAAAATCATGTTTTGTTTATCTATTTTGGTCCAGTTGACTCGATATTGGTTAATACAATGAATATAAATCCGGAAGTGGTAAGTTATAACCCCATTCCCCTGAATTAGGTAATTTGATGAAATATAAGTGATATTTTTCATACAGTTATGGCAACAAATTTATTTTTCTGACTACATATGTATTGGGAAAATCATGTCCGGTCTCTCTATAATCTTCAGTATTAGTATAATGTATTTATTGATACATGTTATGTATCACAAATATCAGAGATATTATTATTATTTCCGCCTTCGGCGGCGCGCGCTTCGCGCGCGAAATGTGGCATGCAACGTATGTCAATCCAACACCTCATCACAACCTTACTGGGCGGCGCTCAGCCTGTCATTCTGCCGACTGACAGTGTTTTTAAACATGATAGCCTGGGGGAGGGGTCGGGGGTCCCCAGGTAAATCATGATCCAACCTCTCTCAAAATAATACATACCACAGGAAGTCCTGTCGGCATTAGAAACTGTTCCAATAGAGCAAGAACTACAAGAAAGAGATCCTGCTCTTGAACTGATTGAGTTGAGTGGACATTTCGTACACATTGTTTCAGAGCTTTTGTAGTTTCCAGGTCCGCAGTTAACTAGAGGGGAGAATTTAAATTATCATTATTGTTATTATGTCTTTATTATAAAAGGAGTATAATAAGTATAATCAATAAACAAGGCACACAAAAATTGCAGATTGCTACCCCTTACCACAAGCTGAAAAATCAGAGTTAGGGACTGTTCCGGGACTACACCCCCCACATGCTGCAGATCCAGCAGAGCTGACTCCGTTCGGACCGCAAGATAAACATTCTTGTTCATTTCCAGATTTCTTGGTTCCGGCAGGGCATGATACTGAAATTAATGGTTGGTTTATTGTGTAAACCATGCATCTTTGATAGATAAATTACCTTGTCGGACGTTTTTTTTGGCAGAAATTTCGTGGGAGGACATAATTATGGGCGTACAAATTTATTGGAAGTACATTGTACAAAGTAGTTGGACTTTAAGTTGAGCGAACATTATGTGAACCTTCAGAGCTCACAAAATGTCCGACCAAATAAAGTCCTAGCATAACACTGACAACTGTTTAGTGTAAACAGGATGATCAATTTTGTAATCCTTTGAAATTGACCAATTCTCACCACAAGCTGAAAAGTCAGAGTTAGGGACTCTTCCGTCACCACACCACATACATATAGCAGATCCAGCAGAGCTGACTCCGTTCGGACCGCAAGATGAACATTCTTGTACGTTTCCGAATTTTTTAGTTCCGGCAGGGCATGGTACTGAAATTGGAAATGATTTATTGGGTTAACCATCCATCTTTGATAAATAACTATTTTAAACTGCACGACTCCGTTTACACATCAGAAAACACAGACAACTTTAAACTCTGATCAATTCTAATTATTTGAGATTGGTGAATTCTTACCACAAGCTGAAAAATCAGAGTTAGGGACTGTTCCGTCACCACACACCCCACATGCTGCAGATCCAGCAGAGCTGACTCCGTTCGGACCGCAAGATGAACATTCTTGTACTCTTCCGAATTGTTTAGTTCCGGCAGGGCATGGTACTGAAATTGGGAATTGATTTATTGGGTAAACCATGCATCTTTGATTGATAACTATTTTAAACTGCACGCCTCAGTTTATACACCAGAAAAACAGACAACTTTAAACTCTGATCAATTCTAATTATTTGAGATTGGTTAATTCTTACCACAATCTGTAAAATCAGAGTTAGGGACATTTCCGTCACCACACGACATACACATAGTAGATCCAGCTGCAGAGCTGACTCCGTTCGGTCCGCAAGATGAACATTCCTGATCGTTTCCAAATTTCTTGGTTCCAGCTGGACATTGTTCTGAAATTATTAAATATTTGTTTTTTGGAATAGGTAATTTTCGAAAAACTTAATTTTCGGCAAACTTAACCTTCAGGAGACCAAACATATCTCTTAGTCTTACCACAAGCTGAAAAATCTGAGTTAGGGACTGTTCCGGCTCCACACGCCCCACATCCAGCAGATCCAGCAGAGCTGACTCCGTTCGGACCGCAAGATAAACATTCTTGTACGTTTCCGGATTGCTTAGTTCCGGCAGGGCATGGTACTGAAATTGGAAATTGATTTATTGGGTAAACCATGCATCTTTGATGGATAAACTATTTTAAACTGCACACCTCCTTTTACACACCAGAAAACACTTAACGGGTAATACTCGTAAAATATTTGTTCCAAATATTATCCAGGACTGTCGACGAGTCCAACTCGGCGCGCGTCCTGGTACTGGTAGGTTATAAACCTACAAGAAAACACATAACAGACAACTTTAAACTCTGATCAATTCTAATTATTTGAGATTGGTTAATTCTTACCACAATCTGTAAAGTCAGAGTTAGGGACATTTCCGTCACCACACCACATACACATAGTAGATCCAGCTGCAGAGCTGACTCCGTTCGGACCGCATGATGAACATTCTTGTACGTTTCCGAATTGCTTAGTTCCGGCAGGGCATGGTACTGAAATTGGATATTAATTATTTATTGGGTAACCGTAAACCATGCATCTTTGATAAATAACTATGTTTAGTTAAACTGCACGCCTCCGTTTACATCCAGCAAAACAGACAACTTTAATTTTAAACTCTCATCAATTCTAATTATTTACGATTCAAGATTGGTTTATAATTCTCACCACAATCTGTAAAGTCAGAGTTAGGGACATTTCCGTCACCACACGACATACATATAAAAGATCCAGCTGCAGAGCTGACTCCGTTCGGACCGCAAGATGAACATTCTTGTTCGCTCCCATATTTCTTGGTTCCGGCTGGACATTGTTCTGAAATTTGAAACTGACTATTTTTCTTATTGACCAAGTAAAATCTCAAAAAAAGACTTAGCAATATTAATCATAGTCACGTGTCATAAAAATATATAAATCACCAATAGACTCACCACAATCAGTCCGGTCTGGGTTAGACATCTTTCCATTACCACACGACGAACACTCAGATTGCCCCGCAACTTTGCTTATAGAACCAGCAGGACACAGCTCACATTGTGTCATGGTACCAGATCTGTACTTCCCCACTGGACAAGCCACTGTAATAATAAAATATTTGTTAATTTTAGCCTTTAGGGAAAAGTCATTTTCGGGAAACGTCTGGAAACTAAAATATTTTAGTTCTGGTTCATTAAATAAAGTTGGTAATACCAAATATACCAAATATAAAACCGATTTCAAGTTTATTTGACACTTTACACTGAAAAAATTCACAACAATGTTTTGAATCAATCTATTAAAAATATAACCGCTCACCACAGCCACTTCTTTTTTCATCGGCCTTAAATCCCTCTGTACACGAGATGCACTCCGTAGCACCAGGCTCTGTGGTGAAAGAGGAAGGACTACAAAAATAACACTCTACATCGTCTGATGACTTGCTTGTCCCAGGTGGACATGGATCTGAGGGATTAGTGTGAGGGGTAAGTGTGAGGGGTAAGTGTGAGGGGGAAGTGTGAGGGGTAAGGTAGGTTGTATTTTGTAAGTTTGATCTAGAGGTTCGATTGAGGAGTGAGTATGATATATACATAACACACACATACATATCCTTTTTATGATAAAACTTAGATAAATTCTAATTAGATATCTAGTTAATAATATATCTCACCGCAGGCAGATCTCTCACTGTTGGGTGTTTGACCTGCTTCACATTCAACACAACTTGCGCTGCCAGCCGAGCTAGTGAATCGAGCGGTAGGACACCGATAACAATTAGACATCCCTTCTGCTCTGTACTGACCCACCGTGCACCCAACTGATGGATTAGAGGTCAGAAATAACAAATACCAACAAATACCAATAAATACCAACAAATACCAACAAATACCAACAAATACCAACAAATACCAACAAATACCAACAAATACCAACAAATACCAACAAATACCAACAAATACCAACAAATACCAACAAATACCAACAAATACCAACAAATACCAACAAATACCAAAAAATGCTAAGAAATACCAACAAATACCAACAAATACCAACAAATACCAACAAATACGAACAAATACGAACAAATACCAACAAATACCAACAAATACCAACAAATACGAACAAATACCAACAGATACCAACAGATACCAACAAACACCAAGGAATACCAAGGAATACCAAGGAATACCAACAAATACCAAAAAATACCAAGAAATGCTAAGAAATGCTAAGAAATACAAAAAATATGCAAGAAATGTGCAAGAAACAGTTGGTCCGTTGGAACTAATTGTACCGTCCAATAAAAAAGCTATTATATCACCAAATATTAAATGATACAAAACACATCCTTTAAAGCTACATTTTAACAGATTTTAAGAAAGAATAGATCCGAAACAAAATCAGAGAGCAGCAGGGGACAGTCGTAATACTTAATTGCTCACCGCAAGAATCATGCTGCGAGTTAGCAATCTGCCCAAGAGGACAAGTTTCACAGGAGTCTACAGTACCCCTAAAACTGTACTCCAGCACACCAGAACACGGAGAGCAAACATAACCTCCTGGTCCAGATATTTGATAACGGTAGCGTCCTGCTTGGCAGGGCTCTGAAATTAAAATGCCATCACTTTTGAGGATGGGCTTAGTTTTATTTTGGAAAATATATTCTTTAAAACTGTCCATTTTGACGCTCTCTTATTCAACCTCATATGTCTAACTTTAACATGACCTGGATGATATGGAACGATATTTAAGAAAAGAGCCCGATCTATGAAAGCTAACCGTTCACGTGTTACCGAATGAAGTTACCTTGAATAGAGTACTCGGCTACGACCTGCCAATAGTAATACGATGCTCCCCATCCCGTGTACTGCACAGTGCTTACCACCATCTGTATCTCATCAAATGCAACGAGCTGCCGATCCCAACGTTCTTCTTGCTCATTCTTTCCGTTTATGTAGAAATCCTTCAACGTCTGGGTCCCGGAGAGGTGGTGCTCACATATGATGTAGAAAGTGCTGCCTATCTTCCCGAGCAAGGCTACCCTGGTGTGATATGATTCTGATGACCCACTGATCCTATTTGATGCCTTTATCTTTGCTGTAGTCAACTTTGTTATCCAGTGGTCTTGCTTGTTTTCAAACTTCCAGACAATCCTATCTTTGTAAGCATCCCAGTCTTTCACTGGATTGTCCGAGTCGTCATAATTTCGGATACTATTACCATTCTCATTACTTCCAGACTTTCTCTCTGTCGAGACTGAAAACAAAATATTTTAAAATTTTAGCAACACTTAAAGTTAATCATCTACTTCTAGACTGCAACGAATATCGGAAGTTCAAAACTACTAATACAACGCAGTATATCACCACAGCTAGTTTTATCAGAGGTGGCGGTGGTGACTCCAGGACAACTCCAGCACTCGAGCAGATATCCTCCTTCACTGTAGGTGTTACCCTGGCAGATCTCACAGTAACCACTGTAAGAACCGCCTCCTCCACCGTTAACACTGCCTCCTCCACCGCTATAATCGCCTCCTCCACCGCTATAATCGCCTCCTCCACTGTCGTAAGGAGGATCGGTAACCACGCGATCATCTTCTTTGAAATAGGTCCCAGCTGGGCAGTTTCCTGAAATAAAATGGAAATAAAAAGGAGCAGTTAAACTTATGACAGATATTCAGTAAATTCATTATCAGCCCCTATTTTGCCGTAAAACATATTCCTGACCTTAATTTGTTGCTAGCTGGCCTTAAAAATTGGGAAAATACAGAAAGTACAATGCTACTAGTACTTATCAATTTTAGTATTCGCCTTTGAATCACTCGACAAAGATGATAAACTACGATATTAGTATTACGAAACATGGAAGTCTTAAGGTGGTCAGAATAGAAACAAGTCGATTTATTTATCAGGGGCCAAATTCAAATCGTTACTTTTTTAAATACAGGTATTCATACAATCGAACAAAATAAAGTTTGGTAAGGTTTGTATCTATAGTCAATAACATGGCTATCTATAGTCTATACCTATGGCATGGCATGGCTATTGCAATGAAATGAACTAAAAGATTAATAAGCAAATAAAATGTATTTAATCGTAGAATTAAATTATAACTTGCTCGAACCTGGATAAAAGTTAATTCGCAGCATTACGAAAATTTGTATTTTTTCACAATTTGTATGAAAAGCCACCTGTTGACAAATTATTGTTTGATTTTGTCAACCCATGTTTCTAAACGAATAAGCGATAAAATTTCACGGCGCGATGACACAATGTGTATCTCAGTACACATAACCCATCAGTTGTAAACATCCAACCATAATTAGCAAAAGCAGTGGATTGAAAAAAAACCAGAACAGCAATCAATCAAGCTAGAAAATTACCTTGATCGTACGCGTTTGCCATTGGCAATGTAGTCATCATGATTACTGTTAGTGCTGACACTGACAGTAACATATAACAGATCATCGCTTAATGCTACGGATACAAATAATTAATAATTCAATTCGCAGTAATTGTTAATCTATCACAAATATAATGTCTATAACTCTAAGTCTAACTTGCAAATTTGTCTTTCAGTATCAAAATATATTTTAAAAATCTTCCAACTGATAGTGATACTATAAGAATTTTAATCAAAGTCGAATATCAAATTCGTACGATTGAGTCTATGCACCGAACAAATAAAAATATTTAAGTATATCAGTTTGATAGAATCAGTTATAGCTGAGGCTGTTACGGGCAAATATCACACTTTTCTGCTCGAGCCCTGGGACTTCTTTTAGGGTTCTTATATGATAGAATGAAGTGTACTTAAAAGGATTTTAAAGATAATGATAGTTATCCAAAAGTTTGCAAACGAAAGTTACAAAAATTAACCAAAAATACCAGCAATTTTCAATTTTTCCCAGAAAATTAAAATATCTCGATTCGCGATGGTTTATAAAACCATCATTATTAATCGCCTGCCACAATGTGGTCATTTTGCATTCTCTACGATTGAGCTCCTGAGTGCCTTCCTAGCATGGCAGAAATAAATTTTTCAAGCTTGTTCTTTGTGTTCGGGAGAAAATATTTTATAGCTAGTTGTGCCCATCAAATCTATTTCTATAACTCGTTTTGGTGGTTCCTCAGACTATGGAAAACATGCATTCCTGTACAAAAATGTGGAAACTTATTTCCTAGAAAATATTTATAATGAATTAAATATTTGGGCTGTTTCTCAGTCACCGGGTGCATATGGAGCACCCTATTTCAAAATAAAATCGCGACGAAACCTTAAATTGAATATAAAGGTCCTGCATAGTAGAAAAACGTTCGCAATCGTTTGTATAAAATATGTTATGACAGATCTTACTGGTCGGCGCTCAGCCTGTCATTCCGCCGAATCTTTTTGTTTATGAACATAATAGCCTTGGTCCCCAGGTAAGACAGATCAGGATTTGCTACAAGGAGTCTGATTTTCGAGGGACCGACTACTGGTTACTGGTAGACACTAGAGAGTATAGTAAGCCACCAAGAGCACAAGAGCTTATGAACATTGCATCTCTGACCCGGCATACAGATCCCTTTTCAACAAGTTAATCGCTCCGACAATACCATTAGTTTAAGTAAACCCACTCACTAAAAACCGAGTTAGATCCCCAGAGTCAGATCCCCAGCTGACTCAACCAATACCATATAAGGCAGGGTAAATGGGGGGTATATCAAGGACTTGTCCATATATAAGGGATTGACCCAGGCCCGCTACGTCGCAGCTCTTTGCCCGGGGTCAATATTATAACAGAGCTGTCCCAATAACATTAGTGAACTAGTAGCTTACTACTCACTAACTCAGGCCCTTCACACTTTGTTTCTGTCGGCTCAGTTTGTTTTGGTCCGGGCCTTGCTTGCTGACCCTGCCATGGCTCTCTAGCTTGGGCAGGTGTGACTTATATACATATATATAATATATATATATATATACTTTGTTTCTGTCTGGCTCTAATATACCGTTACAATAATGACTTTAATATATAAGCATATACCAGTGCATCGTGCCATTGCAGCTGTCTCAATATCATTAGTGAACTAGTAGCTCACTGCTTACTCGCCATGGGTTATAATGGACTTTGTGAGTATGCTCTGTAACGTGTAAAAACTATTTTAGTCGTTCTAGAGAGCATCAGCAAGGAAGTATCATAGTTACATATTATGTATGTGGTATAAATATTGAAGAAGCTGTGGCTCTAGCTGGTGAAGAGTGCATGTATCAGAGCATCGACCCAGGATGTGTAAAGTACCCTGGATTCACGAGTACAAATTGTAATCAAGTGGTGCAGTGCCTGAACGGTGTTAACTTAGATCTACAAACTTATAACTACCCATGCTTGAGATGTACAATTAATTCATATTCATGTGCAAAGACGGAAATATTTCCTTGTTGCTTGTGTTTAACTAAATAATTTAAAATCGTACAGAAAGAGAGAGAAATTGGAAAAAGCACCTAAAATCTTCGGCCGTTATTTACTCGGTCGGAGATGAAAGCGTTGAATTCCACCTAGGTCTTTTGATTTGAAAGTTTAGGGATCAAGATTGGTTTACTTTTTACGGATTGCGGTCTTTGCTTAGTTAACACTGTTAATTGTCAAACGATATCTTGTAAAATTATTTGTAATCGGTGAACATATTCTACTATACAGTATTAGTACAGTGTATTTACACAAATCTACTTTAAGCAATCTCCTACCATTTTGATATTAGTTGTATATCTGTTATTAGAGGATCTGATTGGTAAATATTTAAAAGAAAGCAAACTTCAGAGATCTGCTTCAATCTTATAAGTGGAGATTTTAAGCCGTTTGAGGAAGACGCCCACAAACATTTGCTATATTAGGGCACTCAAGTTCGTGTCAGCTGACAAATCTTGAGCTCAGAGCAATGGCTCATTTCACACTTGGGCGTCTTTTATAAATGGCACGTCCGCAGCTAATTTTCCAAGTATTGCTCCTGAGCGTGTTATTATTGGTAGAGATAATGGATCGCAAGGATTCTGTAAAAGTGTCATATATGATCAATAGAAATGGGAAGCCACTTGTAGTACTTTCATCAGACGAAATACTCAACCTTTATTGATCGTGTGTGCCAGGTTTGATAACCTTTTCGTTCCATCTACCGATCACCCGATCTGCCTTCCAATATTTTCACATATTGATAACTTTTACCCGTTCTAACTGTGCTATGAAGTGTTGGTGTCAAGACTATAAAATATATATATGTGATCGTTAATAAGAGCTCAGGCTAACTGGGAAGAACACTAGTTTTCAATTTAATAATTCTGAATGCTGAATACATGATCCATCATTGATCAAGAGAAATGTAATATTTGCCTTATTTCCCTGGGTAACTTTTGGTAGTTGTGAAAAAGCGTCTTTCATTTTTCAAGAGAAGTATCATGTACAAAACGTATACAACAAAAATTTTGCCGCGGTTAAACCACGCACGATCAAGTTTCCGAAGGAGCAGACTTTTTTCACCGTAGGGCCGTCGAGCCACCTCATACAATATATCCAAACCCGATTACTTATTCCCTACGATCTTTTTGCCTTCGGCAAGAGTAGGGAAAAAATCATTGAGCTTCCTCGGACCGAAATCGAACTTCCAGCACCTCAATCGTGTCATAATTCCAAAAAAATTATACTTATAGTTGCCATATTCTTGAAATTTCATCTTCAAAAACCGAAAATGGGACAGTATGATTTTTCAATTTTTTTCGGGATTTTGACTTCCAGTACTTCAATTTGGTTTCATACCATCATCAATTAACTAACTAATTGGTCTCTGGGCAAAAGTCTCTGGGCGAAATTTTCATACTTCGAAATGGGACAGAAATTGGATTAAATATGAATTTCGTTTTGTTAAAGTTAGTTTTGCTTGTAATCTGCAATACAAGCAATAGCGGATGATGATTAATCACTCTACACTCGACTGTCACGTGACTTTTTCAACCCGTTCTCTAGCTAGTTCTGAACGACTTTTCGAAACCCTAACCCTCTAATCTGATCCCAACCCTAACCCTAACCCAATCCTTAACAAAAACATATGCTGAAACCCTAACCCTAACGAGAAATTAGACTAACTTCCTTATATGGTCATATCACGTGATCGATACAGTTTTTCGCCAATATCTCGTCAGGGGAGCATTTTAACCCTATGTCATGGGGGGTGATTCGGAATCAGCGTCCGAAAATACATCGATTGAAGTGGGTTACAACCGTCGGGGGCCCTTTTAGAACAATCTCGAAGATCGACTGTAGAGTGATTTAGCACGCTCGAGCAATAGCATTAGCATACTTATTCTTAACCTTGTCACACGTTGTAAATCCGTTGCGCGGCTGTATCGGAGCAATGGGGGTCACGACCTGATACACAACACAAACTTAACCCAGGTCCAGATAATAGCAATAACCAAAGTCATCTCAAATTAATGTACCAAAGTCTGAGAGGGCTTGTCCCCTTTAGTGGCCTGGCATCCAAAAACATGCCACTGGATGCTGGTAAACTACTTTTTTTATAGAGCTACAATCTAAGAGCTGAACATGACGTACAAGACAATTATAGTAAACCACACCCCACGAAGGGTGTACAGGAACCGGAGGATGTGCACTGTAGTGTATTCTACCGTAATTTATTTCCGCATTAGTACCCATACCCGTAAAATATTCATTAAATGTTTTAGCAGTAAGACTGGCCTCCAGCTCGCCATTTTTAAGATTCAAGTAAATCGTTGATTGACGATGTCAATCCGTCGAGATCGTTGCTCTGCGAAGCAAGAATGCTAGTTTGCGCGGCGCGTCGAAGCGGCGAAGTCCGATCCAAAGCTGAAATGAATTGACATCGTCAATTAAGTCGGAATCTTGTAGCGCGATGCGTTACTGTGCCGCGAGATGCGCTAGATCGGCGAGATGCGCTACTGTACCGCGCCGACTCGCCGAGCTGAGATGAATTGACATCGTCAATTAAGTCGGAATCCTACTTCTAGCACCACAATCGTGAATTGTGTTTTATGCCAACTAATTCGTCCTTGACACGGCCAAAGGCAAAAGTATCAATTTGATTTTTAGATTTAGGGATGCTGCAGAAGATCGAGTACTATAAAATACTGAACGAATTTATGTGATCCCTGTTATCCCAGCAGGCTAAAACTAAATCTTAGCGTAGTCTGAAAAGTGAAAATGCCAAAAATTTCATTTTTTCATGACCATGAACACTTGCTAAATTAATATTCATCCAGTTTGCTTATAGTCTCTGAATGTGGCTCGTTTCTTTTTGGCTCTAGAATAAATTAAGTAAAACAAATACGGATAGAGGGGATGGCCAGCCAAGTTAAATTGATATCTGACGTTAAGTGTACAAATTCTTTTGTCAAAATCATCAGTTTTTGATCGCTTAAAACGTTTAAAACATCAATGAGTTTTGGACACAAACAATGCACAAGGACGTGAATAGATGTGGATTCTGCTGGGGAGGTAATTATACCAATAACCATATATGGAATAATTTCATGGATTGATCACGTGTCAACTTTCACTCTTTCAGGTAAACAAATATGCCTCATCTCCCTACCAGAATCCACATTCATAAACATATTAATCGTACGACACGAATTTATGTACATTGATAGTTACTTGATAATAGTGGCATAACATCAAATTCAAAACAACTGTAGAAAAGTAATTTTCAATATTTTTTTTATTGAAAATCTTTTCAAAATAGTACATACATCAATGTAATTGCATGAAAATAACACGGTCAAAAAGTGATTTCTATGTACTATAATGACGGGAAACCAGAACGTAGTTCGTGCAAAAATTACACCTACAAAATATGGTCCCTGACAAAACATTTCATACATACAATCAACACATATAAATGTAAGATATATAGTAATAGAGATGATTGTGCAATAATAAAATACAGCGTGCATAAAATATCATAATATTAATAATTTGTTAATTTTTTAATGAAATAGATTATATCATACAATACTTTTAAAAACCCAACCCACAACCCAACCCACCCCTAACCCCTTAAATAGTTTGGATCGGTTATTTTAGATTAGAGAATTGGCATTGGGAGAAATGAGATGCATCTAATCATTATCAGACAGGTAGAATTCAGCGTGACTATCGTTTGGATCTGTGGGTAGCATTTCCGACCATAGGTGATCCTTAAGTTTGGCCTTGAAGATATCAGGACAGCTATGGTCTCTTATTTCGAGAGGAAGTTTATTCCAGAGCAGATGTGTCCGATAAAAGAATGATTTCTTAAGGAGACTGCTATTACACTGTGTTTGAACAAGAGTCGTTACATAACTTAGGCTGTCATGGTGACATGATCTTAAGCGTGTGCTTCCTTTGTATAGTTGTAAGTAATTAGGAAGCTCTTGTGTGCATACACCATTGACTATTTTGTGAAACAAGGTCAGGTCATTCAATTCAAACCTCTTGCTGAGAGGAAGGATTTTCAATTGATGACATTTGTAAGTATAGTTTTCAAAGGACTGATAGCTTGTGAATTCCTCATCAAAAATCCACTTAATACACCTTTTTTGAAAAGCATCCATCTTATCTAGTTGTGTTTTATTAAATGGACGCCAGATTTGGGAACAGTGTTCAAATTGACTTCTAACAAGTGCAAGATATAAATTTCTTCTTCGTCTCTCATCTTGGACAAATGAGCAAGTGCGTTTCAGCAGCCCAAATTTTTGGTTAGCTTTGGACATTATTTTAGTTATGTGTTCTTCAAAACGAAAGCCCTGATTTATAACGACTCCAAGATCTGTTTCCGTACTGGTGTAATCTAAGGGAGTATTACCGAGCAAATATTGAAATCTGATAAATGGAATAGGTAATATCCTACTGCTGAATTTCTTTCCAGGAATAGAGAGGACTTTACACTTTGATGGATGGAATCGCATCTTATTTTCTATGCTCCAAGAATTAAGTTCATTTATGTTATTCTGAAGTGTGCAATAATCGTTGTATGATTTAATAGGACTCCATATTTTCGTGTCATCAGCATAAAGTACCAAATTTGTGCCTGAACTTAATCTCATGGGAAGATCGTTTATGAATAAGACAAATAGAATGGGACCTAGGACGGAGCCTTGAGGAACTCCAGACAAAACAGGTTTGATCTCTGAATGTCTACCATCAACTAAAACACATTGTTCCCGTTCACTAAGATAGTTGGTTAGGAATTTGAGTAGCCTTCCTTCAATATTAAAAACGAGTTTAAGTTTCTTAAGAATAAGATCATGATTTACAGAATCAAAGGCTTTAGCAAAATCAAAGTAAATGATGTCTACACTTATAGTCGAACAGTCATTGAGGGATAGCGTGACACTGTCAATAAAGTTAATCATATTTGTGGTACAAGATCTGTCTCCAAGAAATCCATGCTGTCTATCATCAAGAAGATGCATTGTTTTATTCAAGAGTTCCTGTTTAATAAGGCGTTCAAATGTTTTCATTATAAGACTAGTTAGGGAAATCGGCCGATAATTCTCAATGTCCTCCTTACTACCCTTCTTGTGAACCGGAACTACGTGAGCCAGCTTCCATTCAGTTGGAATAATACCGGAGTTATATGATATCTCAAATAAAATTGAAAGTGGGCAAGCGAGACTACCAGCACAGTTCTTCAGTATCTTACCATGGATACCGTCAGGGCCGCAAGCTTTGTTAGAATTAATGTTCCTTAAGAGATGTTTTATATTCTCTGCACAGAAAGTTAAGTCGAATTCAGTATCACTTCTCCAATCAATATCAATATCATACTTAGATTCGTCAGAAAATTGTTTTGAGAAATACTGATTGAACATATTTGCTTTGTCTAATGGAGATTCTCTGTATGTTTCTCTAAGGTACATCCTATCCGGTATTCTTGAATTCTTTGAAGAGGATTTTACATGCGACCAGAATTTCTTTGAGATCAATGCAGGGTCATCATCGTTATATAGATTATCGTTCATCTTCTGATCAGATAGATTTTTGAACTGTGTTCTTAGTGAGCAAAACTTAAAATAATCCTTTTGTTGGCCGGTTAGTTTCCACTTTTCATGAGCTCTTTTTTTCTTCAAGTATGCCTCATGGGCCTCTGAGTCAAACCAGGGATTTCTATATGCTAACTTTAAAGTAATAGTTGGGATATGCTTTGAGATACTTTTCGATATTACAGACTTTAAGGCAAGCCAACAATATTCAGGATCTCCTAGCTTTAAAAACATAGCATTCCAGTCAATAGAATTCAAGTCTTCGTTAATGGCCGTCCAGTTTGCCTTCTTAAAGTTGAGAATCTTTCTTTTAGGACATTTAGAATAAGTGATTTTTGTAGCAACTTTAAAAGCTATTGGATAATGGTCAGATTTGCAAGCACCGTGACCCTTCAATACCGTAAGATCTCTTACTAAATTTTTACAATTACTCAAAAGAAGGTCTAGTATGTTACCCTTAACATGTGTAGGACTACTTATACATTGATCTAGATCAAAGTTATGGAATGTTGTAATGAAGTCCTCTTCAATTAAACTAGAAGGTGTAACAATTCCGTCCTCAGAAAACCAATCTACTCCATTGAGATTAAAATCACCAACGATGAAAAAATTGCATTTACAATTTATTTTAATCTCTTGATCTGAAGATCTGAAGATCTATATAATATAATAAGCCAACGGCTCATAAAAAATATCAAGTCTAAGCATTTATACAAAACTATATGGCCTCGTTCAGACCGAATGTCTTACCTTTGTCCACACATCTGGGAAGGGAAAGGAACTGATAGGTGGTGCCCACCTCACAGAATATCACCTCACTTCCCAACAAGGTGAGAGTATCCGAGTCACATGAGACTGTCACGGGGGTCCCGTACAACAGGGGGAAGGTAGCGTTTGTTTGCAGATCGTCCACAAAGAGCAGCTCATTACACGTGTCAATCTGGGGATTTGTTAACTTATTGACGGTTAAATTATTTGTTTATCAATTCTGCAGATGAATTGTTGTTGGTTTGAAGGCCAAGTCTTAGTGTCCTAAAATACTCTCATAGTCATACCCCCAGGAGTGGACCCCCGGGCCCCGGCCTTGACAGAAGTATCTTAATCAATAATCTCAAAATGAATGTGTGTTTTCTGTGTGTGCGTGTGTAATTTCCGAGCGGCTTAATCAAGAAAACGGTAAGAATTACGGGGCTGATTTTTTCGGTAAAGTGCCGACAAAACTCTGACGAAGTTAAATGGCAAAGGTTTTTTAAATCGGTCGGTGGTAAGTGGTATAATTGATGGTTTTGTACCACAAATGTTACATAAAATGGCTGGAGCAGCTTAATCAAGAAAACGGTAAGAGTTACGGGGCTCGTTCTCTCTCCCATTACACATTACTGTATATGTATGATGTAGCTGCATAAGTAATAACCATAATTGGAGAATTGGGTTAGCGGGATAAGATTCGCTGCCATGTTATACTATAATCTTATAAGGGAGGGGGCACTGTTTGGGGTCTGTTTGAACTGCAGAGAGAGTTCATACTTTCATACGACAATGTTATGCGTTTTTCAAATATAATAGGCGGGTGTGGTGGTTCTAAAACGATTTAAATAAAAATGGAAAGCGGTTCAAGACGGGAGTGATGAGGTGTAATAGTCGGTGTTCGGACCTTATGATCATGGAATGTGGTGTCTAATAATGACACGAGAAAGAACTGATTATGAGATTATTGTTTAAGATACTATTGTATACGTGAGGGCACTCCGAATAGAATTGCTCACCTAATTTGGGTTTTGAATCAGCGGGTAATTACTCCTACCCTTTTTAACTGCGGCAGTGAAATCCCGGCCGAAGGCCGGGTTACACTAGTTAAGTAGTTAAGTCATAAAAGCACTGAAACCCGAGGTTAGTTCCACTCAAGAGGAAAAGAAACTGACCTGACAACTCGGAGGGGAGCTGATCAAGTACTCCTTTCCATTAAGACAGGTTATCTGAGAGTCTCCCTGAAGGGTGTATCCGGGAATACACCACAGTTCTACCACCGTCCCAACAACCACAGGGAAGGTAGTGTTTGTCTTGATGTTTGGAAGGTTGGGCAGTTCCGTGCATTCGTCTGGGAGATATTGGGATTATTCAAACAACAAGAATTGCGCCCGTTGTTTCGTTTTGGCGGACGCTAGATTTCCATTTCACATTTACTATAAATTTAAGTATAAGCTCCAATCAGCTCACTTCAATCTTCATGATAGTAATATTGATAAATTATGCATCAAATACGGGGAAAAATTCAGTTCAATTGCCGTAAAACTTAACTTGTATCTGTAATTCAAGAAATTATCAGCAAAGGTAAACTATACTCGTGTACACATCAATACACTACGCGTGCCACGTACAAATTGGGCGTATTACCTAATAATAATATTATACATTACATGCATCATATACATTAAAACACAGTCGCGCCGCGCATTTATACTTATAGATCACAAGCTATCTATACATCACATCTCTGCAAGCAATCCTCGCGCGCGCGCAACTTTTTCGTTGCTTGGTAACGAACGGAAGCAAGGAACACGACATATATTTGACCCACCTACTGCAATCTCCAAAATCCACTTTTTTCTGCAAAAACCTCCATTCGTAACCTTTCACTATTGCCTTTTTTCAAAAGGGTGAAAAGGAAAAAATTATTGTTAAAATCTGCTTCCCGTTGGAAAGTTTTAGCACATACTATTATTACTAGTAGTAGTATATGGTCACTGGTCAGGTATACCCCGTAATTACGGACGGGATTCCTCATCAAAAGAACAGAAACAATTGTTGCAAACCTAGCTGGCAACCAGGCATTGCATTTTCCACTAGAAATGTTCTGCCCTTCACACAGGTAATAGCATCATCTCCAACCAGCGTATATCTAGCTAAGCAGGATACCCTGACTGTAGTTCCGTAGTCAACAGGGAAGGGAGTGTCTGTAATCAGGTTGTATATATCCGGTAGATCCGAGCAAGTGTCTGCAGGCGAAGGGTTAATTAATAATTATCAATAGTTAAACTGTGATTAGATATACTTCAAACAACTTCGTCAACTCAATATATTATCGTGACGCTCAGAAACCCGATCAATTTAGGTCTTAGGATAATTCCTACTTATTCTTAAAGCTATCCTGACCAAAGCCCGACTCAACCCTGACGTCTTGTAGATAATAAACCTACAATAACCCTGACGTCGGGCTAACCGTACTCACCAATAGAGCAAGTAGGCATGCTCTGCTGAAAAGTGTACTGATCATCTGTGACGCACGTGACAACACTGTCTCCTAAGGTGTGGGTAGTTCCAGTCTCACACATCACCATTATTTGGGTTCCCGCGGGTACAGGGAAGATGATGTTTGTTGCTAGGTAACGGTTTGGAGGTAGCTCTGTACATTTGCCTGGTGTGAGAGTGAGGAATACATTTGTGTTGTTGGTGTTTTCACTTAATTAATAGCGTAATCTACAAAGTTAGAACAAAGATAAGGGTTCATTAACAGATTTCAGATTGATCTGGGATGATATTTTTAGACTTCCAAGATGGAGTAACAAACCTTGTTCATTACAGCGTGGTGTCTCTTCGAACGTAAATGAAGTTGTATCATCACACGTTATAGAACTGTCACCTGAAATAGATCACGTGATTAAGAGCTCTAGAAATCTTGGCACTTATCCAAGAAGCTGACGGTAGAGGTTTGAGACACAGAGATTATCAAGATATGATCTCCTGCGAGGGGTGGGACTCAGAAGATGGAACCCATCACCCATGTGTAGCGAAGTATCAGTGGCTTCACCTCCAAACTCTGTTTCTGAACTGAAATCATAGTGTCGTCCAGACAAACATTTTCATTTTTGCATGAGAAATATGTTCAAACTGGTCTTACCACGTAGTTGAGCTCCAGAAGCAGGGTCGCAGAGCACAGTTACCACAGTACTGTGGGCAGTAGGGAAACTTGTTGTGGTGGTGATGTGGTCTATATGAGGAGGTAACCCAGTGCACCTCTCTGTGGTAATATGAGTTAGTGGTGTTTACGGGATCTGCACAGCTGAACATGGTGGAAAACTCAACTTTCGCCGGTAGAATTCTACAGTAGATAAGAAAGTAAGAATACCGACTATTACGAAAGATTAAATTATGAAAGGGATTTCGACTGGCATCCATGGGCAGGCGATGTATTTTGTTTTGAATCACAAAAAAAGTGTAATAATCTGGTTATCATCATCACTATTAAAAATACAGGACCTACTTTCCACACAACTCGGCTCCGCCTCATGCACGAACTCAGTTCCACTCTGGCATGTAATAACTCCATCCCCCTGAAGAGAGCTCCCACTCTGACACGTGACTGTTACTAGGGAGCCGTACTCCACAGGGAATTCGGTGCCGGGTGAAGTGAGGTTTGGAATGTTTGGAACTCCTGTGCACATGTCTGAGGGATCGGATGGCAAAGGATTACAAACGATTACACAGGATATGTAAAACGTTTTAAAGTGTGCAAAATACTGTCTCAATTATCTAATAGTTTAGTTTATTGATTAATCGTCTAATAATTTACTATCCCAATTACATATTTAACCAGATCTAATTCTCACCTTTATCGCACTTAAAATTTCCATCTACATCAAACACCCTGTCTCTTACACAAGTAACCAGACCAGCACCACCTGCAACATGAGAGTGACCTTGCTCACACGTGATGGTTACCACGGTGCCGGGTGGAACGGGGAACCTTTCACTGGACAGCATGTTCGTGTAGGTTTGGGGTAGCCCGCTACAGGACACTGAAGTAGAATAATATACTCTTTAGTGTGACAGAATATTCGGTTACTACGGATAAATATTTGTATCGCCGCTGTTGATCTGAAAAGCTGTTAAATATCTACATTTTACAATAGTATAATCTCTGTCATACTGTCAAAGAATACCATTAGAGTACCACAAATTACCACAAAAGGTTCCTAAAAATCATCTTACCACACTCCGTTTTATCCTCACTGGCTGCGCTGAATACCGGACACTGGATGCAGATTCCCGCCCCTTCAGCACTGTAGTGATTAGCTCCACACGGTTTACACACTTGCATAGATGTGTCCTTGTACGTACCGCCTTTACATGGAACTGAAAACAAAGAACCTCAAAATTCAATTATGCTCTCGGTACTTTTTGTAAAATAATCGAGGAAAGTTATGTTATTTTATTTTTAGAGGGGAGGCTTTAAAATAGAACCATATATGTTTCGCAAAGATTCATATTTACCACATGAGTTGAGCCCAGAGCTCGGTTCTTCTCCCACTTTACCACAGACCACACATTCTGTCATGGTGGAGTCCCTGTAACTTCCTTCTGGACAGGTATCTGAAGGTGAAACTTTACGCAGAGTTGGAAATGCTTGCAGAGGGACAAATTATGTTTTGTTTATTCATTTTGGTCCGGTTGACTCAAAGTCAATATTGGTTAATACAATGAATATGAATCCGGAAGTGGTAAGTTATAACGCCATTCCCCTGAATTAGGTAATTTAATGAAATATAAGTGATATTTTTCATACAGTTATGGCAACAAATTTATTTTTCTGACTACGTATGTATTGGGAAAATCATGTCCGGTCTCTCTATTATCTTCAGTATTAGTATGCACTTATATGTTTCATCGTTATAAGCTTTCGGATGACTGAGTGGACCAATATAACCCCTAATTAAAATACCCAACACCTCATCATAACCTTACTGGGCGGCGCTCAGCCTGTCATTATGCCGAATGACAGTGTTTTTGAACATGATAGCCTGGGGTGAGGGGTCGGGGGTCCCCAGGTAAATCATGATCCAACCTATCTCAAAATAATACATACCACAGTAAGTCCTGTCTGCATTAGAAACTGTCCCAATAGAGCAAGAACTACAAGAAACAGATCCTGCTCTTGAACTGATTGAGTTGAGTGGGCATTTCGTACACATTGTTTCAGAGCTTATGTAGTTTCCAGGCCCGCAGTTAACTAAAGGGGAGAATTTAAATTATCATTATTGTTATTATTTATTTATTATAAAAGGAGTATAATAAGTATAATCAATAAACATGGCAAACAAAAATTGCATATTGCTACCCCTTACCACAAGCTGAAAAGTCAGAGTTAGGGACTGTTCCGGGACTACACCCCCCACATGCTGCAGATCCAGCAGAGCTGACTCCGTTCGGCCCGCAAGATAAACATTCCTGTTCAATCCCAGATTTCCTGGTTCCGGCAGGACATGAATCTTAAATTAAAGGTTGGTTTATTGTGTAAACCATGCATCTTTGATACATATAAATCACCTTTTCGGACTTTGTTTTTGGCAGAAATTTCGTGGGAGGACATAATTATGGGCGTACAAATTTATTGGAAGTACATTGTACAAAGTAGCTGAACTTTAAGTTGAGCGAACATTACGTGAACCTTCAGTGCTCACAAAATGTCCGACCAAATAAAGTTCGATATGGTATTTTAAACTGTGCCCCTCTATTTTGCATATCAGTAAACTATCATAACACTGACAACTGTTTAGTGTAAACAGCATGATCAATTCTACAATTCTTTGAGATTGACCAATTCTCACCACAAGCTGAAAAGTCAGAGTTAGGGACTCTTCCGTCACCACACCCCATACACATAGCAGATCCAGTAGAGCTGACTCCGTTCGGACCGCAAGATGAACATTCTTGTACGTTTCCGGACTGCTTGGTTCCGGCAGGGCATGGTACTGAAATTGGAAATTGATTTATTTGGTAAACCATGCATCTTTGATAGATAACTATTTTAAACTGCACGCCTCAGTTTACACACCAGAAAAACAGACAACTTTAAACTCTGATCAATTCTAATTATTTGAGATTGGTTAATTCTTACCACAATCTGTAAAATCAGAGTTAGGGACATTTCCGTCACCACACCACATACACATAGTAGATCCAGCTGCAGAGCTGACTCCGTTCGGACCGCATGATGAACATTCCTGATCGTCTCCAAATTTCTTGGTTCCAGCTGGACATTGTTCTGAAATTATTAAATACTTGTTTTTGGAATACGTAATTTTCGAAAAACTTAATTTTTGGCAAACTAAACCTTCAGGAGACTAAACATATCCCAGATCCCTTACCACAAGCTGAAAAATCAGAGTTAGGGACTGTTCCGGGTCCACACGCCCCACATACAGCAGATCCAGCAGAGCTGACTCCGTTCGGACCGCAAGATGAACATTCTTGTACGTTTCCGAATTGCTTAGTTCCGGCAGGGCATGGTACTGAAATTGGAAATTGATTTATTGGGTAAACCATGCATCTTTGATAAATAAATCACCTTGTCGGACTTTGTTTTTGGCAGAAATTACGTGGGAGGACATAATTATGGGCGTACAAATTTATTGGAAGTACATTGTACAAAGTAGCTGGACTTTAACTTGAGCGAAAATTACGTGAACCTTCAGTGCTCACAAAATGTCCGACCAAATAAAGTCCGATATGGTATTTTAAACTGTGCCCCTCTATTTTGCATATCAGTAAACTATCATAACACTGACAACTGTTTAGTGTAAACAGCATGATCAATTCTACAATTCTTTGAGATTGACCAATTCTCACCACAAGCTGAAAAGTCAGAGTTAGGGACTCTTCCGTCACCACACCCCATACACATAGCAGATCCAGCAGAGCTGACTCCGTTCGGACCGCAAGATGAACATTCTTGTACGTTTCCGAATTGCTTAGTTCCGGCAGGGCATGGTACTGAAATTGGAAATTGATTTATTGGGTAAACCATGCATCTTTGATAAATAAATCACCTTGTCGGACTTTGTTTTTGGCAAAAATTTCGTGGGAGGACATAATTATGGGCGTACAAACTTATTGGAAGTACATTGTACAAAGTAGCTGAACTTTAAGTTGAGCGAACATTACGTGAACCTTCAGTGCTCACAAAATTTCCGACCAAATAAGGTTCGATATGGTATTTTAAACTGTGCCCCTCTATTTTGCATATCAGTAAACTATCATAACACTGACAACTGTTTAGTGTAAACAGCATGATCAATTCTACAATTCTTTGAGATTGACCAATTCTCACCACAAGCTGAAAAGTCAGAGTTAGGGACTCTTCCGTCACCACACCCCATACACATAGCAGATCCAGCAGAGCTGACTCCGTTCGGACCGCAAGATGAACATTCTTGTACGTTTCCGGATTGCTTGGTTCCGGCAGGGCATGGTACTGAAATTAGAAATTGATTTATTTGGTAAACCATGCATCTTTAATAGATAACTATTTTAAACTGCACGCCTCAGTTTACACACCAGAAAAACAGACAACTTTAAACTCTGATCAATTTTAATTATTTGAGATTGGTTAATTCTTACCACAATCTGTAAAATCAGAGGTAGGGACTGTTCCGTCACCACACCCCTTACACATAGTAGATCCAGCTGCAGAGCTGACTCCGTTCGGCCCGCAAGATGAACACTCAGATTGCCCCGCAACTTTGCTCATAGAACCAGCAGGACACAGCTCACATTGTATCATGGTACCAGATCTGTACTTCCCCACTGGACAAGCCACTGTAATAATAAAATATTTGTTAATTTTAGCCTTTAGGGAAAAGTAATTTCGGAAAAAGTAATTTCCGGTAAACGTCTGGAAACTAAACTGTTTTAGTTCTGGTTCATTAAATAAAGTTGGTAATACCAAATATACCACTACCAGGCGGACATAGATTTGAGGGGTAATTGTGAGGGGTAAGTGTGAGGGGTAAGTGTGAGGGGTAAGTGTGAGGTGTACGTGTGAGGGGTAATTGTGAGGGGTAAGTGTGAAGTGTAAGTGTGTGGGGTAAGTGTGAGGGGTAAGTGTGAGGGGTAAGTGTGAGGGGTAAGTGTTGGGGGTAAGTGTGAGGGGTAAGTGTGAGGGGTAAGTGTGAGGGGTAGGTGTAAGGGGTAAGTGTGGGGGGTAAGGTTGGTTGTATTTTGTAAGTTTGATCTAGAGGTTCGAGTGAGGAGTGATTATAATATATACATAACACACACATACATATCCTTTTTATGGTAAAACTTAGATAAATTCTAATTAGATATCTAGTTAATTATATATCTCACCGCAGGCAGATCTCTCACTGTTGGGTGTTTGACCTGCTTCACATTCAACACAACTTGCGCTGCCAGCCGAGCTAGTGAATTGAGCAGCAGGACACCGATGACAATTAGACATCCCTTCTGCTCTGTACTGACCCACCGTGCACCCAACTGAGGGATGGTTAGAGGTCAGAACAACAAATACCAACAAATACCAACAAATACCAACAAATACCAACAAATACCAACAAATACCAACAAATACCAAAAAATGGTAAGAAATACCAACAAATGCCAACAAATACCAACAAATACCAACGAATACCAAGGAATACCAACAAATACCAAAAGATACTAAGAAATTCTAAGAAATGCTATGAAATACAAAAAATATATGCAAGAAATGTGCAAAAAACAGTTGGTCCGTTGGAACTAATTGTAGCGTCCAATAAAAACAGCTATTGTATCACCAAATATTAAATGATACAAAACACTCTAAAAGTCCAATCTGTAAAGAATCAGAGGTAGGATGTTCCGTCACCACACCCCTTACACATAGTAGTATCCAGCTGTCCCAGAGCTGACCTCCGTTCGGACCGCAAGATGAAACACCTCAGATTGCCGCGCGCACCTTTGATCCATAGCAACCCACGCAGGACACAGCTCACATTGTAGTCATGGTACCAGATCTGTACTTCCCACTGGACAAGCCACTGTAAAGTAATTAAAATATTTGTATATATTTTAGCCTTTAGGGAAGAGTAATATGGAAGAAAGTAATTTCGGTTAAACGTCTGGAAACTCTAAACTGTTTTTAGTTATGGTTCATTTAAATAAAGTTGTTATACCAAATATACCACTAACAGGGGAACATTGTTGCAGGGGTAAATTGGGTAGGCGGAAGGGTGAGGGGAGTAAGGGGTCGAGGGGGATAGAGTGATCGCTGGTGTACGTGTGAGGGGGTATATTGTGAGGGGTATAGTGTGAAGTGTAAGTGTGGTGGGGTAAGTGTGAGGGGTAGTGTGACGGGGTTAAGTCGTTGAGGGGTTAAGTGTTGGGGGGTAAGTGTGAGGGGTAATTCGTGAGGGGTAAGTGTTTGATGGGGGGGTAGGTTGTATAAGGGGGGTAAGTGTGGGGGGGTAAGGTTGGTGTATTTTGTAAGTATGTCTAGAGGTTCGGTGATGGACCGTGATTCAGATAATATCATATATAACACACAGCATATACTTATCCTGTTTATGGTAAAATTAGTAAATTCTAATTGATATCGAGTTATATTATATATTCTCACCGCAGGAGACTCTCTCACTAGTTGGGTGTTTGACCCTGCTTCACATCTAAACACAACTTGCCGCTGCCTCGCCGAGCTATGTGAATTGAGCAGACAATAAATTAAATCAAGTGATGCAATTGGCAGAGCACAATCGTAAATCCTGAGCAATAGATATCATATTGTAATAGATATCATATTGTAAGGAGTGACAACAAAAATGTCGAGCCACTGTCTTGTTCCCTGAACAGTAACTTGAAAGGATACTATGAGGAAATGATATGATGATGATGAAAATCTTAAAATAACTGGCTACCATGAGCAAATGATATAACTATAAGCGGCACCATATTAAAAACTTTTAAAATTTAGAGACAACAAAGGTATACAGATTGAGCTACTGTTCTCTCCAAGTAACAATCAAATCAAAAAATAATGACACAAACATCATCACACCAGTGGTGTAACGTTGCCTGTTGGCACCCCTCGCCGAAAAAAATTTGTGATTTTAAAGGATACGTCTGTAAAATCTCTAAAAAGTATACTTGTAGAGCAATATGCGCAGTTTTGCTAAGTTTACCTCAGTTGAGTTTTTCAAAATCGTCCCACACGCACGTTCAAACGACGATTTGACGCAATACTTCTACAAAAATGTATAAATTAAAATAAAATGCCAGGTTTGAGACAGAGTAGAGATTGGTCCTGGACATCCCAACATCAGTGCACACATGTAGGAAGTGCCATCAAAGCAAGATTATTGAAGCCAGAATTTAGTCCCCGATTTTACGATTGCTGCAGCTCAGCTACTTGTTATTATATACAACATACCAATCTTATTACTGGGTACATTCCAACTTAAATCACCAGACGTTTATCATCAAAAATCGTGAATCTTCAGGTTTTTCATTTAATTAGGATCAAACACAATTCTAGTGATACTTTCGAACAGTATGTACACAAGGGTTGCCGTTCAACTGTAACAAAAAACACCTTCGCGACTAAAGATTAGATTAACTCCCTCACTGCTCACTAATATTTCCAATTGGCAGAATCGTTCCGTTATTTATAATGTTGTGTTATGTTATCAGACTGCAGAAATGATATTATTGATTGGAATTCTTCTCAGTAGCTCTTAACCGTACAGTTAAACATGTGTGTATTTAAAAACACCCTTACAAAATTCAAATTTTTTTCATAAGGTCTCTAGTATATAGCTCAATTACAGATATTCATACCACTCGACTGACTTGACTATACGATATGGAGTAGACACAAATAGATTGATAGCAAAAAAGAGAGCTAAATATTCATAAAAGTAAAGTAATGTAAAGTAAAAATTATGACATAACATCATCACTAATGTCTACAAAGTATCATCACACTACACGGAAAAATAACTATTTCTCCATCAAATTTAAAGGTAATAATATATCAAATATTAATCATGAATAAAAATCCTACATAAGGATGAAACCACAGATAATCATTGTGTTTTTCCTTATTACTGATATAACTGGTACCTTCACGCCTTATTGATGATATTGGAACACTTCCTTACAGTGAAAGGTTGGATGCCTTACAGATTACAACACTCGCAGAGAGACGGGTTAGAGGAGATTTGATTGAAGCCTACAAAATTGTAAATGGATTGGTTGAGTATGGAAAAGATATTTTCAATTTAAGTAGATCGGGAGATAAAATTGTTAGCACTAAATCTAACAATATTGATAGAAATATTAAAACCTTGTCTAATAATTTTTTATCAGAGCGTGTTATCAGCTTTTGGAATAAATTACCATCTTTTGTTAGAAATTCAGTGTCTGTTATTGATTTTAAAATTAATCTAGAAGAATTTAAAAAGACTAATAATTTAGTAGACACAGGCAACTTTTGGGAAGTGTCAAATATAGTTTTAGCAAAAATAGAGGGTGTAAATTATATTGAAAAGAAGAAGCAACAAGTCCAATATTTATATAAAAATCCGTGTGTTGCCAAGAGAAAGGGAATAAATATCTCATGAATTTGTTTTTATTTATTTATTTTTTAAATTAACGGTTTTTAACTTTTTAAACTTTTTTATATGTAAATAAATTATGACAATTATGTTAGTTATAGAATTTGTTTGTTTTTTTTAATGACGAAGGCTGTGAAATGTTCACAGTTCTGATAATGAGGAAATCAGAAAGAATGTTTAAAACTAGTGATGATGTTTATGTCATTATTCTTAATCTAATCTTAATCTATCTAATCAATTCTTGATAAAACTTCTTTCGAAACATTCCAAAAATGAAAGTCATTTTCAATACATTTAGAAATCATATTCTTTATTAAGTCAAAGTTATTTGAATTGTGGTGTATCAATTTACTCTACTAAAATATTTGGGCCATTGTTAGCCCCAACATTTTGGTCCCTCATTCCTGCCACTCAGCATTACATACATTGCCTACTGTGAAGTAGACATTTTTCTAAGACAATAAAGAAACTGACCTTGTCTCACTAAATTCCCCTAACTTGCCATAATAAAAATACTAACAACCAAATAAAGTTTTTAAATAATTATATACAATCACCAAAGAATATTTCCTCAAGTTTAGTTCTAGTTTGATTCACGATGTCAATCCTTCGCAGCTCAGTGAGGCACAGTGGTGCATCTCGCCAACCTACCGAAGGTTTCGAGAAGCATTATTGGAAGCGCGCGCGACCCAGTAGTGCATCGCGCTACAGAGTTCTAGTTAACTAATAAAAACGAAATTCAAACAATATACACATAATATAGCAATGACCCTATATAAAAATTCTTTAAAAATGGTACAAATTTTTAAAACTGTGGTAAAAATATAACCCTATAATTGTAATATCCTACGAAGTCAGCATGCTATATTATTTCGCAAAACTGTACTCGTTTAATATCTTGACAATATTTAAAGTTAATGGTTTTAGGTTTAGGCGCGGCGCACCGCTTATATGTTATAGCCTCTTCATTTTCTGTTTTCAGCGCTGTGTTGCTACACGATGTATAGCATGTGGGTCAAGCGCGGTGCCGCGCCTAAGCAGCAAAAGAGTTATTTATTTTAAAATTTATTTTTGTATCTCAAAAATGATGTAATGAACGTTTTTAATATGACGTAGAATTGAAGCTATTTCCGTACAGCCTAAGTATGCTCGTTAGAAAAACTATGAGCATGCTAGCATACTTTCTTTAATTCATTATATTTGTTGGTCGGCTGACATCTTGGGTTGTACTGGATGTAACAAGTTTATTATAGGATGTCTACTTATATTTATTATGATATCATTATTCATTGTAATGGCAATAAAATTTTAATTTTGATTTACTTAAAATTTTGTTTTAAAACAAATTCACATCACAACAAAAAGCAGTTTAGGCCCCCATCCAACAAGCACTCGATGACCTTTTAGGGTTTAGGAGTGTTGATCAGGTTAAGGTCCAAATCACTTATATTATTATGGGTGGAAGAGTTCTGGTACCTCTTTGTCATTTGTAGCGCGATGCACTACTGGGTCGCGCCGCGCATCAAATAATTCTTCTCGCAACCTTCGGTAGATCGGCGAAATGCACCACTGTGCCTCCCCGAGCTGCGAAGGATTGACATCGTGAATCAAGTACCTCTGTACCCCCTGATGGAGATTATACAGGTTCTGAGTAGATCAAAACGTAGTATGCGTCTGACAAATGACATCACATCACAGTACCGTTGGCCTTTCTTAAGGCTGATCTTTTCAGCGAGATGTTTTAGGAACTGAGAAGCTAACTTAACTAATTCGTGGATTAAGCTCTTATTTTATTTATGATTAAAGGAATGTAAAATAAAAATTACTAACTGTACCCTCGATGCACTTTCTCACGTCTATGGTGGCCGAGGAGGCTCATTTTTAAAAATAAAATAAAAAACCATACTCACGTGGCCGAGGAGGCTCATTCGGCCGAGGAGGATCATATTTTAAAATGACCCTGCTCGGCCATGGCCGAGGAGTATCAAACAATATGACGGAAAAATGAGCCTCCTCGGCCATGGCCGAGCAGTATCAAAAAAATGAGCCTCCTCGGCCATGGCCGAGCAGTATCAAACAATATGACGGAAAAATGAGCCTCCTCGGCCATGGCCGAGGAGTATCAAACAATATGACGGGAAAATGAGCCTCCTCGGCCATGGTTTTTTATTTTATTTTTTAAAATGAGCCTCCTCGGCCACCATACACGTCAATTTCTTGTGAAAGTGCATTGAGGGTATTAATGTAACCTTGATTCATCATGTTCATGTTTTCCAAACACACCATTCCCTTTGCGCAGATCTCCCATAAATTGTTAATACATCGAGTCTTAACCAGTACACAGTAAGCAAGGTAAAATCATTAAATAAATAAAAGTTAATAAAACGCTTTCCTAAAAATTTTATAATCAATAATACAAAAGAAAAAATTGTTTTGGTCAAGTGTTGACGGATGTTACGCCTCTAAATTTCTTCGAAGTAGCGCGCGCCGCTTTCTTCTCGAACGGCCCCCTGCAGTTTCTTTTCGTTTAAATCGTAAACTTGCCGGCAAGTGCTACGAAGTAGCGCGCGCCAGGCCAGACCATTAACAATGGTCAAGTCAAGTGGCATGATTAATTAACCAGTGAAACATTTGTATCACGTTGCGACCCCCACGGTCGTTTCACCCTTTATCGTCCTGACGATACTAGGGGGAGCCGCGCACTTCGTGCGCGGCGGGTCATACAACGTATGACAATGAAACATTGCATCGCGCTACAAATTGTTATCCTGCAAATATAACTAATAATGACAATTGACAAATATTATTTTATTTTGCAAATCTGGCTGGATGTCGTTTCATCATTCATTGAATTGCTTTTTTCATTGAATATACAATTAAATATGAATATTGAGCCGCGCAAGCAAACTTTACCTGATGTGCCATTCCTATCCACTATCCTTTGTTGTTTGTGCGCATTCATTTTACTTTAATTTCTTTTTTTAGTCATCAGTAAGAAAAGCGAGCGATACGACGATACGTTAGCAGTTAGATACATAAATAAACAATTTACATTGTTGATTGTAATTACTTTGCTAGCACATTTTTATTATAAGACAAATATACAATTGACAATTAAAACTACTTTAAAATAAAACCCAATTTTAGATTTATTTATCAAATGTTTCTGCAATTCTGAACTTTTAAACGAGCTTTAATATGACTAATTCAATTCTATATCCAAAACCGAAGTTGAACACACATTTTGTTATACGCCAATAAAATTTACACAAGTCAGTTTAATGTTGCGCGGCTTCGCTTTATCATTTATTATTAAATTTATTATTAAATGATATTCTGAGGAGCGCAACCATGCAATAATTTACACAGTCTATTGATCACTACTCCTACGTTGTACGTATTTATAATACAAGAACCTCAAAAAGAGCACCGCCCATTTGTGAGCCAGGTTAAAAATTTTTACGATTTACTTTTTAAATAAATAAATAAATAAATAAAGTCAATTTTTACAGCACAGCAATGAGCAATATATATCTAAATATCAGATCCTCTGTAATCATCCTCTGTAATCATTTTTAGTATTTGGTATTTTACTAACTTAATTTATTTACCCTTGTTTTAATATTGTTATCGACTCTGTTAGGTTCAATGTTGTTTGTCTGTATCGGTCTACTTCACTTGTTGATATGAAGGACAATGCTGGCCTGTTAGGTGCTCTTGAACGTTTACCAGTTAATGCGGATGAAGAGTTGGTGATAGTTGGTGATGTGAACCTACCTCATGTTAACTGGGACAAAAGTATAGTCGAGCGCCCACCAAACTCATGTGACAGAAGGTTGCTGATGGAATCAGAATTCTTGAATGTCTTTACCAGGAAAGGTTTGAAGTGGTATGTCACTGGGTCTTCAACACGCGTCAGGAAGGTTGGTGATACTACTCAATGCTCCTTGCTTGATCAGGTCTTCTGCAATAATGATTGCTTTGTAAACAATGTTGATATCCTTGCTCCTCTGGGTAAAAGCGATCATGTATCACTACTGGTTGAGCTGAAAGTTAAAAACAATGTCGAGTTCCTTACATCTAAGAAGAAAAGCTGGTATAAGGTGGATCAGGACTTCGTTAACACACAGTCATCAGACATCAGCTGGGGGTACTCAAGAGAAGATCTTCAGGTCGAAGAGATGTGGGAAGAATTACACCAAAAACTTAGTGTCATTTCAGATCGTGTCCCAACCACCCACCTTAAAACAACTAAAGGTGGGGAGATCTTACAGAGGTTACCCTGGGATTGCTCTAGTCTGGTTAGGAAAAGAAAGTGCAAGGACCTGGCATGGAAGGATTTTGACGAGAATCCTACGATGGTGATGTTTAACACAGCCGAGTACGAGCAGCGGATGTACCAGAACGCTGAGATTAAGGCAAAGATTAAATATGAGAATAAAGTGACTAAATTGTTTAAGTTAAATTGTAAACCTCTTTTTAATTACCTTAAATCTAAAAGTGTTTTAAGAAAATCTGTAGAAAGACTCAAAACAGATGATGGTTCTGAGACCAAGTCTCCCTCTGAGACTGCAGAAGTGTTAGCTGATTTTTTCCAGTCAGTTTTCAAACCTGAACCTTCTGGCCCTCTGCCTCAAGATTGTTACACAGAATGTAATAATGATTACTTCTGGAGTAAATTTATGGTGCACCCTGAAAGTGTTGCCAAGATTTTGGGATCACTAGATATTAGTAAAGCTATGGGTCCTGATGGTGTTCATCCTAGACTCCTGAGGTATTTAAGTGAGAACAGTTCCTTTGTGGATGCGGTTGTGTTGCTGTTTAGTGCCTGTGCTTCTGAGCAGTATATTCCTGAGGTATGGAAAACTGCCACTGTTGTGGCCTTGCACAAGAAGGGGTCAGTACATAGTCCTAATAATTACAGGCCTGTGTCACTGACTTGTATACTATGCAAAGCCTATGAGAAGCTTCTTAGGGAGTATATTCTCGACGGTGTTGAACAGGTGCTTAGTAGCACACAGCACGGCTTCATGAAGGGTCGGTCATGCTTATCTAACCTATTGGAGTCTATTGACGCTGTCAATGACTTGCTGGCTGAAGGTGGCTGTGCTGATATATTATACTTTGATTTCTCTAAGGCCTTTGATAGCGTACCACACCACCGTTTATTAGTTAAATTAAGAAATGTTGGTGTTCCTGAGGAGATTATTGGTATTTTAGAAAACTTTTTAGTAGGGAGGTCTATGAAAGTTAAAGTAGGAGATGCATTTTCTGAGATTAAATATATACTTTCAGGAGTGCCCCAAGGCAGTGTTTTGGGACCATTGCTCTTTCTTTTATTTGTAAATGATCTTCCAGAAGGGATCAAAGCTATCATCAAACTTTTTGCTGATGATGTTAAAATGATTGTTAATCCTTTTATTAATCTAACAGCTGATTTGAAGTTGCTAGAACTTTGGGAGTCTCGTTGGTGTTTAAATTTTAATGTAGATAAGTGTATGGTCATGCAAATTGGTTCTTGTAATCCTAAGAATCAGTACTTGTTTGGTGGTTTGCCTTTGAGATGTGTTGAAAGCGAGAAGGACCTTGGAGTGGTCTTTAACACCAGTTTCAACTTTGAGGATCATGTGAGAAAGTGCATTGCTAAAGCTAATGGTACCATTGCCTGGCTTACAAGAAATATTATATCAAGGGAAACAAGCGTTATGCTGGGCTTGTATAAGTCTTTAGTAAAGCCTCATATAGAGTATTGTTCACAGGCATGGGCTCCGATGGCTAGGCATGGAAACTGGTCACTGATTCTTGAATTGGAAGGTGTCCAGAGATCGTTCACCCGTATGATTGATGGATTGGGACTCATGACTTACAGAGAGAGACTGGATAAGCTGAACCTCACCACCCTGCTTGAACGCAGGGTTCGTGGAGATCTCATTGAGATGTTCAAGATCCAGGAAGGCTTTGTGGGTTATGGTTCCGATTTATTTGGTCGTTCTGGTAGGACTGTTGCTGCTAGATCAAAGACTCATAGATTCACCACAAATGAGACTGATTTCTTTGCCCAAAGGGTCTTGCGCTATTGGAACAGTCTACCACCACTTGTGAAAGCTAGTGAGTCGGTTACTGGTTTCAAGAGGGGATTAGATGCCTTTCGGCTTCATGGATATCGAGCTAATAAGCTTGGTCATCACTGGGAACTTTCATATGATATATTTGATAGAATTGATGTTACTGTAGCTCACAGGAGTAATTATGTAAATTATATGAAAGATAATCCAATAATAGCTAAGAGGAAGAAGGTCAATTTAAAAGGCCTTACTTAGGCACTTATCAGCCAAGTTTTCAGTTAACTTCTTTTAATTTTTATATTTTAATATAATAATTAAACGTAAATTGTACAGTTTTGAAGTAATTATATTTGTATATGAGATGCCCAGAGAGGCATAAATTTAAAATCTAAATCTAAAATCTTGTTATTTAAAATGTCTAACTAGGCATATTGTTTAAATAGCTGGTGGATTCGTGTAGTGTGATTGAGGCTCATGATTTGATAGTTCTTTCATTCAAATTTCTGATTGTTTCTGAATAGACTCAGCGAAGACAGATTCTAATGGAATTTTTAATAGCTGATTTTACTTATTTGTCCGAAATGACAAATTTTGCATAAGAAAAACTGTAAACTGGATTCACCGTTATTACTGCGAATCGTAAATCTAAGATTGCAACGCTTTTCTGTATACAATCACTAATCTTTTGGCAGCACTACGATTCTTGCATCCTTGATTACGGTTATACGATCATATGGCATGCCCTACCGTTTAGGCTGCATAGCTTGTCGCGATCGGACCTGCCAATAGGTAACAAGTAAATACGTCATCAAGTAAATATGATAGATGTTAAGCACAGTAAGAAATCATAGTAGCTTCGATATTTAGGACCATACAAAAAAGCCCAACTATGATATAAACTGATTCAGAAAGTGATCAAGAAATGCTAAATCGCTAATAAACGGATGAGCTATTTTTCTTACAATCGAAACATTTTGTCATCTCAGAATGTTTTTTTAAAATCTTGTATTAACTCAGTCTCCTCTGATCTGCACTTAGTCAAGAAGGCCAAGTAAAACAATAGGCGGCTGCCATTGAACTTTCAGTTTGCTATTGTTCAATCATGGTGCCACAAAAGTATAGACCTAGCTTCTCAAACAAGGGGGACAACATAGCTATTAAGTGCCTTGAGAGAGATAGTGTTACAAGTACATTATATCTGTAAAATTCGGAAAAGTAGGTATTGATTTAAATCGTGCATCGTGCGAACGTATTCAAAATGTACGAGTAGATATTTAATAACGGTTAATGCGTCTGTTCATACTACTCGTACAGCTGGTAAATTTTCTGATCTCTGTGTTTTCATGGCCTGGAGACGGTGGCTTTTGTGAGAGGACAACCCCTTAAAACATTAAGGCTCTCCCGCTATATGTTAGGATGCCCATATTGAAAATGAAGGTAAGTTCACTTAACTCTTACGCACATTCACTTCAAATTGTACTATTTACTTTTAACTTCCAGTTGCAATTAACTTAGAAACCTGTTGTCTCAATAATTTTTAAAAGCCATTTATATATTTTTAGTATTAATAATTCTCCAATCTCTAGAGTGGCGGAAGTGTGCAGTTGGGGACACAACCTACTAACACTCCAAACATTCCGAGAACAACGACCCTCCACCACAATATGGTTCGACATCACTGCCACTTTGCTTTCTGTTTGTATAAAACTGGTAAGCTTATGCTCTGTTTGTTTAATATAAATTTGCTTGGAATTAAAAAACTGGGGAATTTTAGCGTTAAAGACGAATAATAGAATCTCAAAAGGGGAATTCAGCTAATATGCTGAAAATGCTGATATATTTACAGAGTGAAATACAGCACGCTGTGGAGATAACTACTGAAAGGATGGATCACTATTCCAGACCATGACGACTTAAAGCAATAGAAGTTCTTCAAAAGGGCTGTTGAAAAGGAGAAGTTGCTGTGAACGAATCCAGAGGTATGTACCACTACCCCACCTGGTATTAATGGGGCCGGGAGGGTCTTCAACAAAATTCTCTCGCAAATGATTTTATAGTTGTTTCTTTATAGAAGGGAGTGATATCTATCAGCTGCTTTTTGGAAATTTTGATAAGACCCCCCCCCCCCCGGCCCCCTTAAACGTTTAATTGATTACTACAATGTTCACTGCAAATGAATTATAAGATAATTAAAAGTCTTCCTAATCCTTTCTCCAAGTTCCCACCATCACTATTCATCATCTCCCATGTCTACCTACGACTCAACTACTCTACCTTTCCGATATTGTCATCTCCCCTTATTTATCCAGCTCTTTCACCTGACATCAGTTATACTTACATGAGCACATATTGACGTTTTGACACAGTATCCTAGTTATACAATTCAAAGAAAGCAGACCGTGAGCTTGATGTCGTGAAGATTATAATGGTAAAACTCTTTTCCTCCTTAAACATGAAACCATACTATTAAATGCTAATAATATGTGTGTTTTTAGGGAAAGAAAGTGTGGTATCGGAGCCTCTCCCCAGTCTTGAAGAGGATTCGAGGTAAGAGGTGGAGATAACATACTTTCCTAAGCTGTACCCTGGGGCTGACCAGACTATACTGTCAGTGGACGATTAGGCTGAAATTCAGGACAGGCACTATAAGAATGGGCGAGAGGTACTGTTGCTTTTTATTCTTTACTACTTGTTTTATTTAATTAAGAGAGGTACTGTTGCTTTTATATTACACTTGTTTTATTTAATTCACTATCAGAAGTGGGGCGAGAGTACTGTTGCTTATTAGTTCACTTGTTTATAAGAAGTGGGGCGAGAGGTTACTTTGCTTTATTATTTACACTTGTTTAATAATTCACTATAAGAAGTGGGCAGCGAGAGGTACTGTTCTTTATTATTTACACTTGTTTAATTTAATTAAGAGAGGTACTGTTGCTTTATTATTTACAACTTGTTTATAAGAAGTGGGGCGAGAGGCACTGTTACTTGTATTATTACACGTGTTTATTAAGAAGTGGGGCGAGAGGTAACTGTTTGCTATTTTTAACAATTCGTGAGTCCTCCTTTTCATTTTATTTGTCGTTTGAACTTATGGCTAAGTTTCTTTTAGGAAGTAACGATAAAGATTTTATTTTATTGCTGGTAGAATTTCATACTTATATCAAATATAATCCGTGTTTTTAACGATATTTCTAGAAAGGTAACAAAGAACTAGTGGGTGACAATGAACAAGTTTTATCGAACCTTATTTTCTCTCGTTTAAAAATGTATTATTGAATCACTTTAATCTAACGATTAATATTTAGCATAATTAATAAGGCGCAGTATTTTGATTATAATTGATTTTTAGCTACCGAATAATATTGAATTCTATAGCAAAGCTCAGATAAGTGTTATAGTTATTGTTACTCATCTTCCTATCATTGATGAAATCGTTTTACTAAAAATTTTGACTCTTTTCATGCATCAAGAATTTCAAATATTCAATTTACACAAAAATAGTCAATATTTAAAGAATACCCAATCTTTCCGAATCGTAATTAAAGCTGAAAACAAGCTTAACATTAAAAGTATTATGGCAAAAACTCTGATCGTTCGAACATGAATGTATTTAGAATTGTCTAAAAACAAATAAAAATCACATCCAAATCAAATACACCAGAACTATTCATGTCATCTTTGTAAACATTCCATAATGAAACAATATAATCAAGAACTCAACCACAAAAAACAAAGGTTCATATCCAGTCTGAATAATGGTAATTAGACGACTAGTATATCCTTGATACGAATGTCGATTGTAAGAGAACCGATATCCTTTCCTTTCCACTTCAGGTGAACTGTCTGGTTGTTTAAACTGTCCTCTGCGGCCGGGTTAAAGGTCCCCTAAAATTAAAGTAGTAATTAAAAATATAATTATATTGAAACTTGGTTAAGTGAGAATTTATAATTACCATGAAAACAATTTAAACGGTAGATCCATTGGGTTTATTGGGTTACTAAATAAATTCAAACAGTTTTTAACAGATAGCTTATAGTGTCCACTAATGCGAAAAAAGTGACGAAAACATTAATAAGATATTCAAAAATTTGTTGAACAACACTTACAGATCCAACTTCATCATCATCACCAATATCATCCTTGTCCATGAGATCAAACTTGAATCTGAAAGTTTCACGTTTATCAAGGAGTTTCAATCAATCACCACTAAGTGACGAACAGTTTTAGTAACACTTTGGATTTCTACACATATCAGTTGTTAACAGAGGTGTAGGAATGATTTTCTTCATTTTTCAGATCCTGGCCTCACGACAAATCGGGATTTTTTCAGTTCTCCGCGTCAAATTGCGCATTTTCCTTTAAATCTGAAGACCAAATTCGCGTACTTTCCTTTAAATCTGTGGGCCAAATATCACGTTTTCTATAATTAGCATGAAACATGAACAAAAGTAGTTTCCAGAAAACTTTGAAAAATTTTGACTTAGAAAATTTTCGGTCCGAGTCATTCTCAATACGTACCTCTGAAAGCAGAGCTCCCGCTTCCGAGCTCGTATTGCGAAGGGGAGGCCTGCCTTCCGAGATCGCATTACAAAGGGGAACCCTCGAGTCCAAAATCGTATATCGAACTTCGAAAACCGAAAAAAATATTTGCGGCCTAAAATGATCAGGGTAGTAGCATGAAACATGAACAAAAGTAATTTCCAGAAAAACTTTGAAAAATTTTGACTTAGAAATTTTTTTTCCCCAAAAATTTTTAGAAACTTTTTTAAAAATCTAGACACTTATTTTACTTCGGAGTATTCCAACAGCCATATTGTTACACAAGTGCAACCAGCCAATTACAGGAAGCCGAAGGATTTGTTTTTAGCCAGTGACGGTTAAGGTAGTGTGTACCATACTTTCTTCGCCCGAGACTTTGCTGCAATGTGCAGCTCCTCATTTAACCCTCACACCCGATTTCTCGAGTATTCGGCTGAGTAGACCGGGGGGCTGCATAGACCGCTCACGATCCTTAGCTGAATGTCAACGACACTCACCCCACGACCAGGCAGACAGTGGGATTTGAACCCGCAACCTCACGATTGCAAAGCTGGCTAACCAACTGCGCTACCTGTCCGTGAAAAAAAAAACCTAAATTAAAAAGTTGGCCCCTTTTGGCCCCTTGCCCAGATTTCATGAGGAGGGGGGGGGGGCGATGGCCCCCCCTGCTCCCTACACCCCTGGTTGTTAACTCATTCAAACGATAAAGGGCACATAACGGCGATTCGGCAATTCGGTTATCGCACGGTTATGTGTCCGTCGACAGATTGCCGTACATAACAGACCGTATTTAAATCGGATGTTCTACTCACTGGATAGAACGAGGAGCTCCCTTTGGTTTAATAGTAAATAGTTCGTTCAAAACGCAACTCGTAGCGTTGTCCACAGGTTTTGTCTTACCCAATATCTGACCGTTTCCGTAAAACTGCGAAAAAAAGAATATTATTAAAGGTTTTGAAAACATATATACGGCAGGTTGTTTGCAGTGGCGTAACGAAAGGCCCTGCTGACCCCGCTGTGCAGGGGGGCGCCGTCTTAGGGGGGCGCCAAATCGTCGTTTGAATGTGGGACAATTTCGAAAACTTAGCTAAAGTACTAGCAAAACTGCGCGTTTTGCTCTAGATACACACTTTTTTAGAGATTTTACCGGCGTATTCTCTAAAATCACCTAATTTGTTCAATTTTAGGGAGGGGCACCAAAAGGGGAGGGGGCGCCAACAGGGGGGCGCTTTTTTCGGCAGGGGGGCGCCAACAGGCAACGTTACGCCACTGGTTGTTTGTTCGGTAGATTTTCAGGCAGCAGTTTTCTCACCATTTTTGGTGAGCTGATGCAGTGGGGGAATCAAGTTCTTTCGAATATCTAATGATGCAAAAGATTTTCAATGTCATTATTTTCCCATGCATTTGAATTTAAAGAATAAGGAAGTGCCATAAATTTGAGCAATACAACCATATTATGCTTTTGCTATATTATTAACAGAGCTGCTTAACGTTTACAGATTAAGTAATTAAGTGATTAAGTAATTAATGCTTCATTTGTGAACCTTCTGATTAATTCAAGCAATCCTGTGGGATGGCTTCACCGTCCATGTTATTGCTTCCTGCTATTACTAAACTGAGTAAACATGTATCTAATATTAATCATTAATTGAAAGTCATGGGATTTTAAGTTGAGAGATCTACAAGAAAGCTTGACCGAATAGACGTTATACTGTTATATGCGAGCAGCTTTTAACGGTAAAATGTTCAACTCACGATTACGTAAGGGTCAATTTTTCCGACGACATCAGTTTCTCTGGTGATGTTGTTCACAGAAACAATCGTTATCTCCATTATCTTGGTGGTCTCCACCGCAATACTCCCCTGTAATACCATTAGAAATTCATTTCAAATGTAATCAGCAAATTCTATTTCGTTCGGGGTTATACTTAACAAGACGGTATCAAATAATATGGCAATTAAACGAATTGAGAATTATTAAGCATTAGTGATTAGTTGAAGGAGCGTTAGCGAGGTAACTAATTTTCGTTGCAGTGCAAAACTTGCATTGCAAAACTTATTACAGTTACAAGATAAGAAAAATAATAAGAATCAGATAAGAGTTACAAGATAAGAGTTACAAGATAAGAGTTACAAGATAATAGAGTATGTACTTACATCTGCATTCTTGGGCATGACCTTCTGCTTCTTACTGCTCTTCGTTTTCTTACTGCTAAAAAATCCCATCACAAAACTATGTTAAAACAGCGGAAAACAGCACCTAATAAGATATTGATATTATGAAGTAACTGTAATTCATGCGTGTTGCAGTCTGTTTAAACAATCGATGGACTGGCGCTAAATCAGCCGAATATTTTGTCCAATCACAGAGCTGTTTTAATCAATTTAACCAATCAGAGGGCTGTATTTTGCTGTTTAACTTTAACCTGTAAGGGAGGTGCAGGGAGTGTTGTTTTACAGCTGGGTGTAGGACTGACATAGCCGGAAAACGTATCAATGTAAACAAACAACATTGTGTGATTTCATTCACATTATCTGTGAGATTAGCTTGCTGTCTATCAACCGTAAAATCACTAATACTATTTATCTAGTCAATGAAGTGTTACCAAATTCTATTCCCAATAGGTACCTATTAGGTATGCCCTGATCTAGATGGAATTATGCTGCACATTGTTATTCAGAATCTCTGAGTTTGGCCCATCTTAATTGTTGAGGGGCCGGAAAAATGAAACGGCCATTAAAAATGTATGATGTTCGCTATTTCTATCCCTACATCTTTACTAATACTAAAACTTAAAACCATTCAAACATAATTATATCACAATTATTTTACTGTACAGTTATCCACATTTAAAAAAACCTAATATGTACAAAAACCTAATATGTACATAACGTCCCTGCGAAGCAGAGCAACGATTACCTGGGGACCCCAGGCTATTATGTTCATAAATAAAGATTCGGCGACATGACAGGCTGAGTGCCACCCAGTAAAGCAACGATCGACGACGATGCAAGAATGCTAGTTTGCAAGAATGCTTACTTGGCCGCGCTCAGCCTGTCATTCCGTTAATGAACATGATAGCCTGAGGTCCCCAGGTAACAAAAATGCTAGTTTGCGCGGCGCGTCGAAGCGGCGAAGTCCTCCAATGTCCAAAGGATCAATAAAAAAACATAAAACTAACAACAAATATAGGGCCAATTTGTTTGATACATTACCTTGGGACCTCAGGCTATATCATGTTTATAAACCGAATAGAGATTCGGCGGAATGACAGGCTGAGCGTTGCTCTAACCAGAGCCCTCTCGCTTGCAGTAGAAGGCGACTTGTGAAACAAGCGCGTCACGCAGTACGCGTAGACACATGGCTATGTGAAGGCTGAGCGCGGCCCAGTATTAGTAATTTGATACACTAACCCCTTTTCGCGCGCGGCCTCCGGCCTCCTAATTTGATCCTAATTAGTAGGGTGAGGTTTACCTAACTTGCTAGTTTATTGCTTGCTCCTCTTGCGTGTGCAGGAAGCTTGAAAAGAGCATTGCGGCGCGCACAGGGATTAGCGAGCCAAATCAATAAAGGAAAGAGTTAACCTAATTTTGATAACGATTTTAACTCTTATATAACATCGCATCGTCAATCAATATACTTGTAGGTTGATTGACGATGTCAATCCATCGAAATCGTTACTGCAGGCCGCGGCCCGCGATCAGCCTGTCATTCCGCCGTATATCTATATGTTTATATGGACATGATAGCCTGAGGTCCCGGCCCCAGGTAACAAAATCGTTGCTTTGCTTCGTAGAGCAACGATCGAAGCAAGAATGCTAGTTTGCGCGGCGCGTCGAAACGGCGAAGTCCTCCAAACTTGTAGGTTTATAACCTTATACCAGGACGCGCGCCTAATTGGATTCGTCGACGGTTTGAAACAAATATTTTACGATCAGTATCACCCGTTAATGGTCTACATAATATAAAGATATGAGATATTATGGGATGTTTCCCTGAAATATGTGTATCGATTGACATTTTGTGGTAAATAAAAAATATAATAAAAATTCGGCTTAATTTTATAAATCCCTAGTATTCTGCTTTTCATAAAAAATGATTCAAACAATATACACATAATATAACAATTACCCTATATAAAAATTCAATATAAATTCAATAGAAAACTAAATAGAATTTATAAACACCCTTTAAGTAGTATAAGTAAGCCAGTTTAAAGAACTGGCTCCAAATTTATATCTAATTCTGCTATTTTTACTGCACTACTACTTTTCAACCCTCTCTCTCCTCTAAGAGCTAATTCTGCTTTTCATTGATTCTACTCGATCCCGAAAAAACTTGATTTAATTAAATGTGTTTATATCCAAGCTAAGTTCCAGTGTTTTGAATTATCAACATTTTTTATAGGGTCATTGCTATATTATGTGTATAGTATATTGTTTGAATATTTTATTTTAAAAAAAAAAAAAAAAAAAAAAAAAAAAAAAAAAAAAAAAAAAAAATTATCAAAGCCTATAAACAAGTAAAATATTCCTATTACCCATTAAGTAAAGTAAAGTAAACTTTTGAGGCACTAATTTATACAATGATTCATAATCCCTGAAAATGCATAACGCAATTAGTCAATTAATTGACTAATTGCGTTATGCATTTTCAGGGATTATGAATCATTGTATAAATTAGTACCTCAAAAGTTTACTTTACTTTACTTAATGGGTAATAGGAATATTTTAATTTGCAATTTGGCATTTCAGCGAGTCCTCCTTCAGTGAGTCCTCCTGTTCGTGAGGCACTTGATGCTACTTCCTGAGTTTGAGATACCAGAGCGTTAAGCAGTTTTTAGTTACTCAACAGATATTCATGGATGTTTTCAATGACAGTGGTTTAACTTGGTATTTCACCAACGAGACAACTAGAAGACGGCTTGTGAAGGATACTCTCCAGGAGAGTCTTCTTGATCAGGTCCTGTATACAAATGATGCTCTTGTCAACGGTTGTAAGATCGTTTCTCCGCTTGGTAAGAGTGATCATGTTGGGATACTTGTCGAACTAGTTGTTTCGCCGGATACTAGCAAATGTTTAAAAGAGAAGATTATCAAACCTATATGGGGTAAGATTTCCTCTGAAGAGTTATTAAATTTTAGTTTGAAAAATATCGACTGGGATTATAGTTCTACCAATGATGTTCAAGATATGTGGGCTGAATTACATGGTAAACTGGAGACTGTTGCTGCAGCTGTTCCGACTGCTTCCGTTTATCTCGACAACAGACCTGTCAAGTTGCCATGGAGTACATCTGCACTTAAACGAATGAGAAAGAATAAAGATAAAGCATGGGCTGAGTTTGATATTAATCCATCTGATGTTAATTTTAGTTATGCAAGTAGCAAACAACATACTTATGAAGTAGCAGAAATTAAAGCTAAAGTTAACTATGAAAAGAAAATTACATCTTATCTGAAGCAGAATTGTAAGTCTTTTTACTCTTAAAATCAAATCAAATCAAATCAAAATATAATGACACAAACAGTGGCGTAACGAAGGGCCCTGCTGACCCCGCTGTGCAGGGGGGCGCCGTCTTAGGGGGGCGCCAAATCGTCGTTTGAATGTGGGACAATTTCGAAAACTTAACTAAAGTACTAGCAAAACTGCGCGTTTTGCTCTAAATACACACTTTTTTAGAGATTTTACAGGCGTATCCTCTTAAATCGCCTAATTTGTTCAATTTTAGGGAGGGGCACCAAAAGGAGAGGGGGCGCCAACAGGGGGGCGCCTTTTCGGCAGGGGGGCGCCAACAGGCAACGTGACGCCACTGGACACAAACATCATCACACATCATCAAAAATATATCTACTAAAGTTTTAAAAATATCTTAAATCTATTGCAATTGGCCTAAACAACCAAGATAAAATTAATTTTATAAAATTAATCTAATTTACATACTTTCCACTACTATATAAGTTAATAAAGCGTTTCTTAGCAACATGAGGATTACACACAAGATATTCATTGTGCTTCTCTTTATTAGTAGCATAATTTAATCCCTCAATTTTTCCTAATACTTCGTCCGAAACATACCAAAAATGAATATCATTTACGGATCCGTTTAAAATAGTCTCTTTTTTGAAAGCTTCTAATCTTATTTTAAAACTTAACACAGTCCCACAATTCTTGACATCCGAGGGGAGTTTGTTCCAATAAGGTCTCACCCTCTCCGGAAGAAAAGAACTGTGGACTTTCTTCATTTTACTGCTACTTTTACTGCATCTACTGTTTGATACCACATTAAAACCAGATCTGCTCATACTGAACAAATCAGCTCCGTAATTGGCCAAACCACTTATCATTTTAAAAGATTCAATGAGGTCCCCACGTATTCGCCGCTCTGCCAGCGTTGTTAAATTGAGGATTTCCAGTCGACGACTGTATGGAAGAGTACCCACCTCGTCAATCAGACGGGTAAACCGCCTCTGGACGCTCTCCAGCTCCAAGATGATCCCCCAACTTCCATGAGCCGCAACTGGACTCCACAATTGAACACAATACTCTAAATGGGGTCTTATTAAAGCTTTGTAAATGGATATCATCACAGATTTTTCCCTGATAATCAGATTTCTAACAATCCAACATATCATTCATCTTATTTACGAAATAAACGTCAAATTAAATCAAGTGTGGTTTCTTTAGATAGAGGAGATGGTACACGCACAGATAGTTCAACTGAGTCAGCTGAGGTACTCGCAAGTGCCTTTAGCTCTGTTTTTGTGCGTGAACCACCTGGCCCTCTCCCTAAAACTGAGAATTTAAGACCTGACAATGAGAGTATTGATGATATTGATGATATGGAAGTCAGCAGTTCTGATATAAATATAAAAAAGCAACTTTTAAAGCTTAACATTTTTAAGAGTTCTGGTCCGGATGGTGTTCATCCGAAGTTGCTGAAATCGCTAGCTTATGACAACAATTTTTTTGAAGCATTAACTAAATTATTTCAAAAGTGTTCAGATACAGGATCTTTACCTGCAGTGTGGAAATCTGCATCTGTTGTAGCATTGTTTAAAAAGGGTATTAAATCGGACCCCTTAAATTATAGACCAGTTTCATTAACGTGTATTTTGTGCAAAGTGTATGAAAAGTTGGTGAGAGCACATGTATTAAATTTTCTAGAACATCGAATTACGAAGCATCAGCATGGATTTGTTAAGGGTAAATCGTGTTTATCTAATCTTTTAGAGACATTTGATGACATTCTTGACATTTTAGATGAAGGTGCCCCGGTTGATCTTCTATACTTTGATTTTAGTAAGGCATTCGACACAGTCCCCTACTTTAGACTTCTGTCTAAATTGGAAGGCTTTGGTGTCAAAGGAAAGGTTTTAGATGTTATTAAAGATTTTCTGACAGACAGGACTATGAGGGTTTCTGTAGAAGGACAATGGTCCGAGGTTAAACATGTTTTATCTGTTGTTCCTCAGGGGTCAGTTCTAGGCCCTCTCCTATTCATTCTGTATATTAATGATTTGCCTGACCTTGTAAAAAATAAGATAAAGTTATTTGCTGATGATCTTAAATTAATTGGTAATGCAGCTAACCACGGTAGCGTTGCTGAAGATATCGAAGAATTAGAAGTTTGGGAAAGTATTTGGCTTTTACAATTTAATCCTGCCAAGTGCAAAGTAGTGCACATTAATTTTAACAACAATCCTAATTTAAATTATAAGGTAAATGGTATAGAACTTGAAGTATCTGCACAGGAAAAAGATTTGGGGGTTATTACCCATAGCTCCCTGCTTTGGAACGAACAGATCAAAGCATGTATCGCTAAGGCAAATCGTATGATTTGTTGGATTGTAAGGAATTTAGTTATTAGAGAAAAGGTTGTTATGATTGCTATATATAAAGCTTTAATAAGACCTCATCTTGAGTATTGTGTCCAATTGTGGAATCCACCTGCGGCTCATGGAAGTTGGGGGACTGTTTTGGAGCTGGAGAGCGTCCAGAGGCGGTTTACCCGTCTGATTGATGAGGTGGGTACTCTTCCTTACAGCCGTAGACTGGAAATCCTCAATTTGACAACGCTGGCAGAGCGGCGAAGACGTGGGGACCTTATTGAAGCTTTTAAGGTTATTAATGCTATGACTGATTATGGTTCAGACTTGTTCAGACCAAGCAGATCAGGTCTTAATCTGGTTTCATCCAATAGATGTAGTAAAAGTGTGACAAAGGTCAAGAATATCCAGAAGTCTTTTCTCCCGGAGCGAGTTATTCCATATTGGAACAAACTCCCTCCGGACGTCAAGAACTCTGTGACAGTTTTAGGTTTTAAAATTAAATTAGAAGGATATAAGATAGATATGATTTCTAAAAGTATTACAAATGATTGTTTTTTTTGGAATGTTTCTAATGAAGTTTTAGTAAGAATTGAGGGAGCCAGTTATGTCAGTAATAAAGAGAAACATAACAATTATCTTTGGTTCCAACCTTTATGTGGCAAAGAAGCGTTTTATAAATCTTTATTCCACTGGGAAGTTTTTAAAATAGGATAATGTTTTTGATGAAATTGTTTTTAAATATTGTATTTAATAATTAATTAATGTTGGTGGGGAAATATGTATTATATATTTTTTCACACAGTGCGATGATAGTTTGTAGACATGTGTGATGATGTGATGTCATAAATTTTACTTTACTTTACTTTACTTTACTTTAAGCAGCTTCGGGAGAAAGTTAGTTAATGCAATCCTTCATAACAATGTTGTTTCTAAATGAGATCCTGTCGTCATATCAAGCAAGCTTATCAGACCTGTTACTTTCCTGACATCAGACATACCCCTCTCTTGTGCGTTTGTTACCCATAACCTATGATTGAAAACCACTACTGTGCAGAGAGCGTTTGTGTGATCAGGCCGGAACTCAACCCCGATTTATCATACTCATCAGTTTACTGTTTTGTTTTAATTTACCCCGACCAGTGATGTGTGGAAATATGGGTTTTATTGTCGTGTCATTATTTTCAGCAAAAACCTATATTTGCAAGTATTCATTTTATTTGACTTTCAACTCAAGTCCAATCTTCTTTATATCATCATGTAATTAGAACTTTCTAGCTAGTTATATTTTAGGTGAGACATACAATCTGCCATCCGGATGTATAGATATGTAGCTGCAGCAACAGTAGGCTTAACAGCCACAGCAGTTGGTCTGACACGCCCATCCACAAAAAGTGTACTACAGGAGTTCAAATCGAACATAAGCTCTTTGTTTTACTATCCTGAAGAACTTGAAGCAGCTAACAAATGGCCAAATGTTGGGAGACTTTCAATAACTGCTAAAGCAAAAGCGCTGACTTTCGAAAGTGTTGCTGATCTTGATCTTGAGCAAAGTGCTATCAAGAGAAGAAATGAAATAATGAAGTATGGATATCCAACCATGGATAATCTTAAGCAGTTGAATGACCATGTTCTAGCATACAGCAATGTACACAAAGGACCTCTTTGGGTTTGTGAACATCTAACGGATTACAATATCAACTTCAATAAATCAGTTAGCCGATCAGCATCTAAGTTCGTCCCAGACAGCAGTGTGCACCCAATGTTTCGAGCTTACAATAGTGATTTTTTAGGAAGTGGATTTGACAGGGGACACTTAGCTGCAGCTGCAAATCATAAAAATTCCCAACTTGCAATGAATGACACCTTTTATCTCTCAAATATCTGTCCCCAAATTGGGAAGGGTTTGAACAGGTCTAAATGGAATGAGCTGGAAAAGCGAGCAAGGGCTCTAGCAAGAAAGCACACGTCAGCACATGTTTTGACTGGCCCATTATATCTTCCCACAGTTATAGGAAATGAAAAGTTTGTTAAGTATAAATTAATTGGTGATAACAATGTTGCAGTTCCAACACACTTTTTCAAGGTCATAGTTGCAAGAACTCAAAAAGGAGGTTTCATTTTAGAATCATATGTGATGCCAAATGAAGAAATCAGAGATGACATTGCCATTTCCTCTTATTTAGTTCCAAAAAGTGCTATTGAAAGAGGGGCTGGTTTCATGATATTTGATTACATCGCTGATAGCCAGTACTGCAGAATAAATGGTGTTTCAAATCCTGCCTTTATAGAAACGAACTGAACTCATCAATGTTGCAGTTTATCTGATTGATGTAAAACTGTCATGCTAATTTTCATGTTGCAAGTTGTAAGATTACTTCAGTGGTTGACCCTCAGAACATCAAAGAATCGAGGTAAACGTAGAAGAAAGAATTAACTTAACTTGATAATTCATTTGGCACAGTACAGTACACGATAAGCTGTGTTCCTTTAATTTATCCATCACAGCATGAATGGTTCATTCAATTAGTTGATAGGTCTCAATTGTGTTAATTTATAATGTTAAATTAATTATTTTATACTCTATAGTAAGATCGCTGTCTTATTTTTTTAAAAATTGTAATTTCTTTCAACTTCATAATTATCCAATGATCAAAAATTTAAGATACATCATTTTTCAACTCATCAAGGCAATGGTATGCTTTATATTTCAGGGATACTTTAATAATCAAAATTGATTGATATATTAATACTATTATATTAGGTAGCATGACCATGGAGGTGGATTTAGATCGTGAATTGATGAACTCATTTAAAACCATGAACACAACAGACCGTGATGTTTTAATAAATGAATTCCTCAGAGTGAGCACTTGGCATATTGTTTCACTGAATCTATCTGTTTTTATGAACTTGATGTACTATATTGCCAAATCAAGTGCTACATTATAGTGACTAGACTCTGAAGAAACATTTATTCAGGTTTTGGGTAGTCAACCTAATGCCACGGAGGGTGAATTTTATCTTGATATGGCTAATTGGAATTTACAAGAGGCGGTGTCAGCTTGGATGGATGTTCATCACCCCCGCAATAATCCTCTTGCCATGAGATTTATACAGGTAATGTTTTAGTCAACATTCTCATACTACATTATTTAATTTTAATGAATGAGTGCCCAAAGCACTCAATCCTAATGAGCAAATTGTCACTCATGCTTAAAGTTCAAAATCAATTTTCAACGGAACATGTAAGTTTATATAAACCATATGATTCTAATTTAAGTTTGATATTAAAATGGCAACTGACCTAAACCATCAAAACTCCTGACAGGACATCACAATTGGGGAAGGGGAAAGCATACCACCTAACACAAAGTTCACGAAGACATGGAGAATCCGCAACATAGGGAACGAAACTTGGCCTGCTGGATGCACACTAAGGTTTACTGATGGTGACCAACTCTCTACTTACACTCAGGTTTGAAATCCTTGTGCTGGGGAGGTATTTTTTTTAATTTGAAAATTCAATTAATTATTATATATATAAATCAAGCGTTACATTTCAGCCATGCAAAATTACAATGACATATTTTGATAAACTAATCGATAAATGGTACTGCAATATAAGTTGCTTAATGTTTGGCCGGATGACAACTAACTGAAAGAGAAAAATAAACTTGATTACATAATAATTAATTCGGCTGAACCAACACATAGCAAGAGCCACATTAACGTTGGGGCCGTATCTTGTGTTATGGTGGTAACATTTCTTTACAGAAATTCTCATTCCAGCCACTATGCACTGTACATTTAGTACATTTTACCTAGTCTTTTCCCAACAGGTATCTGTAGGACCAGTGTCTCCTAACGCTGAAGTTGATATAAGTGTAGAGATGTGCTCACCCCCAGATACAGGAATGTTCCAGGGAAAGTGGAGAATGTGCAACCCTGGAGGCAACTTCTTCGGAGGTCAGACATCTTCTAACTTCTTATTCATTAAATATATTGTATAGTGCTTCAGTCTTCAAGGCAGTTGTAGTACACCCAATTCAAATTAGAATAATATTTTCAAATATGATTGTTTTAAAAAATAAACAGAACGTTATTCAATACACATTGAAGTAGTTCTGAAACTTAATCACCTATCTCAGATGCAATATGGGTGATAATATGTGTAGATACTGGCGGTGTCCTGGGAGTAACACAACAACTTAATTCCTCCTCATTTGATTTCCACAACAATTCCGCAGATTCCAACTTTTCTAATCCCTTCAACATGGGCATGGTTAGTACTTCTAGACACAGTTCCGTAGTTGTTCTGTAGTTGTTCTGCAGTTGTTCTGCAGTTGTTCTGTAGTTGTTCTGCAGTTGTTCTGTACTTGTTATGTAGTTGTTCTGCAATTGTTCTGTAATTGTTCTGCAGTTGTTCTGTAGTTGTTCTGTAGTTGTTATATAGGGCCCTATATAGTTAATATAATCACATCCATCAGCATGTAATTAATTAATTGAGGAATTATTAATTAACCAATGAATTGTTTCAGGAGTGAAACCTTGAGAGTGGAGCAAACTACCAACGTATACTGTTGAGTATTTGGTTATTTATTTGTACATTTAGAACCAAACTACCCGGGCTTCCTTCAAGAGTGTAACCCACGTTTGTGTGCACACTTGCTCGTGTGCGCACTTGTGCGTATGATGTGTGCGCTCAAGTGTGTGGCTAACCAATTTGTGTCAACGAACAAATTAACAATTTTTAATGGGTCAAATACAACAATTTCTGGACAGATTTGCCTCTTTTTTACGAACTCAGAGCTTGATTATGATTATGATGTGAGTTCGAAATTTCTTGTATGCATTTATACACAGCATATAAATTTATAGCGCGAATATTTAAGTTTTAAGCTTACAAACTTCTACGTTTATTTTTGGTTTGGACTGTTTAATTTAATGAAAAGAGATGTTATTTTGGTCTGTGGGTCAGATCACTTAAATAATATAATACTCAAGAGTTGAACAAATCCGGTGTACTTTAAATATAAATGAATCTTAGCTCTTAAAAATGATACTTGTGTGAAATTTTAAATTATAGTTTTCAATGTTACAAGTTCTGGTTAAAGAACACGAAGTTAACACCTCTTTTCAATTAGGGGTCGTTCACATATTACGTAATCACTTTTTGGCCAATTTTTAACCCCCTCCAGCTCCCCCCTCCGTAATCATGTTTACACATAGAGCTATTGTGTCAAAATTACACTAGCGTAATCATTTGGAAACCCCTTCCCCCCTCGGCTGATTACGTAATATCTGAATGATCCCTTATACAACGTGTTTTTTGAGTATAACACTTTGAATATATTTAAACTTTTGATGTGTTGAAAATGACAATTGTGTACCATTGTAACGAATTCATTGTAATCTTACATTATTATCATATTACCAAGATTTTACTTTGATTTTCTTTACTTCTTGCTTTAACAAATTTAAATGAAATCTAGCTTTATACAGCTCAATTATCGTAAAAATGAATTTCTTCCCACACATATAGTGTTATACTAACTTTTAGCTAGCATTAAGCATATGTCAACATAACATAACCATACATAATTCATGTCCGTTGTTTTGTACGACCTTATCTCATCTTACCTAGCTGAGCTATTGTAGTTATACAGTAGGCTTATACTTCGATGCCAGTCTCTATCAACTCAGTTAGCATTCTTATTTATTAATTAATCACTTAATCAATTAATAAATTACTTACCAGATCATCACAATGTTCACCCCTAACTTTAACATCGGGATCCTCGGTCATGTGGACAGTGGTAAAACCACCCTCGCTAAAGCGCTCAGTCACACAGCATCCACTGCTTGTTTTGATAAAAACCCTCAAAGCAAGGAACGAGGGATTACACTGGATCTTGGTTTTTCATCTTTCACCATCCCATACCCATCTCATCTGGGTACTGATCACGAGAACCTGTTGATTACTCTGGTTGATTGTCCTGGACATGCGTCTCTTCTGAAGACGGTGATCGGGGGCGCGCACATCATCGACTTGATGATACTTGTAGTGGACATAATAAAGGGTATTCAGACCCAGACTGCCGAGTGTCTAATAATAGGGGAGCTGACTTGTGATAAGTTGCTGGTGGTGCTCAATAAAACTGATTTGATTCCTGAGGACAAACGAGCGGATAAAATAGCAAAGGTTCGAAAGAAAATTTCCATGACCCTTTCAAAAACTAAGTTTAAAAATGCTGAAATCATTTCCTGCTCTGCAGCAGAAAAGGAGGGAGTAGAAAACCTGATCAGCATCATATCAAACAGTGTTGTCATAGGACCTAGAGACTTCAGTGGAGATTTCGTGTTTTCTGTGGATCATTGTTTCGGGGTAAAAGGTCAAGGAACAGTTTTAACGGGTACCTGTTTATCAGGCTGCATCGGTCTAAACGACACAGTTAAAATATCCAACACAAAACTGGAAAAGAAAATAAAATCAATCCAAGTGTTCAGGAAATCAGTAGATAAGTTATATCAGGGAGACCGAGCTGGGATCTGTGTTGCACAGTTTGATCCGAAACTAATAGAACGTGGTCTGGTTTACACTGGGAGTGTGGTAAAGACTGTGTACGCTGTGATTATTGATATCAATAAGGTGGCTTATTACAAGGGCAGTATCACTACCAAGATGAAGTACCATGTCAGTATTGGCCATGAAACTGTCCTTGCTAAAATCACATTCTTTAAAACAGAAGAGGGTTCTTCAGAAGCACCCTTCAACATGAACCATAACTATCTTTACCAAGATACGTACTCGGAGGGGGATCGTGGATTTGCACTTCTACAATTTGAGCATCCTGTGCTCTGTGTTGAAGACAGTATGGTCATCATCTCCCGACTTGACATGGACATTAACACACCCGCATGTAGACTAGCCTTCTATGGAAGACTTCGTCACATCTACACCTCACAAGACTACTCAGACAATCAGCTGTCAGATCTGAGGATATTCAAGTATAAGGAGAGGGAAGGGCAGGTGGAGCGGATGAATGATGAGTATACTGTTATTGGAAAAGATCTGTTCAAGAAGGAAACTGATATTGATCTGTTTTCCCATCTGGCAGTGAACCTGTCCACAGGGGAGTTGGGTAAGATTGAGGGGAGTTTTGGGCAGAGTGGCAAGTTTAAGGTTTACGTACAGGATGGGTTGTCGGAAAAAACAAAACTCTTGCTTGCTTCTAAAAAGAAGAAGGGTAAAGACAATGTTGAAGTTGGAGTTGTACCTGAGAAGGTAATGATTAATTTGAAGTTTAAGCGGTATACTTTTGATAAGAAAAAGCAAATGTTGCAATGATTATTTGTTTCGTGACGATATTATTATTTTGAATGTTAATCGGGGTTTAGAGAAATTTTAAGGTTTGGGTAAATTGAGTTCTTAGATTTATTGATACAGTGATTCATTGGTATTAATAATTTATCTTTGATGTGATTTTGATGTTGTTTTGAATTTATAGCTGATATATTTCATAATTTTCGTATGATATGACCATTCATTAATATAAAACGTTAGGCGCTTGATTTAGATATTTTTGAACCGTGAAAAACAATTAGTTTGAACTACAAATATTCAAGTACCATTCCGCATATGTGACCACCACATACTAAACATAGAAAGAATGGAGGAAATACAACTATCACCTGACGAACTATATGCTGAGATAAGTAGGAATTACCAGGAATTCAGAGAAAAAGTAGACGAGTTCAACAAGTCTACTACTAAGTGTAAAGATGCTATCGCTAGGTTTGTTGTTATTTCTAGGCTCTTTCTGGAGATAATCTCCATGAAACTTAAGTTCCCCCATTTTAAATTTCAATAGATACCAAAAAGGTATGGGCTAAGCTATTGTTCGATCACCGGATCACTGGATCAACCCTAATCTGACCAAACTTCTCACTTATACTGATCTATCACATCACACTAACATCACACTAACATCACACTAACATCACACTAACATCATACCAACATCACACTAACATCACACTAACATCACATTAACATCACACTAACATCATACTAACATCACACTAACACCTTATGTTTACCAGGTATGAAGAGGTGATGGACAAGTATTCCGCACCAGATGAGGAAACACAGAGAACTATCTCCGCAAGGGTTAGTCAGTAATTAGTTAATTAGTCAGTAGTTAGTTAGTTATTGTACACAACCTAACTCCTGTATCATTTATAGATTACAGAAATCTACAACTGTTTTTATGAGATCCAGTGAACGTGATAGTTCAATGTTGGAGTCATGTATTTTTTTGAATATTTCTCTACTAAAGCCTTACACTATATTATCTTGACGGTTGACACAATCCCTCTGATTTATGTAACAGTTTTAAGTGGAAGGAATGTGATAAGTTGATCACACAATATCTGATATTTCAGAGGGCGGAGATAGAAGGAATGACATATTATCTGCCCAAACAGAACAACTTATTATTAACTCTATTTGTGGGAGACTTTAATGTAGTCCTCCCTCGTAAAGAAGACAAGATCAAGTAATTAGTTTACACTTTAAAGTTCATTTTTAAGGTTTAAAAATCATTCAAGACCCTATATTCTTATTATTTTATAAAATTTGCTTTTCGAAGATTAAATCTTCTAAAATTTCTTATGATTTGCCGAATTCTGATTATTCAAATATCGACTTTTGACCTATCAGTTTCATGTCTCAAATTCACACCACATCACATGACGTCATACCACGTGACATGACGTCACACTTCCCCTAGATACAAGTTACAATACGAGAAATTCAAGCTGTTCTACATAATAGGACAACTAGTATTCTCATCTCTCAACATACTGTGTGGTCCTAACAGAATTGTGGAGGGGTTACTTCAGTTTTATCTCGTCTGGTTCTATTGTAATCTCACTATGAAGGTACTTGGATGGATTATTAATTAATTAAGATTAATTAATTATGATAATTAATTATGATAATTAATTATGCATTAATTATGTAGTATATTTGCTTTTTAGCAACTTCACAAGATAAATCATCTTTTATTGATCAGCTAAATTGAATTTTCTTGTCATGTGACACGACAACCCCTCCCAGGAGTCCATCCTGATAGCTAACGGTAGTCGCATCAGAACATGGTGGCAAGTTCAGCACTACATTGATATCTTACTGTACGCTCTCCTACTCATACGAGCTGATGGAGACTTCAGTCTCCAGTTTTCTCTTTACATTTTCTACATGAGCGGCTGTCAGGTCCTACAGTTTTACTATCAGGTCAGTTGTGAAAAAATTGAATAATAGTTAGAAATAAAAGTAAAAATAAAACGTAAAAGTGTCCTTGAAGTATGGCGAAGATCCCCGAAATCACGATTGGAAATTCCATCTCGATGTAGACCTTAGAAATTTGACTATTCCAACTTTAAACTTGTATAATTTGTTAATTATCTGATACTTTATCCTTATGTTAACCAAGATTCCCCTCAAGGCAGGGTCGCTGTATAAAATGCGCGCATTAGGCCGCGCCACCCACATGGAAGTCTCCGCGGAGGGTCTCAGAGTAAAAACTTACGCTGACTTACAGTTTCTCTCACCCTTCTTTGTACTGCTCTACATCTTCCAGTTTTACAACGGATACACGCTATTTTATCTGGCTCCTAATGCCAGAGAGGATGAGAGGTTAGTGACGTCACATTAAGTGTAGTGAATTCATACCACGTGTAGTGACGTCATATCACGTGTAGTGTCGACCAACCACGTGACATGAAACCAAAATATTAGTACAAGGATTTAACTTTTCAAATCTTTAATTAGTAATTACAATAACTAGGAGTAATAGTACATACAATATAATTATATAATATAAGATTGTAATCGTCCATATAATAGTGGGGGGGGGTGTCACGTCCGTCTATGTCCGCTTGTCTCATAGAATCCAAAAAGGACTGGACAGGACAGGACAGGACAGGACATAGGCGGACATAGGCGGACATAGACGGACATAGACGGACTTTGGCGGACATAGACGGACATATACGGACTTTGTCGGACATTAGCGGACATTAATGGACACCTAAATTGCTAAATAAAATGTTCAATTTTTGCTGTTATATTCCCTATATTTCGTTAAATAGGTACTGTGCCTACTGTGTACCCTGTGTAACTGTTTCAAAGATATGTTGACGACACAAATAGAGATCTGGATTTAGCGACCGGATTTAGTGACTGGATTTAGTTAAATATTAAGAATATTGGCGAGATCTTTATTCTTTAGACCTCTTATATTATTCAGACATAAAATCTGGACACAAAGATCTCTCTGATGTTTGAGTGCTGAATCGGTTCTGCTTTCGATTCGTTAGCTGGGTAAATTGATAACACCTTCAGTGATAATAATTTCATCGCAAGATTCATAAATCTTCTTTTGCTTACTGTGTATTGTGCAACCCATGGAGTTTGATTAAACAAATTAATGCAGATCATGATCATGCCGTAAAGTTTTCGTTTTTCGTAATACGTCAGTTCAGTTAATAACTTTATCGGGTTTATCCTTCTCTTGTTGATTGCTTGGACATGAATTACTTCACCACTTGTCCTCGCTTGCTCATTCATTTGGCAATCCCGGGATCCGTGCTCTACGGCGTTAGACTCTACGGCAGATCCGTACAAAACGACTACAGGATACTACAGTGCAGTGTGAAAATACAGTAATCTAACTCTAAAAATATAATACATAGAAGTTGCGAAAAATTCTCAAAATGTTTGTCCGCTAATGTCCACCAATGTCCGCTAATGTCCACCAATGTCCGTCTGTGTCCACCAATGTCCGTCCGAGTCCGCCAATGTCCGTCCGGGTCCGCAAATGTCCGTCCGAGTCCGCCAATGTCCCAAAAAACACGTCCGTTGTCTCATAGAATCCAAAAAGGACAGGACATAGGCGGACATAGACGGACGTGACACCCCCGGCCCCCCCCCCCCCCCCCCCAATAGTTAATACGCTTACTATATTTATCAATGTGAGACACGACGTGACCACTACCACCTCGTGACCGCTAACACTACGTGACCGCTAACACCACGTGACCGCTAACACCACGTGACCGCTAACACCACGTGACCCCTCAGATGGGAGGTGTACGTGAATTGTGCGTTGTTCATCTCCATCTCCCTTGGTAACCTGTTCACGCTAATACACGTGGTAATCCTAAAGCATCAGATACACAAACTGGTAAAGAGTCCGGAGCTTATCAGACGAAACTTGTCAAACTCTCTTCTTAGTTCCCTGGGCAAGGAGGTCAAGAGTCAGTAGTGACGTCATACCACGTGACGTCATACCACGCGTTATGACACATGTAGTGACGTTATACCACATGTAGTGACGTAATACAACGTGTGGGGGGGGGGCCAATGGCATAAATGGAGAAAATGGAGAATTACTCATAGGTTTTTTCATTTTCTCCATAGAAATAGTCTCCATTTTATGCCATTTTATGCCATTTTATGCCATTGAAAACCTGAAAAATTTGGAATTTCGAGAAAAATTATTTTAAAAAAAGATATTTTCGGCCAATAATGAACAGAGTATCATGAAACATGGAGAAAAGTGGTTTTCAGAAAAACTTTGAAAAATGTTGACTTAGAAAATGTTCGGTCCGAGTCATTTTCGATACGTTCCTCCCGTATCGAGAGCTCCCGATTCCGAGCTCGTGTTGCAAAGGGGAGGCCTGCCTTCCGAGATCGCATTACCTCGAGTCCAAAATTGTGTATCGAGGGGAAGGTGTAGACTTCGAAAAACCGAAAAAATATTTTCGGCAAATAATGAACAAGGTAGCATGAAACGTGGAGAAAAGCGGTTTTCCACTTTTCTCCACGTTTCATGCTACCCTGTTCATTATAAGTCGAAAATATTTTTTCGATTTTCGAAATCAAAAATATTTCAGTTATTCAGGTATATTTCAAGTTATCAAAAAATCGAGGCTTCCCCCTGGTAATGCGATCTCGGAAGGCAGGCCTCCCCTTTGCAACACGAGCTCGGAATCGGGAGCTCTCGATACGAGAGGTACGTATCGAGAATGACTCTGGCCGAAAATTTTCTAAGTCAAAATTTTTCAAAGTTTTTCTTAAAACCACTTTTCTCCACGTTTCATGCTACCCTCTTCATTATTAGCCGAAAATATTTTTTTGGTTTTTCGGTTTATCGAAGTCTGCACCTACCCCTCGCTACACAAATTTGGACTCGAGGCTTCCCCCTGGTAATGCGATCTCGGAAGGCAGGCCTCCCCTTTGCAGTGCGAGCTTGTTTCGACTTTCGAGGATGTAGGTCTCACTTCTCAGTGCCTATTACTCTCCCCTATTACTCACTCCTGCTGTAGCCTGTAGAAATAACTTTACACTAGGCTTGAGTAATTATGAGTTTGCCTGAAGTGTGCCTCTACTAACCTAGTATAAGCATCTAGTAGCCTACTATGAGCTTTCATAAGCTTCATACCATGTGTAGTGACGTCATACCACGTGTAGTGACGTAATACAACGTGTAATGACGTCATACCATGTGTAGTGACGTCATACCACGTGTAGTGACGTCGTACCACGTGTAATGACGTCATATCACGTGTAATGATTTCATACCACGTGTTATGACGTCATACCACGTGTAATGACGTCATTGTGCAATTGGACGGACTCTTGTTTGTTACAAAGTGGAAACAGCGTTGTGATTTGAGATAACTCTTATTTAAATCAACACGAATAGAATTGGACCACAATTTTAAGAGAAATCCATCTCGTGATCACTTCTCTCTGTTGATGTGCCTCAGCCTCTTATTAAGCTTATCATCTTTATTACATTACTTGAGCTTATTTTGTATAGGCTTCAGCAAACTGCTGTCTATTATATTGACAACTGAGTATTATATATAACTTTACTTACATGCGCCTATGGCTAGGCAAATCGTTGACATAATTAAGACACAATTAGTTGGATAACTGATAAACTGCATCAAAACAGTTTATCCTAGTTGAATAGTTAATTAATTAGTTAGTTAATTAGTTAATTGACCAGCTGTTCTGATTCCTTGTGATTGTATCTTGTCTTCATTTTGGAAGATAAAGTTAAAAATGAAGTGAATTTTATAGTTTAATTGTGATACTTTGATTTTGAATCATTTTTTGAATCATTTAATCTTGTATTGATGGTGATGGATTTATGAAGCTCAGGCGTATATAAATATCATGTAACAATCAAGAATGTTGGGTTTATTTAAATGAAAACTAAATCAAAATGTGATTAATTGTTCTTTGAATAAAATCTTTAAATTCTGTAAATTTTCCACTTTCCAGTGAGAAACCTTTGTGACAGCCTATTGAGATAGCAATGAGGCAAATATTTGCACTGTTAAGTGAAATGTGTGGTATTTGTGTATAACTTACTGAAATATATGTTTGATAATATCTGTTCAACTTTTGTAACACCTGATAATTTGATAAATTGACTTTTACTAGATTCATTGTGATCCGTCGTCTGTTACTTGATTATGTGATAAAGAAAATATTATTGAAATTGTAAATTAAAGCGATTGAATTACAGTCCAACGCTAGACAGGTAAGCGCAAAGTATACAATAAAGAATACATAAAATAATAAAGAAGTTAAAACGAGAACTCCTTTTATTGGACATTATATTATGATATATAATACGGCATTATGACGTCATATGCATATCAATAGTAATATTTACTGCAATTGCTAAGTAATTAAATAGCTCAGTTCCTATTAAACACTAATTAAATAGCTCATTTGCTATTAAACCCATTGCATCTCCATCCCTAACCATTGTTTAAAAAAACACCGATCACTACACAATTACCATTTATAATTAAACCGACTATCAAAACAATAGTAAGTCAGCATGGACGACATAGTGATAACACGTGATCGGGACGATGTAGAGATGGAAGATGATGAGATTGACAGGCTCAAGAAATCTGCTTCTAAGAGGAAAGGACGAGGTATGATGTTCAAACAAACTTTAGTTTTTAACACAAATTTTGAATGCTGCAGCCAATTTGAGGAAATAATTTATGGTAGAGCTTGCCATTAAGATTTAAGACTCATCGATCTAAACTGTCATCTTTTTAATTCGATTAATAGCCTCAATTATTATGTTTCTGAAGAAATTATTTGTTTTGAAATCGCTCACAATTTCATCGTTAAACCTTTAAAATTAACTCCACTCTCCTCCCAAATACTCAACACAGAATCTAAGATTTGTAAAAAAACCCTTTCAACACCCCAGGTCTAACAGCCAAATCAGAGGTTCTGAGAGGAGACTTTGAAGAGTTGGAGGGAGACACTCGTCCAGGGGGCCCCCAGAAGTCCATTGAGGGGTGGATCATATTCGTCACTAACGTCCACATTGAGGCCACTGAAAATGATATCTTCGATAAGTTCTCAGAGTTTGGTAAGTTTGGGGTTCCTATCAGTTTATTCGTTAGCCCACAATTTGGATTATTCTTAATAATGTGCAGACTGCAGAGTGCCATGCCCTCTTGGCCCTTCTCTACAAACTTTAACTTAAATAACTTACATAAATCTTCCTCATTGATATCATCATATTTGTATTATTTATAATGCAGTCGACTCTGCTAAATGGCGGAGTACTGTTTTTTACATTACTTGTCCAACTAATCTCCTTATCATATATTTACTAATCTCCTTATCAGGTGATATAAAGAACCTACACGCTAACCTAGATCGGAGAACTGGGTACCTTAAAGGATACATATGTATTGAATACGAACAGTATAATGGTTAGTTTGACTTTTTAATAGACTTTTTAATAGACTTTTTGATAGAATTTTTAATAGAATTTTTAATAGACTTTTTTTGGACGTTTTAGACTTTCACACTGATTTATAATGTACGGTACATACACTATACATGTCACCATTAACCTCCTCTCCTAACAGAAGCACACACAGCGGTAGAGCAGATGAATAACGCGGACTTCCTTGGCCAGGAACTCAAAGTAGACTGGGCCTTTGTTCGGCCGGGCAAGAAGAGTAGTGCGAAGAGAAAGGAGAGGAGACGCGGTCGTAGTCCCAGTCCTGAGAGTGATTAGTGAAGGTGTAGCGCGTGATGTCATGTCACGTGGTGTGGTGTCAAGTCACGTGGTGTGGCGTCGTGTCACGTGGTGTGACGTCATGCCACGTGGTGTTTGTTTGATGTCGTGAAGAGATAACCAGACTTTACTGATGACTACCTATGATAAGCTACCGTACCTTCCGATTATTTAAATCGTGGAAATATTTTATTGTTGTTTTATCAATTTGAAAGGTACGAAAGGTACATTATTTTATAATATTTATTCAAAGTTAAATAAACACTTTGAAATCAGACTCGGTATTTCCGTTTACATAAACCTACTTCCAGTTTAGTTCTCATATAATTATATATTATTGGTCAGTCCTCCTTTTTCCACCCAGTTGAGAAATAATATTACTGTTGTTGAACTGTTCCCTCTGAAGTGTTTCAAATGCTTACAATATATTGCTGACTTTCAAATCCCGTCCACAAGAGTTTTATTGTTAGTTTTCGTACGTTTATTTAAAAAGTAAGAGTGTCAAACTTGAACATATAATTTCATTTAAATATAAGATAATTTAAAAATAGATTATTCCATTGCAGGACTGGTTTCAGCAGAGATATGAATTATCAAACATATTCGCCTTATCTCTAATATACATAATATACATAATATGACATTTGTCAGGATTTAATTTTTAAATTTCCCTCATTAACTAAAATATAAGTTCAATACATACATTTTACTTTACCAACTAAAATTAGTTAATTTAAATGTTCAGTATGTCCGATAATGATAATGAAGCAGGAGCATCAAGGAAAAACTTGGTTAGTGAAAAGATTTTGAAATCAGTTTAATTTGATGTAGCCTGTGCTTTTTTATAGTGACGTTGAGCTGTTACCAAAAATCGTAAAAGTTATGCAAGTCTCTCACGTGATATAAGTTTTTTCATGTGGTGTGACGACATATCACTTAGCATGACGTCATATCAGGTGGTGTTACGTCATATCAGGTGGTATGACGTCATATCACGTGGCACTATAACATGATACATCCTCCTCCAGATGGAGCAAGGTATCAGACTCCTACTAGAACCAGCTATGAAGAAGAGCACAACTCAAAACAAGTCTGTGTTTCTAGCTCGACTCGGTTTTACCAGAGAGGAGGTTTGTCCAGCACAATATTATCTTGATAACAGCACAGATTTAGTTTTCTTTTTATTAGCTGATCAAGCTTTTCTTTACTACGAATTTGCGATTCTCCTTTTTTTTTAAAAGTATGTATCATAGGACCCTGAAGTGTCAAATAAGACAAAAATGATTTCACAGTTTTGATCGATGGTCAAACCACGACAACATCTTCAGAAGCTACCGTTCTAAACTTCAGGAAAATTGTAGCTTCTGAGGCTAAACGACTTCTTGATAGGCTAGATTACTTCACACGTTGTTGTTTCAGATATTGTCAGCAATGAAGGAGGCTCACTCCAGAGATTTTGAGACTGTGCCAGTAACATTTAGTGCCCTGTGAAGGAAATTCGCGTTAGTCCCCCTTTTATGGGCGGAAACAAAACCAGTGACATGATGTAACTGTTTTCTATAAGAATGAATAGATAAAGATTAAAGATGGGTTGAAAGATGATTCGGTTTTGCACAAGAATCAAGAACTACCATATTCAGAACCGGATTTTGATATGATTATTAATCCGTGAAATTATTACTGTTCCCAACATTACTTAATTAGACTTGGTTATTTATTACATTGACAGATGGAATTATAGAAACTTTTTGGTGATAGAATTTTCAAGTTTCTAATTTGTGTATTCCAATATATTTTAGTATTTGGGATGGTGTTTTACTTCAGTACGATAATTCGGATAAGTTTAAAGTTTTTCATTTTTATCTGACATTCGACATCCATTAATATTGAAAACAGTTTTAAGAAACGCACTGTTCATTTTAATTGAATTAACTGGATATAAAATCAAGTTAACCCCACCAACCTTGCAGCTACAATGTCAGTTAAACTACCTTCATTCAACACAGACTTCACATGTTACCTAGACAACCAGCCGCCCCACACTGTGAAACTAGTGACAAACACTGAAATAATAGAGTGTAGCGGAGTAATACTATCTCAGCACAGTCAGGTACTTTTAATTACTTTAATCAATTAATTAACTCTAATTACTTTTAATTCTTTCAGCTATTTAACAAATAATTTAGGGCTAATGTCACTGAGGATGACGCCTTGCAACAGCCTGTATAGTGTATATTATCTAGTTTGATCTCAATATATGGAACAAATTATCTAGTTTGATCTCAATATATGCAACAAATTTACTAGTTTGATTGTTCAAGGTAAAACTATCCCTCAGGTACTAAGAGAACAGATCAGACAGGACAATGAGGTGTTCCTGCTGGATTATCAGTATGTCAGAGAGCTGCTGGTTCTGCTACATGGGGGGTGCGTGGACCTGACGGTGGAGAACTGTTTGGAGTTTGTTAAGTTCGCTTGTCAGTTCAAGGTTGAGGGTGTTGTGGAGCAGGTGTATTGTTTTCTTAGTTCTGTTGTTAATAGTTCCAATGTTGTTCAGTGTGTGAAGGTTTGTCTAGGGGCCATAAAGGTTGCTTCCTTTTATGCAGATGATGGTTTAGGCAGAGACCTCCTGTGGCCTTGTGAGGATATTGTTGATATGATGAGCTCTGAGGAAGTTGTTGAGTTTGTTAGCCATTTTGAGCCTGATGAAGTTTTTGCTATGTTTGTTAACAAAATCTTTGTTAAGAAGATGCTTTCTGTTTGTTCTGGTTTAGTTATAGAGTCCAACGCTGAGTCATTCCTGGAATCACTGCTCCTAAACGAGGATTTTGTAGAGGCTGCTGCACTATGTCCTGAACCTGAAATAACAACATTTTTTGAAGTGGTCGAGAAGCTGAACTCTTTGTCCGTGAAGAGCTGGAAGGTGCTGCATATTCTTAAGAAATCTGTGTTCAAGGAGAAATCAATGAGTAGTTTAAATGTGCAGGTTGCTAGTGGCAACAATAGTCATCAAATGCTATTGAAAGATTGGAGATCATACACCGGTGACCAAATGTTCCAACTCTGCAAATTAGCATCAGGCATAAATAACTTTTATCTTATGGAGATCATCATTTCTTGGGTGTCCCTGAAAAAGCCCAACCTCAAAACTGTTAAACGTCTCTGCAATGCCATAGATCCTGCCTTATTACCTTGCTTATATCTAGAACATGCAGCAGCAATCATTAATTTACTCGGCTATAAGGTTACTTTAAAAACTGATAAAGGTACGACATCGAAGTCATCCCACACTTTCAACAAAAAAGTAAGCGTGGAGCTAAGACATGATGTCCATCAGCTGTCTATATCCTTTATATGTGGTTGTCCAAACTATGGCCAACCGCCATGTGGGAAGATCGAAGTCAATAAAGCTGAAGTTGTTGTATACTGTCGCCAAAGTCCATTGTCAAGATATGCGGTGTACGGAACAACTGAAGATGGCAAACATATCCCTTTTTACGCCGATGTAATGGCTGTGATGACTGTTCCAATTGCTAATATTACGCTCATTGAACTAGACTCAATTGAAGAGCGCTATACCAAGAAAGCACGACACATATAGAAACTAGGACCTCATGACACATATATTGGAGTGTACTGTTACAAAATTAGATGTTATCAATTTTGTGGTTTGTTTTACTTAAGTACCCTAGCATTCTCATAATTATTTTCTTTGTTTTTAATGTATAGTAATTTTTCATTCGAATTTGTCATGATATTTTTAATTTGGGTAATTTGATCTTTAAAAACATATTGATATTGTTAATGATTATTATTATAATGCTGCATCTTGTTGATTTATTGCTTTATTGCAACAGTTCATGGTATCTACATGCGTTTGTAGTATTATATACAAATCAGTTGAATTGTTATTTATTTTTTATATATTTTTAGTTATTTTTATACACATTATGGACTATGGTGTGAGGCGAGCCACGTATCCACCCATTAAATTTTTAAATTGAGGTCGGAGGATGTCCAATAGGGGATGCAATGGTCTCATTCATATACGACTTATATGGAGCAAAGCAACATACACTATTAAATACTTTTAAAGATTTTATTTTTGCAGTAAAAATAACGACCAGGTAGCGCAGTTGGTTAGAACGCCGTCTTTGCAAATCGTGAGGATGCGAGTTTGAATCCCACTGTCTGCCTGGTCGTGGGGTGAGCGTCGTCGACGTTCAGCTAATGATCCTGAGTGGTCTATGCAGCCCCCCAAGTCTAAAGCCTTGTATTATCAACATTGAACATGGAACTAGACTCTGTGCTAACTAACTATGTATATTATTTTTACTTTAGTGCAATAATTTTGATCAAAGTTTTCGATTATCTGACATTCGACATCCATTAATAAGTTCACAAAGACAAATTTGAGTACATTTGTCACAAATTCAACCACCAATATGTACTATCTGAGCTTCCATTTGTGGTTGAACATTATCAATACACAGTTTCCAAAGACCATACACTTGAGCCAATACATCAGCTCAGAGATTTAGGCGTCATAGTGTCAAGTGATCTCTCTTGGTCCCCTCACATACGAGTCATTGCAGATAAAGCTCGCCAAAAAGCATCATGGGTTCTCAGTGTATTTCACACACGATCTCACTCCATCATGCTGACGCTATACAAATCAATGGTTCGAAGTCTGATTGAATATTGCTGTCCATTTATTATGGCATCCCTCAAAAATCAGCGATATCCAAGAACTGGAGAGTGTACAGAAAGCATTCACCGCCAGAATATCAGGAGTGCGCGATCTCCACTACTGGGATCGCCTGGTCTATCTATCTCTGATGTCTCTTCAACGAAGGCGGGAGCGATTCATCATTCTCCATATGTGGAAAATCCTCCACGGAAAGACCAGCAATGATCTGAATGTTCTATTTGTTTCACGCCCAAGGCTTGGAAAACTTGCAGTAATTCCATCAAAACGTAGAACCAGTTCAACAGCAAACCTCACCTTGTTTGACAACTCATTTGCAGTTCAGGGACCTAAATTGTGGAATGCAATCCCCTACCATCTGAATGTCATTCAAGATCTAGAGCACTTCAAAGATAAGCTCACAAAGTTCATGTTGTCTCTCCCTGACAAGCCGCCGATCAGGAGCACCCCTGCAGATTTCGTCCATTTCAGGTGCCGACAGGACCTTAAAAATTAAAAGCAAACTAAAATTGTTTCCCCTAAAATCGAGCGCTTTCTGCGCAAAAAATTGACCTCAACAGAAAAAATTAAACATGGCTTCAAATCCAAATTTGAACCAGAGATTTTTCACTTCCTCTCGATAAACTCAATTTTCAACCCAAAATAAAGTCTCAAAGGGGGAAATTACTCAGGTCAGGATTGTAGGCAATGATTATGCCAAACCATACATTTTTGTAAATTCATTAAACTTTCAATTTAGCCTAAAACACCCTATTTCGCAAAATTTTTCCGGGGGGCTGTGCCCCCATAGCCCCCGCCAATGGGGTCCGCCCCAAGACCCCTGCCACAGCTTGCAGCTTCGCTCGCCGACAGCCCCCCCAAAAGAAAAATCCTGGCTACGTGCCTGAGCAAAATATAGGTTTAGGGCTTTTCAGATGATTTGTAAATATGTAGTTCAGGTTTACCTGGCCCGTAGGTTACGAATGTGCCCGAGGAGAAAAAAAAGCAAACTTAAGAAGATTTCTCGGGAACTTAAAAGTTCACCTCAAAACGAAATCTGCACCTATGATCAGGGGATATACTCCTCCAAATACGAACTCTCTGCTGTGCTGGCGCAACGAGCGAGACTCTACTTCGCTATGGGGTGGTCAGAAGATGTGATGGCCCCGTCAAGTCTTGACGAAACTCAACATAGGTCACATCCGGTAGGTCACAATCTAGGTAAACTATAGGTAAAAATATAATATTAATCATAAGCTAAAATGTACTAATCTTTGTATTCTAAATGGGGAAAAAGAAGAAACATTGTCAGTCAGTCGAGAAAATTGTCAGTCAGACTGATATGGCAGCTTTGTAGATGTTGTGACTATGCTAGTAGTGGTCCCAGGCTTGCGACTGGAATTGTGTTAACCACACCTACCTTACAGCTACAATGTCAGTTAAACTACCTTCATTCAACACAGACTTCACATGTTACCTAGACAACCAGCCGCCCCACACCGTGAAACTAGTGACAAACACGGAAATAATAGAGTTTAGTGCAGTTATACTATCTCAGCACAGTCAGGTACTTTTAATTACCTCAATTAATTAATTAATTCTAATTACTTTTAATTATTTCAACTATATAACAATATTGAGGCTAATGTCACTGAGGATGATGACGTCTTGCAACGGGATGATGACCCTTGCAGCAGCCTGTAAATTATTTAGTTTGATCTCATAGTACAGTCAAATACGTATTTTTGTCGGACATAATTCGCAACAAAGCGATTTCAACGGGAAACGGTCGGGACAGGTCCCAAGAATCATCTCAAAGAGTTCGCAAAATTTCTGACCTCAGCAATATCCACAATTACCACTTTTTTTACCACTTTTTACCACATTGGTCTTATCAGTATAAATGCAATGAATTATCTAGTTTGATTGTTGAAAGGTAAAACTATCCCTCAGGTACTAAGAGAACAGATCAGACAGGACAATGAGGTGTTCCTGCTGGATTATCAGTATGTCAGAGAGCTGCTGGTTCTGCTACATGGGGGGTGCGTGGACTTGAGGGTGGAGAACTGTTTGGAGTTTGTTAAGTTCGCTTGTCAGTTCAAGGTTGAGGGTGTTGTGGAGCAGGTGTATTGTTTTTTGTTAGTTCTGTTGTTGATATTTCCAATGTTGTTCAGTGTGTGAAGGTTTGTCTGGGGGCTATAAAGGTTGCGTCCTTTTATGCAGAAGGTGATTTAGGCAGAGACCTCCTGTGGCCTTGTGAGGATTTTGTTGATATGATGAGCTTTGAGGAAGTTGTTGAGTTTGTTCGTCATTTTGAGCCTGACGAAGTTTTTGCTATGTTTGTTAACAAAATCTTTGTTAAGAAGTTGCTTTCTGTCTCTTCTGGTTTAGTTATAGATTCCAACGCTGAGTCGGTCCTGGAATCACTGCTCCTAAACGAGGATTTTGTAGAGGCTGCTGCACTATGTCCTGAACCTGAGATAACAACGTTTTTTGAAGAGTTCAAGAAGCTGAACTTGTCCGTGAGGAGCTTGAAGGTGCTGCACAATCTCAAAAAGTCTTTGCTCAAAGAAATTTCATTGGGAGCTCTGATTTTAACAACCTCTGCCATTTGCATTACCAGCAACGGCCACGGAGAGATGTTGAAAAGTTGGCAAAATTACAGCGTTGACCAAATGTTCGGTCTCTGCAAACTACCGCTGACAGCAGAAATTGATAACTTTTTTTTTCTTGAGATCATCATGTCTTGGGTTTCCTTGAAAAGGCCGCAGCTCATGGTTGTCAAACGTCTGTGCAATGCCGTCAACCCCACCGTATTACCTTCATCGTATCTCCAACATGCTTCAGCGGTCATTAATGAACTTGGCTATGAGGTTACTTTGAAAATCGAAAAAGGTACGGCATCCGATACATGTCACCCTTACGACAGCAAGGAAAGGCTTGACATAAAATATTATAGGCTTAACTCAACGCCTAATACCTATTATTGGAATCCTACCATGTGTATCCGCTTTGAATGTGGTAACCATAACAGAAAAAAATGTATCTCCCAAATTGTAGTTGATAAAGACGGAGTATTTGTACACTGTGATCCAAAGGCTAATCCAGGTAGACCATCTTCAGGACATGTTGTCTACGGAACTTTTAAAGGTGGCAAACACATTCCTTTCTACACCGATCCTATAGCTGCAATGAAGTTGTCATCTGTTGATGAAACGGATGAAACTGAAATGACGATTATTCGTTTGAATTCCTACGAAGGACCTCAGGTGCCCCCAGGACGGAAGTGGGTAGACGATTAGAGTAAGGGTGTCAAGAGCATGATACAATGTACCTGTTAATCTAGACCTTGCTAAAGATGGATTGTAACATTGGAAGACATTGGTCGTATTATTCACAAAAAGATTTTTTAAAAATTTATTTTATTTTCTTACAATTTGTCAAAACATTACTGCTGTCACAAGTCATTATTAGTGTTCGCTCCAACGTATATTCAAGACGTGTTTCGGTACACTCATCATGGTCACACATTCAAACTTATGGTTCCATCGTTTAACTCTAAGTTTGGTGAGCGAAGCTTCTCAGAGGTGGCTCCAAAGATATACAACCGTCTGCCTACTACGATCACATCAGCTGAATCCCTGGAATCCTTTTTAGTATTTTTTTTTGGCATTTCTGAAAACTTTCTTATTCAAATTATCTCAGCATGAACTTGAAAAAAATTATCAATGACTAATTTTGGCCTATATTTAGATTTTAGCGTTAGTTTAATTTTAAGCTTCACTCTCTGATTTTAGTATGAACGATATATTTTCAAGTATACAATAGCAGTCCTCACTTTTATCATGATAGTTTCTGGGATGATTAGATTAAACACTGCTGAGTATAAGTTTATCTTAATAGTGGTGTTTTGAAACTTCAATTTATTATTATTATTAAATTAAATTGATTGTGATTATTAAATTAAATTGATTAGACAACTGATTGGATTATAGCAAACCAGCCTATTTTTTTATGAATAATTTAATCTTTTTGTCTTGGTTTTGGTTTTATATGATTTCTCTTTTTGATAATAGCATTACGATTTTTGATTAAATTTTGCACAATTTAAATTATTTACTTATTTTACTTTTAAACATGTTGATTTTTTGTTTAATTTGGCAAGATTTCAGTTTTCGCCTATTTTAATTTTTATGAAACACATACATTTTTTTAATAAAATTGTTGTAATTGATTGTCGCTAATCAGCAAATTATTATTTCATTTCAACCTGTGTAGTACTTTTTTTCATGTTACAACTTTCGATGATTATTAAGGTTTGAGCTGACATCTGCAAATTTAAACCTTAAAATTTAATGATAATTAAATAATATCGGAGGCAGTATTATTACTAATTATATTAGGATAATAATATTAATCCTCGTGCTAATTCGACTAATTATAATAGGATAATGATAATCCCGGTGCGTTGTTTCACGTGCGGCAAGGTTGTGGGTAATAAATACGAAACTTACCTGGCCCTCCTTCAAGCTGATTACCCTGAAGCGTAAGTATTTAGAATACATTTATTCTTTTATTTTACAGAACTGTGTCATTTTCTTGATACAGTAAAACCCCGATTTACTGCAAACCCCGATTTAATTTACCGCGGCCATTTCCTCTCCCCAAATAGGGCTTATTAACACAATTTAAACAATCAAAACTCCGATTTAACGCAAACCCCAATTTACCGTGGCTTTTTCCTTTCTCCCAAACTCCGCGGTAAATCGGAGTATAACTGTACTTTAAAGAAGACTTCTGATCGAACCCCTTTTTAATTCCACCTGAATTTAACACCACTACCACAGTGACGTAATGGACACACTAGGACTCCGGAGGTATTGTTGCAGGAGAATGTTACTGTCACATGTTAACCTTATTGATAAGCTCCTTAACTACGCTCCCCTCGAGAAATGAGAACTGTTGTTCAAGGAATTATTGAAGAAGTGTTTTTATCTGCTTGGATCGGCTGATTGTTTTATTTATAAGAGCTTTCTGTTTTTAACTTTTTATCGCAAACTTAAGTTTGCACGGAAATGATACTTGCTCTCATTAATATTCAGATTTAGATGAAGCTCTCAAAACTTAAATTATTTGAACAGTATTCTATTATTGACGAAGAAAGTCAATGTCAAAAAACTCTAATAAATGATATAAATGATTGAACGTATTTCCTTACATTTGATTAAGCTGAAATACTCGACATCCTGAACTTTATTTTATTGATCTCTTTAAAAGAGCTACATCATAAATTGGACCTTACTGCCCTTGCTCGAACAAAAGCTCTATTGAACTCTCAAATAAGCAGATATTGTTATAATAAAGTTATATAAACAGTATTAAGTTATGTACGCACACTAAACTCTTATATTATATACAGAGTAAAAATATTATTATTATCATTATAATTCAATTAAATAACCACTAACTAATTATTACCACACAGTAGCTCGATAATGACAACACCAGCGCCGATGCCAATAGAGACCGTGGTGGTTCACCCCTTAGTCTTGCTCAGTGTGGTGGATCATTACAACAGAATTGACAAGGTCAGCAGTCAGAAACGTGTTGTTGGTATTCTGCTGGGGTCTCGTCACAAAGGTAAGGAACGTGTACTAACTACTATAACTATTTAAGTAGCAAGTCTAAGACACCGGAAACGCTGGTTTATTGAATTTTCGAATGCTTTTTAAAGTTTTATTATAACTTTCGATTGCAAATTCCGTTGTCTCATTCCGATGTTTTGTTGTTATCATTTTTTGTTTTTTCCCTTGTTTTCTATGGAGCAACTTTGAAAACTAGTCATTACATTCATTCTCATCTGATACCGACCCAATGTCTAGAAATATAAATTCCACCCATTCCAGGTGTTCTGGACGTGTCAAACAGTTTTGCAGTTCCTTTCGACGAGGACGAAAGAGATCCGGATGTGTACTTCCTGGACCACGACTACCTGGAGTCAATGTACGCTATGTTCAAGAAAGTCAATGCTAAGGAGAAGATTGTGGGATGGTATGTTTATTGTATTTTAGCTGAGTATCCTATGAAGTAGTATTGTGGATCGTCGTTTTATCTGACTTTTCAACGACTTCATCGTAGAACCTTCGCAAATTTGAGCGAGGGTCTATTCCCTAAATTAATTCCAGTGATCACTTTGTATTCATGTAACAAATCCAGTTGGAGGAATGTTCATCAAATTCCTCCTGTCTCAGGTACCACACCGGACCCAAGCTGCACCCTAACGACATAAAGATAAACGAGATTATCAAGAAATACTGCGCTGACAGTGTCCTGGTTATTATTGATGCTAAACCTAAAGATCTGGGCCTGCCTACTGATGCTTACATTGCTGTAGAAGAGGTGAGAGTCTAAATATTTAGTTAGTCTAAATAATTAAAGTTGCGAACATTTTCAAAAAAAGATTTTTTGTTTCAATTATTTCCTATTATTAAAATTAATAATCTTGTTAATGTTATGTTATCTCACTTGCGGTGCTCTTCTGTTCTACTCCATCCCATTTACTCCCTATCACTTACACACTGTAACACACTGTTACACACTGTAATACTGTAACACTGTAACACACTGTTACACTATCACACTGTCACGCTGTTACACTATCACACTGTTACACTGTCACGCTGTTATACTGTCACGCTGTAACACTGTTACACTGTCACGCTGTAACACTGTTACACTGTAACACACTGTTACACTGTCACGCTGTTACACTGTCACGCTGTAACACTGTTACACTCGTTACACTGTAACACACTGTTACACTGCACAACACAGGTACACGATGACGGGACACCCACAACCCGTACCTTTGATCACGTAAAGAGTGAGATAGGAGCAGAGGAAGCAGAGGAGGTGGGAGTGGAGCACTTGTTGAGGGATATCAAGGATACCACCGTCGGTACTCTCTCCCAGCATCTCACCACTCAGGTATCCATGACTAGTTATTTTACTAAATATAGGACTGCTTTCTGTTTTTATTACAGTACTGCTTTCTGTTTTTATTACATTACAGTGGATCAAAATGAGCATGATTATCATTTATCAGAACCCACTATCTCCAACTTCCCCCTCTATCTCTCACTTTTTCCCACTCTAACCCTCCCTCCCTCCCAGGTAGTAGCACTGAAGTCCCTGCACAGTAAACTACAAGACATCTCCGTTTATCTTACTCAAGTATCAGACGGTAAACTGCCCGTCAACCACCCTATTATCTACCAGCTACAGGACGTGTTTAACCTCCTCCCTAACCTTAATGTTCCGGATCTCATGAAGGCGTTCACTGTCAAGACAAACGATCAGAACTTGGTAATTAGAATTAAGACAATTGAAACAAAATACAAATCATATCTAATAAATTTATAAAGACGATTTGTTGATTATTTTTATATCTGCCTGATCCAGAGGATATCACCAATTTACCTTCACACAGACATCGAACGCTGTAAGAAGATGACGATCAGACCTCATGATTTGTTGATTACTTGAGAACGTAACAAACATAATATAAAGATATAACACAGCTCAAAACAGTAACGATTATGTTGGTTTATCATGGTAATAATACCCGAAACACCCCAGGTGATGTACACAGCCTCAATAATCCGAGCAGTAATAGCACTGCACTCTCTTATTAACAACAAAACTACAAATAGAGCTGCTGAGAAGGAGGGCAGCAAGAAGGTACAGAATATGGTAAATCAGGGTTTACTAATTTAATGTGTTTTTTGGGACGTCACTGTGATTATCCAATCAGCTTTCAGTATTGACCAATCAGAACCCAGTATCTCTGTCATGACGTGTCAGAACAAAAGAACTGGTTCACTTTCCCACATGAGTATTCGTATCTATCTATCGATGATTTTATAACTGTTTAAGTCTAAATATGAGGGAGAATTTGCTCACCTCTTGGAATTTGTTGTCTGTTGTCTATATATGGTAATGACATATTATAGCCTATATTATAGCCTGTCCAAACCCAGGCTACATGACATGAAGACTTGTTGTAACTTGTATGAACAGCATTAACATTCTATTACAGATTGAAGTGGAGAAAGAAGATAAGGAAGAAAAAGAAAAGGACACGAAAGAGGATTCCAATAAGAAAGAGGTCAAATCCTAAAGACTTTTTATAAAGTTTGGTGGGTTTATTTGACGTAGTACTGGAGGACACTCAGGCCCTGGCTGGCTATTTGTACGACTATTTGTATTAGGGACCACTAATTAATTAGTAATTAATTAATAATTGATTAGTAATTGATTAGTAATTAATTAGTAAACTTCCACACATATTTCCCTTTATGATTATACAAATATTAAAATAATGTGTTACTGTATATCGACATGTTGTTGTAGGGAAATGCTCGACTCTCCGATAAATTTAATTCCCTTTATTTGATCGTTCATGAGCAAGGTTTTTTCTTGAGAATTCTAATACATGATAAGAAATCATAAAATAGACTAAAGAAGGTGGATTTTACCCTTCTTTAAATTAGAATACATTAGAATGAGTCCATTGTGCTTTAATCCAAGATGTTATAAAAAGCCGATTGTCATAAAAGATTGATTGATTCGAAATATAAAAGATGTCCTCTAAATGAGTTGGTGTACGTTAATATTTACTTTATTAGTATTTGTACATATTCAGTTGTTGTTACAGTTGTTGTTACAATTCAAGTTGGATGTATTCTTCCTCTTCGTTCTAACTTCATTTCATTTAGGATTGATTAATTGCTTGATTGATCACTAATACATCGATCAAAATATATCATCCAAATTATTAATCAAACCAATTGAACTGTCACGCAAAAAACTATCAATTCATTAATTATTTAAGGGCCTTGCCACATTATTAAGCTGAAGCTAACTGGTCATGACTAAAATTTTAGTAGAGCAATTCTATTTCATTGACAGGCAAAGTATACTAAAGATAACCATAATCGTTCTACTCACGCATTATTAACATTAAAATGATTAAATGAATGTTAAATTTTACCATTTAAAAAACAAACTAATTAAAATCCCCTCCTACCTCTAGCTCACAATGGCTTGCACCAGAGCACAAGTCCTTGGTTCCTACAGAAAACTGCTCCGTGCGGGCTTCATCGCGTTTCAAGACAACTACCTGACATTTGCAGACTACCGCAATGCTGTCCGCTCAGAATTCCAACTTCAAGCAGACGAAACAGATCCAGAGATTATTGAGAAGTTGATAAAAAGAGCTGATCAGATGGCTTTTGAGGTTAGGACCAGGATTGTGCCTCTTGAAAAGGTGGATGATGAAAACTTTAGGGTATCTTTCGAGGACAGACATTTTGACGGTCAAAAATGAGTTACAATTTCGAGGGAGAAATGTGAGAGATGCTTTTTGTACGTAGGGATTTTCAAGTTATCCCCTGGTGAATTTCCTTGATCGGTGAAATTTCTAAAACTGTTAATTTGTTATGAGCTATGGAATGTGGTTTAATACAATCATATTTATAAACACTTCAGTTTTCTCGAATGTTCGCTAGAAAGATGCAGAACATTCCAGAAATTAAATAAATTTGGGGCTGGGACAGTGTTCAGTTTGTTTGAATTATGTGAACGTTTTTGTAAGTGACGAACATTTTGTGTGACTCAGATGATTAAAGATGGAATTTTCTAGACTTTCCATCTGATAATTTCACTAGTTCTTTGCACTTTGATATATTACAGCTGTTTCAATAATTGATACTGTTATTTGTTGTTATTCTGTCCCGAAGTTAGGGAAAATTCAGAATTCCTAACATTCTATAAAACCCCTGAATCCCCAGGATTATGACCCCCTGAATCCCCAGGAAAATGACAGTAGATCTAGAGGAGGTCCAACTAAATCTCTCCCTCAAATCCCATGTTTCTCAGGAGACCTCTCCCCCAGCAGTTGAGGACACCTTTATAGGACCAGCTATTCCTGCACATGTCGTATCTAACAACGACTCCTCGCAAGTTATTGTAGATAACACCCCCTCGCAAGTTATTGTAGATAACACCTCCTCACAAGTTATAGATAACAGCTCAGTTAGGGTTAACCCCTATATAATTAGGTCTTTGAGTTCAATATTAGCTCCTGATGGAAACACTTCTTCACCTCAAGCAAACAGTGTAAGCAATGAATCGTCCTCTTTAAGAGAGAAGTCAGCGTCTCCTTTAAAACAACCGTTCAGTCATGTAGATGAAGTTCCTTCAAAAGGAGTACCTGCTCCTGCCACTTCTCCTTTAAAAGAAGTACCTGCTCCTGCCATCGCTCCTTCAAAAGGAGCACCTGCTCCAGCTAAGAAACGTCGTATCCGCGACGTAACCAAAACAAGGCGATTTCAAAACAGTCTATCATTTCTCTTAGGCTCGATAACTGATGACAGCAAAGGCACACTGGCGACTAATAAAAACAATGATGAAAACTCAGTAAATAATACCAATGAAATGGATTGTTCCAACAGCTTAAGCGTCCTGAACACTACCTCTTTCAAAAAAAGGATTTTACCTGATGATTTTACAGTACATCAGAAGGATAAAGCTCCAACTCCTGAAAAAACACTGCAACAAGTTAAAAAAGCCCCAACCCCTGAGTCTCTCCACACGACCAAACGGCCCTGCCCCCACAAATTCACCCAACCCACTCTCACCAAAACAACCTCTAAACTCTTCTCCAGCACACCCAACAACTACCTGAAAGGCTGTAAATGGTCACCCGATGGTCTAGCTCTTCTCACGTGCTCACGAGATAAAATAGTTCGCATATTTAACATACCCGACATAACCACCACAGTGGAGCAACACCCTACAGCGCAGCATTCCGCCGCTAATGTTCCGTATGATGTGGAGTGGAACCCTGAGATCGACCATTTGTCTGCTGGTAACTGTAACTTTGCGGTGTCGTGTAAAGATAGCCCTGTGCAGCTTGTTAACGCGTTTACTGGGGCTACTCTTGCTTCTTTTACTGCTTTTAATAATGTGAGTTCAATTAATCAACCAGCTAAAACTCAGAGATTATTTTATACTTTTACAAAAGTTGATTTTGCTAAATTAATACCATCTGTTAATCACAACCTGGTATGTTAAGCCTCCAGCTACCATAGATCACTAACACCCCATCTACAATCTACAGGTAGAAGTTCTGTTATCAGCTTTCTCTGTGTGCTACCTATCACGTGACAAACTACTCGGCGGATATTGTAAACACGTGAGAGTGTTTGACGCGACCCGCCCTGGACGGGACTGCACGGTGATACCTGTGGGAGATCTACAACATCAGAACAATAACAGTATTGTGTCAACTGTTGCAGCTCATCCAACTGTTGATGGTGAGAGTTTTGTTATGTTTTAAACCGCTGATTTTACAAATTTGGCTCTAGTATTCCACGTGAAGTATTGTTACTTCGCTCATTATAATCTGATAAATATCAGATCATGGTGGTTAATTACTCGAGTTTTCTTTGCTGTAAGACTCAAGAAACGAGCTTGAAACATTTTATACAACCCACTGAAATAAACATAATTAAGTTATTAAGGTATTAAAACAATCCAGGGCTGTTTGGAGCAGGATGTTATAACAGTACAGTTGGACTCTACTCCTCACAGATAAAGGGGGTTCTGATGCCGTTCTACGGGCCACAACACGGTGTTACACAGATCCAGTTTAGTAAAGACGGTACGTTATTTTCTTATCTTATTTTCTTACTTTATCACCCTTATCTTTGATGTGTAACAGTTGGTTCCATTCGCTATTTTTTGTTCCTGTGTTAAAATGTACTCGTTATCAGTTATTCGCGAAATTTTCTCAATAAAGCAATAACATTGATTTATAATTTAACTTCTTCGCGTGCTTGTTGACTCATAAAATATCACAAACAGTTAATTCATAACTGTGTATCTAACAGGTAACAGACTCTACTGTGGTAGTAGGATGGAAGGAGAGATATACTGTTTTGATACTCGTTACAACGGATCAGTACTCCACACATACCACCGTGATGTGCAGACCAACCAACGGATTCAGTTTGATATTAACAAATCAGAGTCAATGCTGGCAACAGGTAACCATGATGGTACTGTGCTTTTATTCGACTTGTCGGGTGAACAATCGGTGGTCAACCAAGAGGATGATGGTATGTCTGAGTTGAGGTTTGAGGCACATACTGATACGGTTAATGGTGTTTCTTTTCATCCGTATTGGGGACTACTGGCAACAGCATCCGGTAGGAGACATTTTCATATTGAGGATTCTGAGACCGAGGAAAATTCACTGAAAATTTGGTCTTTTTGAGACTAAAATCAATTCAGAGTTCTGTAAAGTTACTTTTGCGGAGACATTTGATTCGTTTTATGTTTTGATTTTTAACAATTGAGCTAACACTTTGTATTTTTCATCATATGACCAATTTTGCGTGGTAGTCATTGGCTCTGAAGTCAGTCAGTCGCACTTGTGGTATTTTGTACGCGTAACGCGCGAAGACAAAGTTATGATTCGAATACTCTTGGCTGCAATAACACGCGCGTTTTTATGGATCGATGGTTTCTGGAACTATATACGCGTGTTACCCGCTTTTGTTTTATCTTCTTGAATCGTCTCTTATCTGTGCGTTCTGGTATTCCATTTCATGATTTGTACCTGAACTGAATGTGCCAATTTGTCTGACAAATCAATATATTCTGCAAATATCTAACTGCTCTGACTCCTTGTTTTCAAAAATACAACGTTTTGACCTTATCGTAGATGATCAGACATTTTATTAATCGCTTACAAAAATATACCCAAAAATCAAGAAAAGATTTGTTAAGTTCTTGGTGAAATCTCATATCCTTATTTACAGTATGTAGCATGGACATGTTAATTGAACAAGAAATGTAGCTACAAGTTCCCCGACAGTAAAAGATATAAAAGAAAGAAACTTGCAGTCATGTCTACTGAAGATCAGATCATCAAATTACTCAACCAGGTTAATTATCTTATTATTTACTAAAGTTAGTATTATGTAAGGATGGATGGATATTGGTTACCCTGGTGTCCCTATATTTGATATTTCTGTGAAAAAATAAACAATATTAGTACACTGTGATGATTGCCACACTCTAGAGGTAGGCAGAGCATCTCAATGCTATCCTCTTGTGGGCTATCATGGCCCAGCCTCTCTTTTTAAAAACTGTGATGATGACGCCATGACGTGTCTCTCTCACCTGATTAAAAAATAAGCAACTAAAAACAAGCTCATTATATTCTTTAGTTGATATCTGCACAACGAAGCTATAACTGGTCTAAAACCTCCATAGTTCATAAACAGTCCCTAATTAAATTCTTGACATAACCTCACTCTTACAGGCGAGTTTAACAGACAACGCGGGAAAGCTGCAATGTTTAAGAAATGTTCAGGAGCTCCTGATAAACAAAGACCCAGTGTTATTGGATAACATGTTGTTGGAGATCATGCAGTTCCACAGGGATTCCAGTGCTGACGTTAGGAAGTTTGTATTAGGTGAGATTGTAATACCTACTTTAATTTGGGGAATCTGTTTCAATATTTAGATGAGGTGAATCTATCGGACTGCGATGAATGGCTTCCTCAAATTACTTAATATACAGTAGTGTTGAAAGTATTACAACTCTAGTATAACAATATCTACTATAATATGACATGCTCAATGGAACGATATGGCAGACGGCATTTCAGCGATTTCCTGTGAGCATTACTATTTAAACTCTAGTTTGTCACCGATTACCTCACACGGTACATTGATCAGGTTTTATAGAAGAAGTTTGCAGAAAAGACATGTTACTCCTCCCCAAATGTATTGACACTATAGTAACCCTGTTATCAGATCCCAACCTCCAAGTAGAACGGCGTGTTATTCAGGTTTTTAGTTGTTATCTGTTCGTCTTATATATATTCCATTTGTAAATACAGACGATTTGTACAATTTAAGACTTTTAGCCTCTGATAGAGCGGGATTGAAGAAATTGTTATAGCTTGTGTATCAGTATTTCTTTTTTTCTGGCTACTTATCAGATCTTTAAGATGTTCATTTATGTTCTATTTTTGATTTGAATAAAGTTATATAATATAGTTTACACGCTTTTGTTAGGTTAGAGTAATTTGCCGCCCTAATTTGTATTGTGCTGCTACAACTTACCCTCTCCTTCCTTCCTCTCAGGTTATAACAGCACTTTACCGAGACATGTTGTTGTGGCAAGTGCCACAGAGGAAAATACCACAAGACATGACAGAGGCCTGGGTCCATCTCTCACATCTTAAAGGTTAACAATTTTAATAAATCTGCTAACATATCTTTGAACATCAATCCTACTGTTATTGGTATCATAAAACTATCAGATTGGGTTGCAATCAATTTCAGTGCAATACACAACTTGATGATTCCAATCCTCTGCAGGTTTTATCCTGGAAGCACTGGACGCAGAAAACGAGGGTATCCGGACCCACGCTATAAAGTTTATAGAAGTCTTAGTTCTCTGTCAGAGTTTACATCCTAACCCTCCTGAGGATGGGTCTGAGGTGAGGTTTATGTTGTGGTGACGTCACGTCCAACCCTATCGTACATTCTTACCGTTTTACAAATGTTTATTGGTCTTTTTGTTTTTAGAACCTACATACTGTGCGAGCGTTTGCTCTTCAATCTGCGATCCACTTGATCAGTATTTTTGGGCACCTAGTTTTGAATATTCGATCAGAAATCCCGACAGAAAGTCTGTTTAAACTTCTCTCAATTATAGTAGTTATAGTAATTATAAATCCCAGGTATGTATAAACCTCATCCCTCCTGATCACGTTACTCTAGACTCCTCCTCGCTTAAAGCCGAGGGAGGAGTAGCATTCCAGTCTCTGGTTAACTTCACCACTACACAAACCATCACACCCATGAACCTGATGACGAGCATTGGGAGTCTTACTAACGTGGCTAAACAGAGACCTAACTATCTCGGACCTGTTGTTCAGGTATTTTATACTCTACTAGACTGTCGTTCAGGTATTTTATACTGAACTTGACTGTCGTTAATGTATTTTATTCTCTACAGTTTAGATAAAAACTTACACTTATTTAGTATTTACGGGTTGCGGATGAATGCTTATCTTGATAGTTAAACCGTATCTGCCGGTTTAAAAATCGGATTAATCATTTTAACTCTTCTCGTAACTATGTCTTTTCTGACACTTGGCACTCCTCCAGGTATTCGAGTCACTGCACGCCAACCTTCCCCCCACTCTTAGCAAGTCACAAGTATCCAGCGTAAGGAAACAGTTGAAGTTACACGCCACCAACTTGTTCAAGATACCCAGCCCCTTCACTGCTAGACTCGCTGGCTTGCTCAGCGATCTCGGGGCTACCTCTTCAGGTTATTAATATTGTTATCTTATCTCACGTTTTTTCTTCCGTTTCTAACTTTCTAATACTGACACGAATTGTTCACGTGTTCTACGTGTTTTTTGTCGAAGGCAAGGTAGCTTCATGACAGTCAAAAACAAAAGATAAGCATGTACAAAGTTGTGATTTTTAAGGCGTTTATTTTCTAACCAACATTATCTTTCCACAGAAATTGAACGTATTCGACCAAAGATAACAACAGAGAGCACCAAGAGATTATCAGATGACGGAGATTTAGAAAAACAAAAGAGTAAACGAAAAGTATGTGAATTTTAGTTGTGCCTAACTAGAAAATCTCAGAGAGTTAATTTTGTACTCGTTGCAAGTTAGGAAGTCATTAAATTCTCGGATCTAATAAAGATTCACGGCCCTCACATCACTCCAATGTCCATGTCTCATTTGTGGACGATACCTACACACAGAGCAGAAGTTGATTCACGATATCAATCCTTCGCAGCTCGGCGTGGCCCAGTGGTGCATCTCGCCGATCTACCGAAGATCGGTGGTTGCGAGAAAAATTATTTGATGCGCGGCCCAGTAGTGCATCGCACTACAATAACAGAAGTCACTCGGTCTCCTTTTCTGGACACCATACATATATCAACGTTTGTTAAGCAGGATAAATAAAGTTAAACCCCCCTCAGAAAGTTGACGAAGAGGACGAAGAGGAACGTCCCCCGCCTCAATTAGTAGAACACGACTCTGACAAGTTAGCTAACGTTATAGCGGAGAAGCTGACCCCGGAAATGGCAACTGAGCTGGTCCTGATAGGGTTGATGGAGCTGCCTAGTTCTATTCCTCCTCATTTTAATAGCGCTTATACCCCCATAGCTGCTGCAGGTACGATGAGAAGGGTTATTTTGTGGACCTGTAAAATACGTTCAACCATTTGAAAAGTGTAATTGATTTATAATACTATATAAATTTTTGGTTGACGATGTCAACCCATCGAGATCGTTGCTCTGCGAAGCAGAGCAACGAAGCAAGCAGCGAAGCAAGAATGCTAGTTCGCGCGGCGCGTCGAAGCGGCGAAGTCCTCCAATATAAATTTATAATGTTATATACTTATTAATGATATATATATATATCATTAATAAGTATTAGTAAGCTTTGGTAGCTGGTTGCGTGATTATATCAAAGAATCACATTGTATATAATTAAATAATCCTGTATTTAATTATTCTAGGAACGAAAACACAGATCCAGCATCTAGCCCGCATGCTGGCCGCACAGATATCAGCCCAGATAGGGATCACTGTCGCGGTACCTGAAGCCACTGTGCCTCAGAGCGAAGTTAAAACTAAAGATCCTAGGTGAGACTCAAAAAAGGTTAAATCAGTTTTGACAACATTTTTCCAATGCATGAAATAACATAAGTTACTGCTTGAAAACATTGACTGAAACTTCTGTTCAAGGTTGCAGAGTATCGAGGAGGAAGTGCATGCTAAGATTACAGAACAGATGATAACGAAACACTTTAATCTGGACCCAGAGGACCATTCCAGGTCATCTACCAGGAAAAATATCAAACCTTTCAACATTGACGACGTGAGTTTTTACAGCTGATCAGTCTTTTTAGAAAAGGAGACCGATTAACCTGGTTGAATTTTTGGGTTTCAGCAAAACGACGTGATTCATTTTTCTTTGATTTGATATTGTTTAACTTTAAATTTCCTCTAACTTCACGAGATAAGCCGTGGCACATATTTCATCACGTGATCATCACGTGTTTACCACGTGTTTACCACGTGTTCACCACGTGTTTACCACGTGTTTACCACATGTTCACTACAATCGCACGTGTCAGGTGTGTAAGCCACTGAAGACGGAGGAACTTGAGAGTAGTTCCCGGAAGTCACTCCGGAGGTTGTTCCAAGCGGAGAGGAACGCTGAGAACGACTGTGCTCAGACAACTGCGATTAGACACAAACTTATTGTTGGTAAGTTATTTCATTGAAACTTTTTAATTATAATTATTTAATAATAACTTATAATTATTTAATAACAACTTATTATTGAGAATTAAGGTGAAATTTTAAAACTTTTTGTTGTTTTTGGTAGCGTTATAATGGACAATCAAGATACGATTATTTCTTGATATTTACCACTTTTCCCACCTTAGGTCTTGTCACCCAGTTTGGTAAAGATTTTAGAAGAGCGTTCATATCGTTTGCTTTAGAAGATATGCGAGCAAGAGCTGATATCATCATAGCTTGGTTATACAGGTAATAAACTTATGACCAATATTTTTTGAACTTTTTACTGACAAACCTTGATTTTTAATTAATATTACCGGTAACACGTGACCGCTAACACCACGTGACCGCTAACATCACGTGACCGCTAACACCACGTGAACGATAACACCACGTGACCGCTAACAACAACGCTCAGGGAGTATGTGCTAGAACAAGGTTACGTGTGGAGAGGTCTAACTCCAGACAGCTATGGATATGAGCAGTGTTTACAATATGTGCTGCACGGTCTTTACAGGAAGCTGGATCCGGGAGACAGGCTGTTTACCAGGATTCTGCTGGAGTGTCCAGAGATTACTGAGGGTAGGTGAACACAACTTAGTTTTATTCAGAAACGACTTATATTCTCTTTCAAAAATGATTTCATTTTTCTCATTCAAATAAATGGGAAAAAAGCAACCTTTTTCCATCGTGGCGTCATTTGAGAACGATCATTGAAGTAACTATCTTTGTGTTTGGAATAACTAATCAGCTGTTACTGAACAGGTGCAATGACTATGATAAAGTCGTTCTGCGAGAACGCGGACTGGCAGGAGGTCGGTATATCCACCCTGTACGAACTCCTCCTCAGACGGTCCAACCTGCGGACCCAAATGCTGGACGTGCTCCTGGGACTCACCATGAACACCAACGAGAAGATCAGGGATCTTGCCATCGAAAGGTGCAAGGACTTGTTTGGTATCTCGGGGCTTGCTATGCCGCTGGAGGATTTTGCTACTACAATACTGACGAGACTGATCGCGGAGAATCCCACTCACGCGTGTAGTGCTGAGGACACTGAGCTACCACCAGGTTTCATTTTTAGCTTGTCACGTGACTAAAATATTAGCTCCTACTTGGTCGGTGTTAAGCCACGTGACAATTAAACTGCATCCTGATTGGTTGTTTGCCCCAGGACCGTATGATAAGGATTCCCAGTGGACGGAGGAGAGTATCAGATCTTGTTTGCATCTGTTCCTCGCCCTGCTCCCGCTCAAACCTCGCATGATCCACGGACTTGCGGAGGTGTACAGGTAAATTATTCTGAAATTTTACATAATTAGTAATTATTCTATGTAGTATGTATATATAATAGTTAGTAATACATAATATAATTAGTAATTATACTATAATTATACAATTGTTATCATAATGGCGTTTTTTTAGTTGCTTGATTCATTATTTTCATAGTATAAGTGGTGTTCTTGATCTTTAATACTAGTTCTTGTTTCTTACAAACTGTACAGCTACGATATTCGAATATCACGCAAACGGCTAAATCTATTCTGACACTCACTAGAAGAAAAAAAAACCCTAACTCTGATGGTTATTCTTCCAAATTCTCTTATCCATACGGGCGCATCTTGAACTCCAACACTTTATTAAATCTAAACTGAAACCTTTCAGGGAAAGCAGCAGTATGATCAAGAGAATAATCCTTAGAATGGTAGAAACTCCTGTGAGCATGATTGGTAAGTTTTAACCTTTTCGTTAGTCATCATTTATAATTTACCTAATTCTTAGGTAAATTTCTTGTTCACAATTGAAACAAGCGAAATACGATCACCTATTTTGATAGTTTCAACTATAAATATTGTTTGTTAAATATATGAGAACAGTTAAGTTCATGTTTTGGGGTGGAAAATAAAGTGAATCAGTATAAATACTGTCTTTTTTAATGTAGTTCGATAAACTTTATCTGCACACGGTTCCTTGATTTCACTAAAATAGTTCAACATTTAGAAAACCGTAACATACAACTATGACAGGTATGAAGAGTAAAGAGATCCTACAGTTGATTGAAAGTGGTCCAAAAGGCTCTGAAACCCTGGTAACACGTGTTCTTCACATCCTCACGGAGAATGAGGCCCCTTCTAAAGAGCTGGTTACCATGGTGAGGGGACTCTACGCTAAGAGGGTGACTGACGTCAGGTGGGGTATTAGTTGATTAATTAACCGATAATTTGGTGATCAGCCTTTTGTTTATTGAACCGATTGAACCTATTGAACCTATTGAACCTATTGAACCTATTGAACCTATTGAGAGGTTTAGATGTAGGCATCTTCACGGTCATCACGCAATCTACGGACCACCTTCTTGACTGCACCAGTCGATTATCGAGTTAGAGTTTTCTGCACTGTATCCAGGAGTAGGGGGCTTGTCTGGAAGGGTGTTTAGGAAGTTTCTAAGTAATGTCTTGAAGCTTGCCAAAGTCTTTTAGTATTGACAATTTTGGGGAGAACATTTCAGAGTCTTCCAGCTCTCACTGCGAATGAGTGGTCGTAAAGTTATAACCCGTCGAAAAATATTGATTTCATCATAAAATACACATAAAATTTCAAACACGCCAATAATTCTGACACCCTGCTGTAGGTGGAGCGTGCATCGGTTGATGCTTTTTTGTGAGAGAAGGAGTATAACTCCCAGTCTCGGAAGGTTGCAAGTTCGAGATTTTTATGCAATCTCCTACTGTCAACTCATCTGATTGATAAAAGGTTAAATGAGAAAGGAACCTGCCAAATATCTGGAATCTCGTAAAGTAAAGGCAGACATCGTATAATGTAATAGCTCACTGTATTCACCTTTTCAGGATGCTGATACCTGTGTTACCCGGTCTGGATCAGAAGCAGTTGGAGGACCTTCTTCCTAAAATACTGAAGCAGACCCCGAATGTGGTGAAGGAGGCCTTTAAAAGGATTCTTTCTCCTTACAGGGCTGGTGGATCAGGTAAATCTCACTGCATCACGTGATTTGTATATTACGCCACGTGATTTGTATATTACGCCACGTGATTTGTATATTACACCACGTGATTTGTATCTTATACCATGTGTTCTGCTATCAAACACCACGTGATATGACGTCACACACCACGTGATAGGAAGTCACACACCACGTGATATGACGTCACACACCACGTGATAGGAAGTCACACACCACGTGATGTGACGTCACACACCACGTGATATGACGTCACACACCACGTGATATGACGTCACACACCACGTGCTATGACGTCACACACCACGTGCTATGACGTCACACACCACGTGCTATGACGTCACACTTCACCTGCTATCTCCCTCAGGTACGGGACCCATAACCCCAGCTCAGCTCCTGATAGCCCTCCACCACATCGAGGGTAAGGGAGAGGACATGAAGGGGGTGATAGCTGCAACCAACCTCTGTTTTGCTGAGAAGGGTATTTACACCAGCGAGGTACTGGCTATCGTCCTGACTCAGCTCCTGGAGGTATGTGTAATGTTGTTTCTCGGCCGCAGCCGCGAAAAGCTGACCTCCAAATTTCGAGCCTTCAGTGTATTTCTATTGAAATTTAGAGTTTTTCGCAGCCGTACTACAAAATAAATAAATTAAACAATTCTGCCTACTATACTCTCAGACTTACAAAAAGGCAATCAGTATAAATTAATTCCAGGTTTTATGACGTCACACACACGTGCTATGACGTCACACACACCACGTACTATGACGTTACGTAATTGCAAATTAATTCCAGGTATCACCCATCCCTCTTCTGTACATGAGATCAGTAATCCAGGCTATCAGCATGTGGCCCAGAATGATAAGCTTCGTTCTCAACATCCTGGGTAAACTCGTTTCTAAACAGATTTGGAAACAAGCGCAAGTTTGGAGGGGATTTGTTAAGTGTTGCGCTATGTTAGGTAATGCTTATATCTTGTGTGATAAGTTTATACCAATAACTCAATATTTTTACAGGGCCAGGGGGGGGGGGGGGGGCAAAAGTCTGTATCCATACGTTGGCCTTAATAGCTCAGTCACTGAGTGCCCAATTGAAATTATTCTTTCTGGTATGACTTACTACCACCACTGGTTCGAGGAATTTTGTCAAATCAAAAAATATTCGTGTTGATTTTTTTCAAATGAAAGTTCATTTTTGCATTTATTTTATCGTTTGGATAGTCGGATCGAGCCAAATTTTATTGAATTGTGTTTGGCCATTCGAATTATGTTTGTCCTGAAAAAATTAAAGTTTTAGCTTCTCGGATGACCGAGATACGAAGCATAACGAGTTTATTCATTACGTGTGATCAGGTGATTGGCTTACCTAATAGGGCCTGTCAAAAATATATCTTCATCTCGCACAACTCTCTAAGAAACTTAGGTGCTTGGCATGTGTAAATTTGCAGCCTTCCAGACATTTAATTGGGCCTTAATATTGAATGGGCGAGGTCTAAAATATTCGAATTTTCAAATTTTAGGGACGGAATCCTCGAACAGTATGGTACAGTATGCAAAGCAACAACTCTCAAATATAAAACACGGCGGTGGTATAAGACCCAACGTACGTATACTGACTTTTGCCACCACCCCCCCCCCCCCTCCTATATTTATAGCTCTTGCAAAGCAATATAAAAATAGCAACAACAACAACAATTGTCATCCTGCATATACTCTAATGTTGAAAAATTAACATTTAACGAAGTTTTGTTTCCTCTAATCATCCCCTCTCAAAAAGTCCCTCTCTCCTCAGGAAGTCAGGCTCACGGCTTGTTGTTAACTCTGCCAGCATCTCGTCTAAAGGAAGCGTTCCAGCTCCACCCTGCCCTCCATAACCCCCTACTTCAACATGTACAGAACCTACCTGCATCGCAGGTTAGACAACTAATTACAACTTACATTTTCATCTTCCTTTTTATAATTCTTACCATTTCCTCCAACCATAATTTTGTTTCCAAGACACCTTTTCCACCTCAGAAAGCGCTGATCGACAAAGAAGTACTCCTCCTGATAAAATCTCCACCTCCTGACGCTACGCTCACAGTTCAACAACCAATCAACATAGGTCAGCCCCTGCCACCTCCACCCTTCACTCCGCGGGTACAGCCCTCAACCCCCACCTTGCCTACAACCCCTTCCACACCCACTAAACCTCCCACACCCAGCTCCCTCGCGCCCATCGTGTCTCAGGGGGGTATCATACCCCCTTCAGCCCCTCAGGGGGGTATCATGCCCCCTTCTGCCCCACCTCTTCTCCCACCACCTGGTACACCAACTGTGGTTTGAGATATCACGGTCACCACGACAACTGTTATTTGAGATGTCACGGTCACCATGACAACTGTGATTTGAGATGTCACGCCGTCACGGTCACCACGACAACTGTGATTTGAGATGTCACGGACACCACGACAACTGTGATTTGAGATGTCACGGTCACCATGACAACCGTAGCTTGAGGTTAATCACAGTCGCACAGAAGTTGATTCGAAAATAAAATCGGTCAAGCGGACGAGTTTTTATAGTCGTCAGATTTTAAAGTTATGATATTATAGGAGGAGTTTCGGACGACTAGAGGAGCTTTTCAGTTTTCACCATGCAATTGTATATCTTTTAGGATTTGACTTTTCGAGTACTTTGATTGTTTTCTATTCGGAGTGGTTGGTTTCATACTTAAATTATGTTTCATTATTTATCAAAGACAAAAGATTTGTCCGGTGAAATGGTATAATTTTATTAAATTTATTTATTTCATTCATAAAGTATGTATTTTTTCCAATCTCGGCTGGCGACTAATATAAATAAATCGAAAAATTACTGAAGATAATACCTTTTGAATTTGATCATTGATGGACGATGTTCCCTTTAAAAGTCAAAAGTAAATCGTACCAGTGCTACTCCAAAAGTTTAAAGCTTCCTTGGATTTTGAGCGAGTCATATTAGGTCACATATTATTGTTAACGTACTACGTTATCACGTTTTGGTAAATTCATGTTTGCCGCTCAATGATAATTTGCGTAATATATGCAGAACGACCTCAAACGCTTTCCACTAACCTTGACACTTGACGGATGATACTCGTCTACCAAAAACTATCACGTGACTTTGGTTTTTATGGTTTTGCAGTCGGTCAATACGGTTTTACATAAACCCTGAGCTAGGGAGAGGATGGCCATATTAAAGTATATTATTATTAAAGTTTTTGGATTAGTACATGAAGTTTACATCCAGTTTGGACTAAAATTGGTTGCGTTATGAGCTTGTAGGTTTACAACCTACCAGGACGCGCGCTGAGTTGGACTCGTCGTTCCATAATATATGGAACAGATATTATACGAGTATCACCCGTTAATTATGACTATGAGCTTAATTCTGTTGAATAGTGGATACTTTATATACTTACTGTCACCAAGATGTAATTAGATCGAACGCAGAAATTAGATCGAACCGGTTCGATCTAGGAATTAGATCGAACGCGCGGCGCGGCTTTCAATGTATTTGTATAACTATATGTATCTCGCGCCAGCGTTCGATCTAATTCCCAGATCAAACCAGTTCGATCTAATTTTTGCGTTCGATCTGATTACATCTTGGTGACAGTTATAGTATAACTAAGTAAAAAGACCTCGATGAACAAAATTGCACATAATATCTCGGTTCGGGGTACTAACTAGCCTTGACAGAATTAGTTGTATCACGTGGTGACTCCCACTGTCGCTTCACTGTATCGTCTTCGACGATACAGGGGGAGCCGCGCACTTCGTGCGCGGCGGGTCATACAACGTATGAAAAAGTACAGCAATTTCATTGGACGAGAGCAACTCTGTCATGATGCATGAGGTTAATAATAATTGTGTTTAGCGACGTTTGACTACAAATGGCAGCGTTTGATCGAAAACCTGGTTTCAGCCTTTCCCCCCCCTCCTGTTGCCTGTATCACGTCGTGACCCCCATACCATTTTCGTTTCGAGGCGAAAGCCCCGATACTTAGATACGAGTGAAATGATAATTATTTTCAAAATTTTGGAACCTTAACGCAAGGGTTCCTCCCCCTAAACTTGTTTGACGGATATGTTACCAGTTACTCGTCTAAATTTCTTCGAAGTTAACCCAGAAAACCTTACTGGGCCGCGCTCAGCCTGTCATTCCGCCTAATCTCTATGTTTATGAACATGATAGCCTGAGGTCCCCAGGTTAAAAAAAACCTTACTGGTAGGGGTCTAACTTCGGAAGTAAAAGAGAGAAAGTTCTGGTTTTCAACAAAATGTCCGTCTTTTATTTTGAATTGTAGTTGACGAAGTGAGAGTCTCCACTCAGTGTGTAAAAGATTACCAAAATGTCCGTCTGGTAAAACTAAAGTTAGCTCCCCATGAGCACAATTTGGGATTGTAGCGAGATTGGAGATTCGCTACTGTGCCGCGCCGAGCTGCGATGAATTGATATCGTCAATTAAAATTTGGGACAACGTAGATTTTGAATTATCCTGAAAAGTATGATTTTGGGCCAAATTAGAGATCACAGCTTTTTAACTTTGCAAATTAATTGTTAATGCTGTTGCCATGTCCATGACTCCATGTATAATGGCTAAATTCAGCTTGTAATTCACGCGTGCGATCAGTGAACATGATTACGTCACGCGCACTGCGCACTGACACTGGACACGCGTGCATGATATTGAAAAAGTAGCGCGCGCGCCGCTTTCTTATTGTTAGCCCGAGGCAAGTGTTGATTCACGATGACAATCCTCCACAGCTCGGCGAGGCCCAGTGGTGTATCTCGCCGATTAGATCTAGCGAGAAACATTATTTGATGTGCAGCCCAGTTAAGGAAGAAGTGCATCGCGCTACAAATGACAAAATCGGCAGAGACAAAAATTATTTGTAAATATAAATGTAGGTTTGTCATTTATATATATAACCTATAATAACCTACCAAGACCAAAGCGCTCCTAGTATACTTATAAATCGCTCGAACAAATTTTAAGAAAATTCTTGTGAAAAGGCCCTTTGGGTGTGAAATTGATCTGAATTGGTGTATTTTTGGACGCTGATTCCGAATCACCCCACATGACGTATAGTAGGGTAAAAATGCTTCCAGGGAGAGTTATGGGCAAAAAACCATTTTGCGGTCACGTGACAGGCTAGTAAAACATGAATTCGATTGTTTAGGGCTCGGGTTAGGGTTGTGGTTCGCTCCTACTAGGTAGTGCGCCATCGACAGTGAGCCGCGCGTGCCGACTGTAGGATGGTTTTTTAGCGCTAATTTCGGCCAGCACAATTTTCTTCAAACAAATAGATATTAAGTATCCTTCCCGACCTCCGATTGCAACAAAAATTGGTAAGCTTACTCATAGACTTACAAGGAAGGTGTCCGAAAAGTTTAAAGAATATCCGACTATCAGACATTATGTTACAGCTAAAAGCAGCGTATTTTGCCCCATTTTGATCACTATGTCAACTCCGATATCCACCAAATTTTTCGGACAGTTGTGAAAGCCCTATTGGAAGGCCGTCGCCAATTTTCAGAATGATCTCATTTAAGAAACTGAAGATATATCCAAATAATACGACAAAAATCAACGAATTTGGTCAAATTACGCGACTTTACAGCTAATTTTGCTCCAAAAGCCGCGCACCATCAAATATGGCACCTAGGCGAAACTCACTGATCTTTCCAAAAAGGTATGACAAATTTGGTATTCAGTATTGTGAAAATTCTCACAGTCTCTAGAAAACAATGGTACAAAAATTTTTAAAATCCGAGCAAGTTTATTTTTATGGTGCACCCCCTACTCTTACTGAATCGCTCGCCCAAATTTTAAGAAAATTCTTGTGAAAAGGCCTTTTAAGTTTAGGCATGAAAGTGATCTAGATCGGTGTATTTTTGAACGCTGATTCCGAATCACCCCCATGACGTAGGGTTAAAATGCTTCCCTGGAGAGTTATGGGCAAAAAACCGTTTTGGTCACGTGACAGGCTAGTAAAACGTGAATTCGATTATTTAGGGCTCGGGTTAGGGTTAGGGTTGTGGTTAAGATTATGGATAGCTTCAGGGTTATGGTTAGGGTTAGGGTTGGGATTAGGGTTTATGTAAAACCGTTTTGTACGCGGCTGCAAAACCAAAAAAACCAAAGTCACGTGAAATTTTTGGGCGAGCGATTTAGAAAGAGCCGTTGTGGTTAGCTTCGGGGTTATGGTTGGGATTAGGGTTTATGTAAAACCGTTTTGTACGGCTGCCAAACCATAAAAACCAAAGTCTCGCGAAATTTTTGGGCGAGCGAATTAGTAAAAGCCAGACCAAAGACGTGCGCCGTCTAATATTTATATTTGGAACAAATATTTTACGAGTAATGAGCTCACCGGCCGTTAAACAAGAACAAAAAATGCGGCCGCTTTAATTTTGTGGATGGCCGCTCAATTTCCCGATCCGTGATGGCGCGTATTAATCATATTCCATACAACCTGGGGACGGCCCAGTCTTTAGTGTATATGCATAAACATGCGAATATGTCGAAGTGACATGCCGACTGCCGAGCGCCGCCCAGTTAATATAATTCTATATTGAATTTGAAAATCTTGTATATTTCTATGTAACCATATTGCATATGTTTATTGGTTATGCAACCTGACACGGATCTGTGCAAGATAGTACTTCTAACTCAAAATAATAATTATATGCTATCAATTAGTGCCTAGTGGGATACCAGATACGTACATGATGAAATTAATAATGTACTTGGTTGGTTCAGCGCCGCGCGCCAACAATTATATAATTCAGATTATCACGCAAAATAAGTAACTTCGCGCAGGTAGAAACGTGGGCAGGCTCGTACGCACGCACGCTCGCACGCACGCTCGCACGGACGCAAAGCTACCATATACAAAAAAAACCTCGATCGCTAACCCTTGTCCTTGACTCTTTTGTGCCTTCGGCACTTTGAGTCATGGATCGGGAAAAAATTCTGTGCCAACTCATGGTGCCACCCACAAATATTTTAGTTTACTTGCGAAAAGTATTTTTTTAAATACAAAATAAATTTTGCATTGTTTGAAAGATTTATTGAACGATTTTTAGAAAAACATTTTAATCGCAAAAAAATCTCATGTGGTAACTGATCATTTTGATACTATGTCTTATTATATTGTGTTAGAATACACTGATTCTTTCAAATTACTGATATTTTCAATGCAGTAACTGTTAGAATTGGCACGCGAGTGACTCCAGTTGCGTGCCTTTTCTATTATGAACACAAGACTACGGTGTTTATCCGTCTATATCTCCTAATCTGCTCGTGGGACACTTCTCAAATTTTGTATGCTACTAGTTCAAAAGATTTCTGACAAATCTGTACAATTACCAATGCTTTCCACCGAGCACTTTTCTCGCAATAGTCTGTTGAAAATCGCATAATTGAGCGATATCAAAATCCGTTAATTATCAAAATCTACCGGTAAAATTTATACTGACGTGTTCTATAAACTATTGTCTACGCAATGTCAACATTTGTGAAGACAATTCGTAAGACCAAATACAATTTAAAGTGGTTACAAAAAGGACGGTACAAACTTTTTTCCCGTAAAATCGGGAATTCGCGCGCTGAAACTGGCTACGCAATTGCGCTTCTAGTGGTCCCATCGTGTCTCAACTTTTTGGTGATTTTATTAATTTTGAATACGTCGACTCCCAAGCCCTGTGCAGGAAGCTTGAAAAAGCACCGCACACGCCACATATTGGCTCATAACCTGTAAGTGTAACCAATAAGTCAAAATTTGGGTTTATGCCATGTTGCGAAAGGTGATTTGGCATAAATATAATTTGGCCAAGCCCAAAAATGGACCAAATATGAGCATCATGGCTGCACTGAGGGCACCGGTGGTCGCCTGACATCCAGAACACCCTCAAAGGTTTGGTTACAGGTCAAATGCTATCTCGATCAAAACAAGCTTCACATAAAAATTAGGATAAAGTTGATTGGTTAATTGCTATCTCACGTCGTGTCAAAAAATATGCCTCACCTCGCCACAAGAATCCATATTTATAGTTTGTACGGATGATAGGGACTGACTCACACACTTTCAGCGAGTAAGTGTATTACAAACATGAGACTATCGATTTTCTTAAATAAATTATACAATTGATTATAATAAGAGTACCATCATATAAGTTGATAAAGAAATTATCACAATAGTTTAAATTTATACTAGATAAATGTTACTTTGGCATATAAAATACACTGTTATACATTCACAAATGGTAACGATAAGTATTACTAACTAACCCAAACATTTCCAAAATGTGCAGTATGAACTTGAACAGCTCACGTGATCCACTATATAAATTCTATCACCATTTAATCATGATAATGATTAGATATTGATAAAAATGTAGATACTTGTCAAACTAAAAGATAAGGTATTAAATTATTTGATTAAAGGAATGATCGAAAATATTAACAATTAATGCATTTATGAATGCATATGTATGATGTAATGACCAACACTGATAAAGTGTCATAAATTTCGGGTGGTACGCCCTTGCAGAACGTGGTCGATGTAAAATCCTGATTTATAAAACGATTTATGTGTGCAATATCTCCCTATAAATATCAGCCTAAATCCTTGCATGTTTCACAAACCCAGGCCAAAGAACTAATCAGCTAATTAACCAACAAAACACTGCAAAATGTCACGTACTGCATTATCAAATCTCTGTAAATAAGGTTATAATAAGAAAGGTAGTTATGATGTTACTATGGTTGTGAAACCAGAGCAGTCTTGTTTTGACATGTGACCAGTCAAACTGTCGTTACTAGACAACGCTGGCCCTCTCTCTCTCCCCGTAAGAATTCTGTCCCCCGAGAAAATTGCAGTTGAACAGCAGTAGAGTGAAGTGGGGGAGGGGAATTAAAAACTCAAATTGAAGTCATATTTACTAGTTGTCATATTTACTAGTTGTCTGTTACATTTCTCTCCAGTTTTGTTGAAAGTTGGAATCACAATTGGTTATTCCCCGGTCTCACCAGTCGTCTGATCAATAACCACCACGTTAAAACAACAACTCTCAACTGAAACTGGGAGATCAACCTTAGAACTATGGCAAGTCAAAATCAAGGTGCATCACCTCCGCACCGATAGTAACATCTGTCGGATCCTACGCTAAAGTCAGCCCTATGGGCGACCTGCACCGTAAACACTTCAGCTCTTTATTGTCCACATCCAGGCCACTTCCTACTTCCTGACTGGTGGAGTGCATGTGTCGTGACCCGTGTTCTCGTTCCTGATTGGCTGGTTTGCCGTGGTCGCTGTGGTGGCTGGACGAGGACCTGTCCTCAGTTCGCTCCGTTATGTTTGACAGATCTTTCTTTACATCCTCGCTCAGAGTACTCGGTCTGTGGGTGTTTGAAGTGTTAATTATATACCTTAGTTCCGAAAACTTGTGCGCCAACACTTTGGGCTCAATAAATTTGGAATATCAAAAATGGTTTTATTAATTTTCCTAAAAAAATGATTATTATTTAACATATAGTTACATCAATTCAATCAACTTAGGATTAGATTATTATATTCTAAAACTGAGCAAACTTAAATACACGGAATAATATGTGTGATACTGTGATTAATCAAACCCAGATACTATAAAACTATATATCTTGCAGTTAACTACAAGATAACTTACTTATACGGGGAGTCCTTAAATCTCCAGGTTCTACTCGGTGACGGAGATGTGTGTCTAGTGGGTGATCGGTATCTGAAACAGTCATGTGGTGTTAATACTGTGCTATGATTGGTTGGTTTGTGTCACATGGTGAAAATACTGTGTTCTGATTGGTTAGTTTGTGTCGCGTGGCGTGAATAGTGTGCTCTGATTGGTTAGTTTGTGTATTTGACCTAAAAACTGTGAATATTTTATCAGTTCCTTAATTTTACCTGATCCATTACCACTAGTACTCTAGTATAACATTAATTGCTAACTCACCAACCAAGTTTCGATGTTAAACAATACAAAACCGATAAACAGAACAAATAGAACAAAAAGAAAATAAATAACAACAATTACTTGCGGACCTAACAGGGGAAGTCCGTCTCCTGACAGGAGTAGAGGAGTCGTAGTTAGATCTCCGGACCGGTGAAATGGATCTCCTTCGTCTGATAGGAGATGTCCGGTAGCTGCTGGTCCGTTCCGGACTTAATGCACTACGGTCCGGTGATCTGGAGACATGTTACTTTACTATTTATTGGTGGTATATAGTATATAGTAGTCCCGACCACGTGCGCCATTCGTAACATTGGTAGACGATTAGATACGAAGTATCTGTTGTTATTTATTATAATTGAGGGAACAAAAGCATGCCCAAGTTTTACTATACCCCTACTTATCCTTGGTATGCACCTTTAACTCTTCATGAAATAAACCCCATACATCGAATAACATCTCTTACCTAGCTTTTAATTCAGGAGATCTAGTAGCAAGCCGTTCTGGAGTTTCATTATAAGATAATCTTGTTGGATCCTCCTGAAACGTATTTTCAGTGTTATGGAACCAAACTTCAGCATGTAATTGGTAAATCAATTAAAAATAAGTTATATTAAACATGGATTAGGAATAAAATAGATATAGAAAATATATACTGATGTTTCGGTCCTAATATACACGATGACACTTTGTAAAAAAATGACTTCTTAAGAGCTGATAGCACTTTGACTTGGGGCTTGAGACCTGTAGATTGTAAGTTTCATTTAAGAGGCTCCGTAAATCCTTGTTCTCCGCGGTTTTATTCTCTATTCTGTCTTGATATGACTTTTTAGTGGCTTCTTGGCGATGTATCGTGACACTCAATGTAGCAATCTGTGGGATTAAATTGGAGATGTTATTGAATGGAGGAATTTTTATATATTTATTAACCCTAAAACTATTACTCCATTCAAAAACATTAAGGTTTATAAGCAATTAGTAAAAACTTTTCAATTTCGCCTGTATTCAATTTCATTGACAGTTGACTGTCATTATTGCATCGCGAGCGTGTAATTGAGAATATTTGAACTAATTTAAAGCGCGCGTCTTATGATGACGCTTACGATAACCTTCTTTTATCGTAGTTTTATGATTCAGTGTGCGCGTTTGCGCGCGTGTTGAATTACAAGCATTTCCTGGTGCTCCCCTTTACCTACTCGAAAGCCTCATAATTCTATAATTGGTCTGTACCATAATCAGTTAAAACAAAAGGATCTAGGACAAAGCAGCCATGACGAACCTGATCTTGAAGCTCGTTTATTTTTTTCCTGAGTCCCTCACTTCGCTCTTGTTCGAGTGCTATAATCTTATCTTTATCTAGGATGAGTTTATGTCCTCGTTCCAATTCTGACTTGTATTTTTCTTCAACTCTATGTAGCCTGGATTTGGGGGGACAGTTGTCATGGTAACTTTACGGGGGTTACTATACTTTAATCACTTAAGAGCAACATCCTGGAAGGTCATTGAAAACAAGGATTTGATTGGTCCATGTGCATGGCATGTGATGCGCAAAAGGATCAACTATTGGGGAAATAGAAGTTGGATCCTTAGTGCAGGCTTGCTCCATCTAATGGCCTAAACGGTCCGCTAAAATTGTAATGTCGGAAGAATAATGCAATTTGCCGAATATAAACCAGAATAAATCTAGCCCGGATCCTGTTTATGTCAAGATGTAGGTACTGTTGGAAATATGCCTTGTATATCAGAAGATGCCAAATAGGCACCACTACTTATAGCTGTGTACATTAAGAAAATCCCTGAAATACATCACAACATAGAATGTTATGTACAGTTCGAAAGTCGTGAATGACTAATCAGCTTGCTTGTGATTTTAAAAGTTTTAGAAAAACACGCTCTCAAACACTCTTAGAAAATTAGTTTTGTGAAGGATACGTCCTAGTTGGAGTGATATCATGTTCATTTGATGTTATAATATTTGCCCCTATCAGTCCGCTTATAGGGGATCTGTTAGGGGAAAAAGAAGTCAGCGATGATGGCAAACAGTGCAACAAACAGTGCAGCACACAGTGCAGCAAACAGTGCAGTGAGTAACGGCTGATAGCTGAAATATGTTACAAACATAGTCTTTTCAAGCCTGCTAAGTTCCACTAATTGTTCCACTGATTGTCAAACAAATTGCAGTCAAACATACACAACACACATTTAATGACAAGGTTTTTTCCAAATTTAACAAAGCTGCATCAACTTCAATTTAAATTTATCGAAATTAAAACTATAATAAATGACTATGATAATAGTAAGTTCCTCCCTTTACCTGTCTTTTGAGCCGACCTCTGTTTCTCCCAGTAAATACTCCAGTTTCTTTAACTCTCGTTTGTTCTTCTCAGACTGCATCTCAGTACTGTTCATCTTTTCTTCATAGTTCCTCACTGACTCTTCTCTCTCCTTCAATGCTTCCTGTAATGATTACATCATTAGTTAATTAGTAAGCAATTACTATGTTTCACGATCGGCGCAAGGACGTTACTCAACAGCTCCTACTACTCGAGCTCACGGGTTTATTGTATACCTGAAATGAAATAATGTGGCTGTATACCGCCCATATGGTTAGCAACTAACACAAGTGTCAGGTACTAACCATTTCAGAACGGTTCTAAAGCCTAAATCAAAAAGGGTGAGCTGAAAATAGAAAATAGAAAATACCTGCATGGAGGATATTTGTTTCTCAAGACTAGCTCGGCTCTGTTGATTCAACTTCTTCTCCGTTTGTAAGGAGAGCACATGTTCGTTAAGCTCCCGTTTTTCTCGTTCCAGTTGATTCACCTGAATTAGTGAGTTAGAGATTCCTTCTTCTGTTGCCTACAATTTGTTAATTCATATCGTCAATATGAGAGAAGTAGTTATATGAGAGAAGTTGTAGGTTATGTAATATACGTTATGTAATATATACGTAATCTAAAAGAAGAGTAAGGACTAAGGTAAACTTAATAGAATAGTAAGGTAAACATAAACTGTGTACCTTGCCAGTCAGGTTGGACAATGTTCCTTGAAGGTGTTTACTCTCTGTTGTCAACAGTTCTACTTTGTTACTCTGGGTCCGGAGCTCGCTTGACTTTTGTTGTAGAGCTAGATTAGCTGACCTTATTTGACCTGAAAGTTGGAGCAGTTGAGCATTTTCTTTAAGTGAATTCAACGAGAAATCAAACACGAGTCACATTGGACAAGACTTAAATTTAAAAAGTTAAATAATGAACAAATGTGAAATACCTTCAGCTTTGATTCTAGACATTTCGTTGTCAGTAGCCGCAGTCTGTAGCTTTGTTATCTTATCTTGTTGATCTATCAATTTGTGAGACACTGCCTGTGTATCGCCTATCATGTTGTTGATTTTTTCTTCCAGCAAATCTTTGTCCCGGCGTCTGGAATGTTTTTGGAGTTAGTTAAAAGTAAGTAATACTGGAAGTATTACAGCATTACAGTATGTGATACCTGAACTTACAGTTTCTTATGAAAGTAAAGACCATCTTGTATTGACCTGAAAGTTTGTGTGACTAACACGATCCAATGCAGACCAGAAAAGGACACTCAGTAAGGAATAAAAATGTTTTATGAGTGTTGCGCCACAAAAACAGCGCAACTATATTCACAATACAGCTAGAAACACACCTAATAATTCACATATTGTTATACAGTTTACAAACTCACAAGTTGCTAGCCTCCGTGTTTGAAGATGATATTTTAGTTTTCATCTCGCTGTTCTCCTCTTTGTATGACTTTACTTTCTTCTCCAAACTACTGAGTGTGTTCTCCAACGATTCTATCTTGTCCTGGAACATGTTAAGTTATGTATTTAAATGTATTAGTTCAAACCTAGTCCACATTATCAATCCGTGGAGTGAGCTACGATTGTTGACGTTGGGAAATTTGGGTAGTACAAATTGTTTTTCATGAACAGTCTTGCAAGATGATAAACTTCAAATACACACTGAACACTAAAGTGATGTTGAAGACAAATTCGAGTGTCGTGCTGTTTTAAGAGTATCTTAAAGTTTTATAATTTTAGAGAATCTAACCTGGGTGCTTTGACATGTCTTCTGAAGCTTGGACACATTCGCCTGAAGATCATTCTTTTCTTTCTCGCTTTGCTCTAAAGTTTGGTGAATACTTTCTTGTCTGGACTGTAACACTGCTTTTTCTTCTGCTATATCTTTCAGCTGAAGGAATTAGAGTATGTTTACAGATAAACTAGTTAATGAGACTAGTTTATTATGTTATGTTATAGTTTGGTAGACGAAATCAAAATACAAAACCTCATGAAATTAGAGTCCCAATAAATTAGTTCCAATAAAATTACAGTACAATATAATCAGTGTACGATATAATCAGTGTACGATATAACATAATAGTAAAATAAAATAAGTAGAAACCCTCAAAAGTCTCACCTGTCTTTCTAGACTGTGTTTTTCTGACTCCACTTGTTCCTTGTGTTTCTTTAGCATATCGTACCTTAAATCATAGTAACGGGTGGATTAAATCACAAAGCAACTGACATTTTCTTTTCCCCCAATTATCACGACTGCTGACATGAGAAAGGGGTATACTTGACGAAAAACGACTACACTTGATTAAGTCGACATCATTGTGATATTGATTATCATATCAATAATTACTAATTAAACAAATTATTCATTAAATATGTTGTCTACTTGACTCAGTTAAAGATAATAATCTCACTTGGTAAGGAGACTATCTATTTCTCCGTTAGCGGAGTCTTTCATCTTTCTCATTTCGTTTAGTTCATCCTCGTCTTCAATTAACTTTCCCTGATTACATTATTATTTTTACTTACATTTTCAAAGAATAAGCTAATTAAACTAATTTAATAATTGGGTACCTCTTTGTTAGCCGAATGAATAGAATGATATTAAAAAAGGCACTGTTTTACCTTGAGTCCGTTAATTTCCCTCTCCAACAGCTGGTTTTGGTGGAGAGCTTCATTTTTACGTTGTTCAAGGTCATCTAACTGTGCTTGTAGTTCTCTGCGTGATTCTTCTAATGTACTGTAAAACAAGCATTGTACTGGAAACTGATATGAAGCCATCTTTAACTAAAATTCACTAATTTAACAGTAAACTTTGAACTGAAGAACGCTTTACGGTTCACATTGATATTCTACACAATTACATGATATATTACACTCCCCCCTCTCCCCCTCCTCCCTCCCCCCTCTCTCCCCCTCTCCCCCCCCCCCCCTCTCCCCCCCCTCTCTTATTATTGGACCTGATGGTAGAAGTTCCAGATGGCTTCCCGGAGACTGACTATTTTGTGATGATAATACCTGGTCCCGGTCCTGGTCCCGGTATCAGACCCCGGTATTGAGTCCTGGTTGCTGCCTAACAGACCCAATGTCACCAATCATTACCATCGAGTAGACATAAATATTACCTTTAAATACCAATACCCTTAAATACGTCATGCACCTTGATACTTGAAACAAGGTTATATCCCAATTGGTAGTACACAGTGCTCAGCGAAACAACCAGTCCCTCCCGGAAGTGGTCCTGACAATAGGGCTCAGGGCTCAGACTAAGAAGATACATGGCTCCTGAGTCAGGTAATTGGGTGATTGGTAGGGGTAACTATGTAATTAAGGTAATACTCACTGCATGCTGCCCCGAGCACAGTCCAGCTGGTCCCGGTATCCTGACTTTTCCTTCTCCAGAGATTGTAATCGTTCAGTCAGGGACTAGGGGAATATCAGGGTTATAGTTAAGAGATTGTAAACTTTCAGTCAGGGACTAGGGGAATATCAGGGTTATAGTTAAGAGATTGTAATCGTTCAGTCAGGGACTAGGGGAATATCAGGGTTATAGTTAAGAGATTGTAATCGTTCAGTCAGGGACTAGGGGAATATCAGGGTTATAGTCAAGAGATTGTAATATTTCAGTCAGGGACTAGGGGAATATCAGGGTTATAGTTAAGAGATTGTAATCGTTCAGTCAGGGACTAGGGGAATATCAGGGTTATAGTTAAGAGATTGTAATCTTTCAGTCAGGGATTAGGGGAATATCAGGGTTATAGTTAAGAGGTTGTAAACTTTCAGTCAGGGACTAGGGGAATATCAGGGTTATAGTTAAGAGATTGTAATCTTTCAGTCAGGGACTAGGAGAATATCAGGGTTATAGTTAAGAGATTGTAATATGTCAGTCAGGGACTAGGGGAATATCAGGGTTATAGTTAAGAGATTGTAATCTTTCAGTCAGGGACTAGGAGAATATCAGGGTTATAGTTAAGAGGTTGTAAACTTTCAGTCAGGGACTAGGGGAATATCAGGGTTATAGTTAAGAGGTTGTAAACTTTCAGTCAGGGACTAGGGGAATATCAGGGCTATATTTAAGAGATTGTAATCTTTCAGTCAGGGACTAGGGGAATATCAGGGTTATAGTCAAGAGATTGTAATATGTCAGTCAGGGACTAGGGGAATATCAGGATTATAGTCAAGAGATTGTAATCTTTCAGTCAGGGACTAGGGGAATATCAGGGTTATAGTTAAGAGATTGTAAACTTTCAGTCAGGGACTAGGGGAATATCAGGGTTATAGTCAAGAGATTGTAATCTTTCAGTCAGGGACTAGGGGAATATCAGGGTTATAGTTAAGAGATTGTAATATTTCAGTCAGGGACTAGGGGAATATCAGGGTTATAGTTAAGAGGTTGTAAACTTTCAGTCAGGGACTAGGAGAATATCAGGGTTATAGTTAAGAGGTTGTAATCTTTCAGTCAGTGATTAGGGGAATATCAGGGTTATAGTTAAGAGATTGTAAACTTTCAGTCAGGGACTAGGGGAATATCAGGGTTATAGTTAAGAGATTGTAATCTTTCAGTCAGGGACTAGGGGAATATCAGGGTTATAGTCAAGAGATTGTAATCTTTCAGTCAGGGACTAGGGGAATATCAGGGTTATAGTTAAGAGATTGTAATATTTCAGTCAGGGACTAGGGGAATATCAGGGTTATAGTTAAGAGGTTGTAAACTTTCAGTCAGGGACTAGGAGAATATCAGGGTTATAGTTAAGAGGTTGTAATATTTCAGTCAGGGACTAGGGGAATATCAGGGTTATAGTTAAGAGATTGTAAACTTTCAGTCAGGGACTAGGGGAATATCAGGGTTATAGTCAAGAGGTTGTAATATTTCAGTCAGCGACTAGGGGAATGTCAGGGTTATATTTAAGAGGTTGTTATCTTTCAGTCAGGGACTAGGGGAATATCAGGGTTATAGTTAAGAGGTTGTAATATTTCAGTCAGGGACTAGGGGAATATCAGGGTTATAGTTAAGAGATTGTAAACTTTCAGTCAGGGACTAGGGGAATATCAGGGTTATAGTTAAGAGATTGTAAACTTTCAGTCAGGGACTAGGGGAATATCAGGGTTATAGTCAAGAGGTTGTAATATTTCAGTCAGCGACTAGGGGAATGTCAGGGTTATATTTAAGAGGTTGTAATATTTCAGTCAGGGACTAGGGGAATATCAGGGTTATAGTTAAGAGGTTGTAAACTTTCAGTCAGGGACTAGGGGAATATCAGGGTTATAGTTAAGAGATTGTAATATGTCAGTCAGGGACTAGGGAAATATCAGGGTTATAGTCAAGAGGTTGTAATATTTCAGTCAGGGACTAGGGAAATATCAGGGTTATAGTCAAGAGGTTGTAATATTTCAGTCAGGGACTAGGAGAATATCAGGGTTATAGTTAAGAGGTTGTAATATTTCAGTCAGGGACTAGGGGAATATCAGGATTATAGTTAAGAGATTGTAAACTTTCAGTCAGTGATTAGGGGAATATCAGGGTTATAGTCAAGGGATTGTAATATGTCAGTCAGGGACTAGGGGAATATCAGGGTTATAGTCAAGAGATTGCAATATGTCAGTCAGGGACTAGGGAAATATCAGGGTTATAGTTAAGAGGTTGTAATCTTTCAGTCAGGGACTAGGGGAATATCAGGGTTATAGTTAAGAGATTGTAATCTTTCAGTCAGGGACTAGGGGAATATCAGGGTTATAGTTAAAAGGTTGTAATATTTCAGTCAGGGACTAGGGGAATATCAGGGTTATAGTTAAGGGATTGTAATCTTTCAGTCAGGGACTAGGGGAATATCAGGGTTATAGTCAAGAGATTGTAATATTTCAGTCAGGGACTAGGGGAATATCAGGGTTATAGTTAAGGGATTGTAATCTTTCAGTCAGGGACTAGGGGAATATCAGGGTTATAGTCAAGAGGTTGTAAACTTTAAGTCAGGGACTAGGGGAATATCAGGGTTATAGTCAAGAGATTGTAATATGTCAGTCAGGGACTAGGGGAATATCAGGGTTATAGTTAACAAATCAATCAGATAGCTTTATTTTATCTAAATGAAGGTTTAATCATGGTGAGTATAAAGTACTGCAACCATTTGAGCATAACGAAACATTAAATCACAGCTAAGAAATCAAACTGGAGAGATAATATACTAAGTTATGTGAATATAATTCAGAGGAAAGCTGCAGGCAAACTGAAACACAGACAGTTGTAGAATTGTGTTTGTACTAATTGAGAACTTTCCCTGTACGAGAATTACATCTCTCAACCAATCTTCAGAATTATAATTTCAATGGTCAACGACTGGAGGTTAAGAGCGTGTCTCAGCCAATTGGAAGAGTTTTAGAGATTGTCTCAGCCAATCACAACTCACCTTGTTATCACGTGAGACCTTGTTCCCCAGACATTCAGCGTCCTGGAGCTCATCTTGAGCCTTCTTCAGGTCATCCTTCAGATCCCTACATTCGTTCTCGTGAATTGTAGCCTGAACACACAGTTAGATCAGAATAGACACAGTGGTGCTTATTTGTGCACGTGCGTAATTACAGTGGGAGGAAACTACTCCACGTGTAGTAGATGCACAAGTGCTGTGAACTAGCGCACGTGCTCAAAAGTGTTATATAAACTGCCCTCAAGTGTATCCTAGCCACCTAGACCTATATACAAGTGCTGTGGGTTTCTCTTATCTCACTGAACCTGTTTCTTAAGAGCGAGTATGGCCTGCCTCACACTCTCCACATCCACCGCCTGCTCATCAGCTGGTAACTGCGCGTGTGGGGAGGCGCTGCGCGTCGTGCTCTCCGTGTACTCCACGTCAGTACTCTCCCCCTCATCATTCAGGGTCAGTTTAACACGTGGCACTGACACTTGTATACCTGGAGTGAGTGATCAAGCTCATTTTCCCTTTATCTTGAAGCTTGGACCATGGACATGTCTATTCAAAAAGCCATCTTGATGTATCGATGAAGAGTTATTTTTACAACAGTAATTCGCTAAACTTTACACTCCAAATAATTTCAGTATACTAACCAGGCAAGGTTGCATGCAACATTGAGATGAGATGAGACAGTTTCCCCTGTAAGTTTCGTCTCATCCGCTCTCTTTTTAGTAACTCCTTATCTGCTAATTCGTAGGAATCTTCAGCTGCTGTTAGACTTATCTGAGGAGGAGAATTCCGGTTTATGTGATGTTGAAATGTTGAATTGAAGTGATGAAAAAAGATGAAGATAGAGATGAGATAACTGATAAGGTAACTTATTGATGTAAAACAAACTTGGCTCACCTCCAGCTCTCTCCGCTCAGTTTCCATATCTCTAACAAGGTTGTTAAGCTCTGTGATCTTCCTGTTAGCTTTCTCAGACTCTTCTTCTGCACATTCTCGAGTGTAGTTCAGTGAACCTAGACAGATCAACTAATCAGAACACAGTGTTTACACTACGTGACATAAATTTTATGTTTCGCTGACTTTTAGAATAAAATAAATTCGTAAGCTTGATGCTGCTGTTGATTAAACATTTACACATATTTGATATTCATTTGTTGTTATCACTATTGCTAACGACAAACTTGTAGCACTAAAATCACGTGATACCAGACCAATAAAAAGTAATATTTACCATCTGATTTAATGAGTGCCTCCTCGTAGTCACGCTGCTTAGCTTTCAGTGTGGCATTCTCTGACTGAGCGTCATCCAACTCAAACCTGTAACATTTAATATTACATATTATCACTTAAAACACAGGATCACATTGTCTTCAAATTTTCAAATAATGTCCAATTAAATTAAATATGTGACAGTTATTTACGAATTTAATTGGTTACTGCTGAGAGCAAGAATGTAACAATTAAACAAGTACCTGATTTGCTGTATCTCTTTGCTGAGTTCCCCTATCTTACGTCTGCTCTCCTCACGTGCAAGATCGCGCGAGTACATCGCGTCGCTTTGTTCAGTCACCCGTGCGTGCAATTTGTCATTTTCCTCTTGCAGCACCCTTAGGATGACAAATAATTTTAATATTGCTTTAAGTGGAGGTTGTTTCGATAGAAAGTACTAGATAAAAAACACAAATTTAATCTATTATGATTCACGTGAGCGCTAAATTCGAATCTCCAAATCTTTCTAATAATAAGAGAACGGATCCAAAAAGTTCTTTATAAGTATAAATTACATCAAATATTTTAGCTTGGCACTAGTGATGAATAATGAATATTCTATAACTATTAACGATGGAAGTAAAATGGCGCATCTCTCATGAAATTGGGTTGTTTTGCAACGAAAAAGTCTCTTCCAAAAGTGCAACAAATGACAACGAACAAATAACTAGATCCTAGAATTGATAAGACGAGCGAAGGAACGTATGAATATCATAACCTGTGACCCGTAATACTGAGTATACTGGAAAACCTGGGTCCTAACAAACGGAGCATACAGGTAACCTCAGCAGCATACGATTAAAGAAATAGTGCAACTGCAAAGTGTCACAGTGATTTGAGGCCAGCAGAGTGCAGAGTTACCATGACAACGCTAGTCCTAAAGCCACCTAGGTCACATAATATGTGATCTCCATGGTAACCACTGGTACTGATTACTGTATTTAATCAATGTATTGGAACCTCTCCATCATGTCTTAACAATTAATTTGTAATATGATATCAGCTGTATATCAAACATGTCAATTTGTTTTGATCTTATTATTGAAAAAAACTTAAATGATAAAACTTAGTTAACTGATAGTGGTAGTCTGCACCCTGCAGGCTTACAGTAACCGATGAAGAAGTCCAACATCAAAAGCCTTTAATGATATTAATGCATGCTTTGCTGCTAATCAAGATCAGTCTTTTTATAGTACATACAATACTTTTCTCTCTTTTATTTGGAAAAGTTTAAAATCTTGGGTTCCTTGATTACCAAATCTTGTGCTGTTTTCCTACACCCTGCATTACATTCCTTTACTCAATAAAGATACACAATATACTGTGGCATCCGGCTTACCTTGCAGCATGACCCATATTGGGGACTACCTTATATCCCATAAGCACTAATTAGTGATTTCCTCTGACTTCTTACACAATAGGTACTGGTTTGTAGTTGGTACGGAACTTAATTTAAGAGCAGCTCTGCCAGGCTTGTTACTGGCCCTGATTAGGTGATTAACAGACTAATTAGGCGATTAATTACCACAGATGAAATTAAGGGGTCCGTGGCCCACTCACAGTGGGTTTGGCAGTGTGTAATGTATTGTGCACAGTTACACAGGATTGAGCCCTGAAACTGTCTCATCTCCTGACATGGAAATATCTAGCGATTGTTTGAACGGAGCACAATGTTAGCTCCAAAAAAATATGGGCTGAATCGTTTAAAGATGTTAAATAAATTACTGACTAAATATTTGTAACTAATATTAAGAAGTGTTAGACAACGTCGTAACAATAAGAAATTAAGTCATTATATTATTAAGATATTATTAAGATATTATAACTGTCTTATACTATACAGTGAAGGTGCAAAGAAAATTGCCCAAACAACAGTTACAACGACCATACGAAAATCCAAATATGTTATACCAGCGATGTTATTTTTAACTAATTAACTAATTAACTAATTAAATAATTAACTAATTAACTAATTAACTAATTAACTAATTAACTAATTAACTAATTAACTTATTAACTTATTGACTAATTAACTTATTGACTAAGTAACTAATAATGTAATTATAATGTACTTGTTGTTGGTGTTCATGTAACTGTTCTCCTCCGACAATTTATTATATCTCCCCTCCACCTCTTCACACTTTTCGTTTAGTTTTATTATCACACCCTCTAGTGTCTTCGACAGATCACTCTTATCCCTGGGGTGGCATCAACTCTTTTAGCTATTTGTGGAATGTGGTTATCTGTGCACTTTACCAAGATGAGCAGTAATTATTAACCGTAAATTTATCAGTGAAATAATCAGTAAAATTCTTCTACTACCGTGAGAGCTGAAAGTTTTTTGTTGATATTCGTAAAAACCTGAGTTTCGTGATTTCATCTTTAGTTCGTAGTTGTGTTTCGTAGAGATTAGTTTCACACATATGTAGTTGTTCTTTGTACATGGCGAGTTTGTCATCTTTAGCAATCAGGTCATTCTCAACTAGTGATAACTTCTGTTCCGATCTGAACGAGGCATATTATTTGTTATTGTAGCTGAATGATTTGACTTTGTGGCAGCATAGTGACATTAATGAACCAAAATGGACTTTTAATCGGTGCTGAATAATAAAAATAGAAATAAAACAACCGATAACTTGAAAACCCCCACAATATTATAGTCAGCCTCACCTGGAAGAAAGAAGTTTCTGTTTTGTTACTTCCTGTTCTAGTCTCCTCTTATCAGCTTGTAAGTTTTTAATATAACCCTCAGCTCTGAAGATACAAGTTTGATGGATTAGATAACATCAGTCTAAAACTACGGCTCCATAGTCTAAGTAAAAATAAAACTTATCTAGAGGCATTGTAACCAGCCGTACTTCATTACTAACTCAGGTACTTAGGCAATGAAAAGTGATGGTAAATTGACATTGGAAGGATCTATAAAAAGTGAATATAGCAATTAAAGACTATTTAAGGCCAGAGGGGGGGGGGGGTAAACGCTCAAAAAATTTTACAAAAATATTATTCTTTAAATAAATTCATTTTTTGATGACAAAAGTTTTGCTGCCATTCACATATTTGTAACTGCTTAACTTTTTTTGATAAATGAGGTTAACCGATTCTTACAAAATTAGGGTTACAACGTTGAGGTTACTAAAATTGAAGTTAAGATGTTATTTTACTCCAAGATTTTTTGTTATTTCGGTCAGCAAATGTTAACTCTGAATTCTAGGTTCATAATTGTCAGTAAAAACGCTATCTAAACGTTTATAAATGAGGTTAACCTCTTAATTTAGGTATAGCGAAAATAGATTAGACGATAGAGTTGTTATTTTTATCGTAAGATTACGACATACAAATTTCTAAATAGATGTAGTGCTGATTCACTTAATTTTATCTCGAGAAAGTGTTGAAAATGAGGTTAACCATCACACTTGGTACTTTAAGAATTATTTACATACGATTCTTACTTTTGTTATGTACCACAATATCACAGTGAGGTATCTATTTGTATTACAATCAGTGGCGTAACGAAAGGCCCTGCTGACCCCGCTGTGCAGGGGGGCGCCGTCTTAGGGGGGCGCCAAATCGTCGTTTGAATGTGGGACAATTTCGAAAACTTAACTAAAGTACTAGCAAAACTGCGCGTTATGCTCTAGATACACACTTTTTTAGAGATTTTACCGGCGTATTCTCTAAAATCAACTAATTTGTTCAATTTTAGGGAGGGGTACCAAAAGGGGAGGGGGCGCCAACAGGGGGGGTGCTTTTTTCGGCAGGGGGGCGCCAACAGGCAACGTTACGCCACTGATTACAATGCCTCAAATATTATCACGTGACAAAGGTGATTTGGAATGACCATGTTTAAGTAGAAGAGTTCACCCGTAAATGGCTCAAAAATGAGGTTAACCTCTCATTTGTTGAATATCGGGCCAGTCAATCACATGTTAACCTCAAAAACTTTATCGTTACACTGGGCAAATGTTTTATTACATGTATAGCAATGTATTGATAAACCAATCCCAGTGTAATATGGTCTATAGCGAGGTTAACAATCATATTTTTACTACTATTACAAGATATCATGATAGTTAACCTCATTTTTAGACAAATTTTGGTTTATGATGTTGATTTTCCCAATATAAAGTATCTCAATGAAGATCTTTACACCTTAAAGCAAAAATTGTATGGAGACGCTACTAAATACGGAAAATAATGCACAATTTGAGATTTTGGCAGTGAAATGAAAACACCAAAACTCGTTTTACTCGAAACGGTTTTTTTCATACCAAAATCCTTAACTTGAGAAGACTGGCCACACCCAGAAGCTGAAACTTGGCACAGGTGTTCTTTGGGGTGTTAGGCAAAAACGTTATGTTTTAGAATTTTGATTTTTGCCTTTGTTCTTGAAATATGAGGTTAACTTTACCCCAAATTCGAAATAAAATCGAATTTGGGTTAAAGTTAACTTCATATTTCAAGAACAAAGGCAAAAATCAAAATTCTAAAACATAACGTTTTTGCCTAACACCCCAAAGAACACCTGTGCCAAGTTTCAGCTTCTGGGTGTGGACAGTCTTCTCAAGTTAAGGTTTTTAAACTTTTTACAGTTTAAGTTTAAGGTTTACATGTAATTACAGGTAAACCTCAATACTTGGCGCGCGATATCTCAAAAACGCAAGGTCAGATTTCGGTCCGGTTTTTTTCTTCTTGTTTGTCTCCAGCAGCTCTGATCAAATATGTGAAAACTGGAAAAACGAATTTTACCCCCCCCCCCACCCCCCCCCCCCCCCCTCTGGCCTTAAAGCTCACCTCTCTAACTCTGCAGTTAAGTTGTTCATGGCAGACTTGTGCTCTGAGTTTGAGTGAATTGACATTGATGTCATGGACATGACAAGGTGATTTTCTGGAAACGCTCAGATATTTACATGCTGCAGGAACATAAACATTAACATGATCATATTTAAAATACTTTCTTTACTTATACTGCATTGAGGAAATATAATACTAATTTGCATGTACATATAAAATAATCAAAATACCTTCTAAGTAACTGCAAGTGCTCTCAACTTAACTCTTTTAAATGTAAACTTACATGCTGCAAGAACATAAACAATAAAATGATTATATGTAAAATACTTTCTTTACTTATACTACATTGAGGAAATATAATACTAATTTGCATGTACATGTAAAATAAAAATGACTTCTAAGTAACTGCAAGTGCTCTCAACTTAACTATTTTAAATTTCGATGAAACGAGAAATTTAATTTTTACTACTCTAGTTGAGTTTTAGAGACAAGGCTCATATTAGGACCAGAAGAAAATTGTTAGCAGACATTAGGGGTTCTGTTTATATTTGTTACTATGGGTTGCAGTCTTGTTGTGACAGAAAGTCTCCACTATAATATGCTTAAGTTTATATTGTGTAGTTGGAAGATATAAAATGCAACTTCAAGGTGGATATTATCTATTGGAGAGCTGGCGAAAGATTATGGCCTTTGTATCAATGGTTATAATAAGTAAGTTCCCAATGTAAACTTAAGAAGTACGATAAGTTCATTCATGTCATGCAGATGGATACTACCAGGGCAATATCCAAAATTTGGCTTTGGCGCTTGTATCTCATTACTTGCTAAATCCTGGACCCTTAAAGATACCTCCTGCTCTGTAGCAGTTTATACTTCTTAGTGGTGCTCAGTACAAGCAAGTTCCCAATACTCAGGTATCCTTACCAAACAACAAGTTGGTCAAAATAAGAGCCAATCAATTGTGCCGCTTCATTTGGGCTTCCACAATTATCCCAACAATACGCTTCTTCACTGTAGAAAAGGATTATGTTCACTTCGACTATAGAATTTGCAACTGTTAGCTCTGGTGTCTGGAATAGGGAATTTCAGGTTTTAAAGGTAGTGACCATTGGCAAGGGGCCTTGACCGTGGCCCTCACTACTGTTGTCCACTGCATCATGATTTTGCCTACGACTGTTTAGTGTTTACCATATTAATGACAGATTCATTAAAGTTCCCCTCTTAGTTGCTTTTCCTCCGTTTCTATAGATTGTACTATTTCTTGACGATAATAAATAATGTGACCAACTAATACATATACTTTCTAACAATCAGAATTAGAAGTTTCTGTAGATTCCTCATGAGTCATGTCAAGAATTCTTTTAGTTGTTCCACTCCAGTCTCATAAGAGATTATAAACTTAGCGATAGCATCCACAATAAGTAAGTAACAAACACAACTATTTTACTTCATCAAGTCATCACAATAAAATCATTAATCAACCTTTCGATATAGGCATATGAACACCGTTGCTCTATCCAGAACCCTCGAACTTGCTTGTGAAACAAGCGCGCCAGCAGTGGCACGAAAGTACATGGTTAGGACTTAGGTGAATGAAAACAGTTAAAATACAATTCGTTAAACGCCCTTATTAAATCCATTTCCAGTAGGATGATGAACGAACAAAAAAGAATTATACAAGAAGAAACTCCGATATAGTTTAACCTCACTACATGAAAACCAATACAAGGGTTTGTAAGATTAAGTTTTGTTTCATTAAGTATTCATGCCGTTAAATTCTTGATGTCAATTCCTCGCAGCTCAGCAAGGCCCAATAGCGCATTTTGCCAATCTAACGAAGTGTGGTTGCGAAAAGCATTATATTGGATGCGCGGCACGGTCGGCCAGTAACGCATCATATCGCGCTACATTACCTGGGGACTTCTCCTAACCATGTGCTTTCGCGCCACTTCGGGCGCGCTTGTTTCACAAGTCAAGAAAAGCACCTATCCACGAACCCCGATGGGAAGGTTCGTGCGCGCGTGCGCAGTGCTGACAACAGCGTCTATGTAGCGCAGGTAGTCTTGGCACTTCTCCCTCCAGTATGCAGTAACCACTTTTCAGGTTTCTATAGTGCATAGTGACAGTGTATAGGGGTTAATTAGGTATAAACTACAGTACAGCTGTACTTACACCTACATTCACAAGCATGCAAGCTCACCTGGTCCAATGAGCGGGAAACTGAGGACAAGGTCTGGTGACGTCATAGTCACGTGACCTCATAGGCTCATGATCACGTGACCTCAGACCCAATCAATGATCAATTAGGTTCGGGCATGGTCAGCCCCCTGTCACCCGATCTTGAGGTGACGTACGACACCTCATTTACGCAATCAATGTCTGAAAGGCTACACACGTCGCATATGAGGACAAAAGCGCGGGTAATTTTGGCACCACTGTAGAGTGGTGCCAAAATCGTTGGGTGGGTTCATGGCTAGAGCCCTTTTACCGCCGTGAGGCGGGCGCGCGCTACTGCAAGCGCAAGGGCTCTGGATAGAGCAACCTGGGGACCTCAGGCTATCATGTTCATAAACATATAATAATAAACATATAATAATAAACCGAATATAGACTAGGCGGAATGACAGGTTGAGCGCGGCCCGCCGGCCCAATAACGCGCTACAAGGTTAAATGAAACATGTCACTGCAAAATAATATTGAACAATCGAAGAAATTTTGCATTGTGGTTTGCTAAATTTTTGCTCTAACCCATAACTTAATTGACGATGTCAATTCATGGCAGCTCGGCGCGGCACAGTAGCGCATCTCGCCGATCTAGCCAGGAATTGAGGAATTCCAGCAAGATACGCGCCAAAAGACGCGCAGTTGCGGAATGATGTCAACGATTACTTTACACACTGATATCATTATAATTTGGCGTGACACACGTGTAATAGTAGAAATTACTAAGCAAGAAGTATACTTTTACAGGATTGACTTCGTGCAGTGATGTCAATGATTTCTTTGAGCACACCGATGTCATTATAATTTGGCGTAATCTGTGATATATATATAATAGTCTGAAAAGAAAAAACACATGGAGATTGTAGAAATTACTTAATTACTAGACAAGGAGTATACATTTACAGGATTGACTTCGTGCAAACTTTCAAGACGGTAATCACATTCGACCGAAAGAAACACGTAATATAATAGATTCGTTCAGACCCATGATATACTTTTTCCTCATCAAGGGTGTACACTTAAGACAACAGGACCATTAACATTGCGCAAGTTTGTACAATACATTATAATAATAACAAATTATTAATCTCATCTCGCTAACTTTTTAAACGTTCATGAAGGCAGTTTTTAATTTTGACAGAATGGCAACTTTACTTGTTATCGGTGTTCATTGTCATGTAAAAGTTTTCCTCTATACAAGTGGTAGCTTAGGCCAACTTAATTATACTGTGTCATGTGTCTTAACAGAGTATTTACTATTATTATGCGGCAAGTATCAGTATTCATGCGGCAATGCAATGAATAAAAGCAAAAGAATCACGATGTTAATTGTTCACTCTCCGATCTAGCGCACCCTGACAGAACAGACTGTCCTTGCATGGTTTTACCATTACAACATGATGAATTAGGTAAAACTTTAGCCGAGCACTCCCCAGCAAAAACGTGACCAATTCAATTCAATGTAATTCCACCATATCTATCGATCGTGTTAATGATTACAAAAGCTCGAGGTCAACCGGTAAATATAATCAAGTGGAAAAAGGTTGTAGACATATCACAAAATCTATGTTAACTTAGATATTCTAATAATTGGGAATAATTTGATTACATACTTTAAAGAGAACAACTGAACATGATCAATGATGGAGACATTCGTAAACTATTGACAAATAGATTTACGAGAGTGCTATGGCCAGTACCAAATACACAAATCACTAATCATGATTCCTAGCTTTGAATTTACCCGGGAACCCCGGGCTTTGTGTTCTCAAACAGTCGTTATATTAATATGAGACTTAAGTTAATTTTAATAATATTCTTGATTGATACGTGTATGAAAACCTAAAAAACAGGGTCCCCAGGTAATAAGACTTAATCGATTAGACATTTCAAAGATTTCGATACGAGAGGTTATCATACCTCATGCTACTGCTAGCTATGCATTTTTCGTATAATACAGAATGACATTAACTGCGGAGCACCGTACTAAGAGTAAGTTTCTACAACAAGGTCTATTATATACTGAACATGCGAAGATGATTAATCACTCAACACTCGACTAACGCATAATATACTTTAACAGTTAACACGTACTTCAAGTAGTCCTTATTGACTATTTAAAATCCAAACCCAAACTAGAGCGCAGAGCATATGTTGAAAACCCTAATCCGTACGAGAAATTATACCAACATCCCTATTTGGTCTTACTACCTGGTCATTATAAAGAGGTTCATAAAACCAAAACATATCTAAATAATTTTTGATCAATTAGACTTAATTGACGTTCATAACGCTCAATAACAATCAAACAAATTTTCAACTTGAATTGCTCCAAGAGTTTGTTGGCCTATTCTTGCTGCAAGTAGACTTCTTAGCTCTAGAGGTAGGTCTTTATCAAAGAAGGATAGTGGGATTTGCTCTTCAGTTAGGTACCATGTGTGCCTGTTGAGGACTGTCGTGGTGATGGCTGATACTCTGTCTACACTCTTGTACTTCTGAAGACTATGTAACAAACGGATGTCGTCGGAGGCTGCAGATTCAAGGAAAGAAGCGCTGAACCAAGCTCTCAAGTAAACGAAGACAACAAAGTGAACACGTTTCTCTTCTTCGTCCAGTGAAATGGTAGCTAATGAAGAAGAGCCGTCTTCATAATGTATATGGCATGGTGGATGGTGGTCAGCTCCAGGTCATTGTATCTGGATGAATCCTTTCTTCATCTCTATGCTTTCTCACTCGATTAGTTTAGCAAGCTCTAGGAATTCATTGTAATCTCCTGGGCTGGTTGTTGAGTTGGCGGATGTGATTAATGAAGGATAGAAGGTCTCCTAATCTTACGTCGTTCCTGTAGCAAGTAAGGATATCGGGAAGGACGATGTTCTGCAGATCGAGATCTCCCCAGGAGGTCTTCTTGATCTTGAAAAGGGTTATTTCGAGTGATGTTGTGTCACCGAACAGTTGCTTGGAGGCAGATCCTCTTACAAGCTCTGCCTCCAGGACGTGATGTCTCCAGGCGGGTAGGCCATCCTGAGTATCTGTCGATTGTCGATTGAGGAGCTGCTGAAGAATAGTACATGCCCTTTTGTGAACTCCACCAGTATTGGATGATGTCGTATCAAATCCAACGGCTATCATTTTATCTGCTAGGCTCCGGTCGTCGAGAGTCTTCTTCACTTTGTCTGCTTCGTCATAGTCCTTGTAGAGTCACTCGTCTTACAGATTGCGAGTATCTTGTTCTCCTCATCTTGTACTAGGACCACAGCCAGTCTGTTTACTTTCCTAAATCCTCCGAGGTCTGCCAGGAGTTTTCCGTTGAAATTTTTCTGTCTGACATTGGACGTTAAGTCTCTTTTGATCTTTGCTGCTTGCTCTGATCGGATTGAGGCTCTGTGACGACGTGCAGTGGACTTTGAGAGAGAGATAACAGCCTCATATCCCCGTATCTTCACCGAGCATTGCGATGCAGTGTCTCCTCGAACCGTCACTGAGGAAAAGAAATGTTCACAAATCTGATTTATTTTTCAATAATAATGAACATGCAATATACATGAAGGTTTTAACAAACAGGGTTCAAGCCAGGCAGCATGGTTGAATAGTGAATAGTAATACCTGATAGTGAGAGAAACAACTGCACCAAGACTGAAGACGAATGAACTCCGTAAATTTCTGGATGAAAATAAATCGTCTTTGCAAATTGTAGATCCCCTCCTAAAAATATAATCTATATTTAAGAGATGTAAACATCGATTAGATCAGGTACTAAGTTCTGTACGTGACATAGACTAAGTGTAATTTTGGAATTTAGTCAAAAACCCACCCACCGACCCTTCTGTGGTATTAAATGTTGAGAAATCACGGTACTAACTGTGTCTTAGTATATAAACAGCTTTAAACAGCTCATTAAACAGTGGGAAAATTATACCCACTAGGGGTTTTGTTTTCAATGTAGTCGAATTAGATGAAATAAAAAGTTACAAAAACAGGAATGGGTTTTTTGGGCTTAGTACCATGTACCTGTTTTTCTGGGAAATGTGCCATGTACTAACTGTGTTTTGGAAGAAAATATGACCCACCCCAACGTCACCTACGGTACTAAGTGTATGATCCCCCCCCCCCCCCCCCCCCCGATTACAATCTAGCGATTGTACCAATACAAGTGTGTGGCTATATTGATTGATCCATGTCACGTGTCATTTGTACATAATATGATCTCTTAAAACTATTAATACTATATTCGAAGTGTTCTAAACGGTAAACATCCTTCATTCGTGTTTATTAAATTTTCGGCGAAATAACCACCGAAAAACAGTTCACTTTACCGTCTGTACTTGAAAATTCACGGGACGAACTTATGAATATATCGAAGTTCCGGTGTTGTGTTATAGTGATTTATGGACCGTTCACATAATACGTAATCAACACAGAGTCAGTATTACTAATTATTATCGAAATATATTATACGACTGAAAGGTCAAGCTGTCTTAAATCCTGAGACAAAAGATTTAACGGAAGCTTCCTGAAAAAATCACACATTGAATAATTAAGCTAAATAACGATACAGTTAATTCCCCCCCCCCCCCCCCTTCCCCCGCCCCATCGGCTGATTAAGTAACATATGTCAACACCCCGGCCCCTCAGTACGCCGGTGATAAAAACCGGAAGAGAGGAATGTGTGTACAGAGCTGAGTCAGCTCCGAGCTGAGTGTAGATAACTGATTTGAGTGACACACTATAAACTATTCAATTTTAACTGTTTAGAGAGATTTTCAAAGAACGTTCCATGGTTCCTAGAATACCAAATAAAAGATTCGAAATGTAGCATACAGTGAATATGTCCCTATAAAACATTGTAATGTAGATTATTATTATCGACAATATAGGCAGTCGGCAGAGTGAATGAGTTCAGCCATCTACAGATTATCGGGAGACCCCCGAATTGCCCGTATCCATGGAAACGTAAAAAATACTTAGACGTCGCTCATCCTTTCGCAGGTAAGTTTAAGGCATATCTTTTCTAAAACGGAAGAAAGACTGATTGTTTTAGTTCCATCCAGTTAAACCCAATTGTCAAGCGACAAAAGATTTATGAATGTGCTAGAACCTGGTGTCCCTATATGTAGACGAGATTATTTGTGAATTATTTTTACGACTATGATCATTTTCTCAGACTGTCAAAAGAGACAATTTTGAAAAAGCGTTGAAAGACCTACTGGATCAAATCAGCTTTGGATCAATGCCGTTTCTCGATAATGACTTGACAGAGGGTATTATCAAATTGATTGTACAGGAGTGCCACAAAATCTGCTTTCCACAAGATTTGGATGCCTTGGTGTCGGGGTTGAGTGAGTCAACTAAATTGGACATCATGGAAATATTTTACGATATTTTTAGATTGAAGAAGGTCGACGGGATTTCGATGTAGTTATGTCTTATAGCAGTCGCAAATACATTTGACATAATATTGGACACCCCCCTTAGTACCATGTACCTGTTTTTCTGGGAAATGTACCATGTACTAACTGTGTTTTGGAAGAAAATATGACCACGGTACTAAGTATATGATCCCCCCCCCCCCGATGCTATCATGATTGCATAGAATTATGTACTGTGAATATGTTAAATTACAGCATTACCAAGTATAATTAGTTCACAGATCCACGCCCTACCTACCAAACTGTTACACAACATGAAGGCTTTGATTTGCTTCTAATTTAAGAGCTATAAAGTGTATGAGAAAAATCAACTATAACAGGTTTAGATGTTTACCTGAGTTCTGTATCGTTCGATAGCAACTCCATCTATACATCTAGTCAGCAAGCCATTACTCTACGTGTATTCCACCAGTACTTGCGATCCTCGTTGCAGCTTTCGCATGTTTTATGGGTCCAGCTTTCGCAGTTAATGGCTTCTACCTTGCGATTTCGTAGAAGGTAGACCATTTCTTGCTGTCACGGGCTAACTAAATGGCATAGGAACATTGAAGAGCGACCAAAGCAGCCTCATTCAGTGCTTTCTTCTTCGTCCTCTTCGTCAGTCCAAAGCAGTTGAGTAGAGCTGGTAACCCAATCTCTACCGTAAAGAGCTGAGCTTTCCAAACTCACCCGTCGATGCCAGCTCTAGCTGTTGTACCTTACATATTTACGCACGACTTGGTCACCACAAGTCAGTTCTATCAGAACCACTTCTCTCTACAATTTCAGGTCTCTCGGATGTGTTGTAGATGTGTTGTATCGTGTCCTCGTCCCAGATCAGCATCCAGTCATTCGCCCTCTCAAACGGCATCTCCTTCCTCAACTTCAGCTCATCATAGCTCCCATTCTTCAACTTGAACCGTAACGATTATTTGTCGGAGGGCGTGGAAAATGCGGAATTGTACGTCTTGAGTTGGTCTAGCAAGGCTCCAGCTATGACACGCAGAACGTTGTCATGCCTCCAGTTGTATCTCTTGGAGTTTCTTGCTACACTACAGACAGTAGACAGCCAGGATGTGGTTGATGTTGCACGTCTTCCAAAAGTTTCCTGTCCTCGAATAGCTTCACAGCTTCATATTAGCAGGGGTATTAGCCACATCCTTTTGTCGAGTTTAGATGGAATTTAAGGAGCTGGGCTCATCTTGTAGTTGTAGATGAGGTTGTTCCAATAAAGTCTAATTGCGTTGTGTCTCCCATGTCAAGAACCTGCCCTGTACTACCTTGTTCACCAGGGTGACTAGCATGTTTACATCTGAGTCCTCCTCGGTCTTAAGTTACTACAAACAGCTCCTGGAAGTAGAGATCTCGCTCCCTAGCAGTCAGCTCCGTCGTATACGACCATTTTGAGCTGCTATTCTGCTTGTTATTCTAGGCTTGTTATATAAGGCTTCTATACATTTAGTGTTATCACTATTCTTCAAGGCGTATCCGTTTGATACCTGAAGAGACTTGTATTAAACTAAATTGATAATTCATTGCGATTATAATCATGATAGAAAATTTGATGAACCTATTAATTATATAGTATTATGATTATATAGTGCAATAAGAGTTTCTACCTTTTTCACCTAAGCTAAAATATATTAGTTTAATCTGAAAATCACTTAAAACCTTACCGAACAATTGCAGTCTAGCCTGGTTGCGACATCATTAGAAGAGAGAAATAATTGAAATCCAATTCAGCAAGAGTCAAGATTCGCCCAGGCAGTTGATCAGAAACCATACTTCCTGCAAATTTGGTAGTTATAAGTCATGTCAACCTAGGAAATTGTTTCAGAGTATTTCTCTGATTCTGTCGTGTTGATCATCATTTCACAATGCCTCAGCCGTACTAAAACACAACCTACGATTTGAAAGGGCTCCCGTATGTTTGTTTTATGTGGTCAACATCGTAGAATACACACGCTATACACTATGGTTTCAGAGCGGATACTAATCTCATGCTGCAGTGTTAATAAGCATGAAAGTACAAAAGGAAACAAAATCTTATCAACTACACAAATTCAGGTTATTAAATGATAAAACAACTTCTTATCTACTCCAGCCCTAATGTCATAACTGATCACATATTATCTCACCACTCCCTATATTTACAATATTTGACTGGGAAATTAGCAAGGCCAAAAATATTCGCAAGCACACTCAATATTATGACTATTAAAAATCAAACACTGATAAATTTGCTGAAGTCTTGGGTAACAAACTAGACAAGAGGAAGTGTGTCAAACAGTATTATATATACATTCAATTAAATCAAGTGATGCAATACAAACTAGACAATGAACCAATTATAGATTTTACTAACTTTCATGATATCTTTGAAAAAAGCATTGACGAAACCTGCAAACTAGCTGTACCCAAAACCACTAAGCGCACTATCCAGAACAACCCCTGGATTACTGGCGGGATTATAGCCTCAGTAAACCACTGCCATGGACTGTATGATGACTGGGCGAAAGTCAGGAAAGTCCAGTGTAAACAAGGCGAAACTGACACAAAAGGGGGCACATGCCTGTGTTCTATCTGCTGTAATAAAAGATACCGTTATGATGACTACATATAGAAATATAGAAAGGCTCTAAAAAAGGTTCGTAAAAAGGCTGTATCTGATTATTATTCTGAAAAGTTTCTTGAAACTCAGGGAAACTCTAAGAAAACCTGGGAACTGATAAATAAAATTCGTGGCAAACAGAAACGTGATATCAGACCTATATTTACCATAGACAATGAAAAGATAACTGATCGTAGAGTTATAGCTAATGAATTCAATATAAGTATTTTGTATTCCTAGCATCTAACCTTAAATTTAATGCAGCCTACACAGAACTAGGAGAGATACAAATAAATCAGCTTCCAAGTTTCTGTGACTTCTTACCTAAATCGAATACAGCTAATATATATCTACATGACTGCTCACCTGAGGAGGCTAATATAATGTAACTTGCCCAAGCGATAATCATGTTATTGTATGACTCCTACATTTAGGCTGCGATTAAGAGGTAAATAGGGGTGTGATAACCTAAGACTAGGAGGGTACAAAATTACGGCCACGGTCCTTTTAAGTTTCGATTGTTTAATATTTAGCTGAAAATACGACACCGATAATAGGTAAATACCGATTAAACGATTGGTATTGGTCAATATACTCACCATGTATAATTAATCTCAGCAATAATGGATACTAATCCGAACAGCCGGCCTGGTAACATAGTAATGTATCTCTTGACATATATTAATGATATTGAAATACGATATTTTGGGGAAATATGTTATGATCGGCCTATGCTGCTCAGTCGAACAAGCCTATTAAACCAATTTCAACATTCAACAACCATGCTACTTCATAAATCAATGATTGAAAATTGAAATATCAAAATTGGACAGTGATCTTGACTTACCCTCATTATAAGGGCCTCATACAATATATATATAAATATGTACATATATTAAATCAGTTTCTGTATAAAAGCATTTAAACCGGCGTTGACAGTTTTGAAGTTACTGTAAAAGAGGACATTAGTTTCTAGTAACTGAACTAACTTACACAAACTCAAACAAGTCAGTCGAGTTTCTGTATAATTTGCTTAATAAGCTGGTAATCGTACCGTTCCCAATGTAAATGAAAAGATTCCTGACCTTCAATTTGCTGAGTAATAGATCATACGGAATTAATGAATTAAATGGTTTCAGCCCAAGATTGCTTAATTACTACAAAACACAACATGTTCTATCAAAATTGAGAAGAAACGTAACTATAATGGCGCAGGAGGGTCAACCTGAAAAGAACATTGCTTGACCCTCCTGCCCCACCGCATGGATCAGGAGGTTCATTTCAGAAACAGTGCTTGACCCTCCTGCCCCACCACATGGATCAGGAGGTTCATTTCAGAAAAAACAGTGCTTGACCCTCCTGCCCCACCACATGGATTACGGGGGTCACCCACAAAAACAGTGCTTGACCCTCCTGCCCCACCACATGGATTACGGGGGTCACCCACAAGACCATGTGCGCTGCACTTATTTCTACATCGCGCGCGATACGTGTGTGCGTGATTACATGAAATATTACCGCGCCCTACGCCAAGTAGACGAAAAGCGTGGTCGAAGAGCGAGAGTCGGTACAATAAATAAAACGAGAGTTGGTACATTTAACTGGCATTTTTTAACCGTGGTACAATCAGAATTGAATACAGCCGACACAGGATGAGGGGGGGGGGGGGGGGCAATGACTACTGATGGAGACTTTTGAGCACCAATGGGGACGAAAATCATAGGGACTGAAGGTCAAATCGCTGGTGAAATTTTCCATTTGTCCCCATAAGTACCCAAAGTTTTGGCGAGTTTTATGTAGTTTTGATATTATCTTTTATTAAATGACTTCTAAAGGAGACTTTTGGGTACCAATGGGGGCTAAAAATCTTGGAGACTTGAGGTTAAATTGCTGGCGAAATTCTGCACTTGTCCCCAAAGTACCCAAAGTCATTGGCTCCCCCCCCCCCTCCCCCGGGTGAGGTGACGGAGAAAAATAAACTGAGCTCAAGGCTACATTTCCAGATATCCCGCCACGGCACCGTCGCTCATGCTGCAAAGTGTGTTGAGAGATGCCCACGTCATCACACGTAAACTGTGTCACGAATACCTGAAATGCAGACGTGCAGAACAAACATAACTCTGATCTATATTTTTCATAAAACTTTCAGGATTTGCCAATGAGGGAAAAGACAGCACTGTCCGAGAAGCTAGAAATGCATGAATCATAGGTGACATGGATAGGGGTAAGAAGTTTTTTAAAAACATGAAAATTGTGAAAGGAAAAGAAGTAGAAATGAGAAAGGGTAGATTTAAAATGTTTGAGAATCGATTTTGTGCTGAAGAACTCCGTCCGCAGGACGGGCTTCCGGCTACTTATGATAATTCGAATAAATTTGAGATTCAAACAAGCTACGAATACGAATGCTTATAGCAGTGGCAAGCTCTTGTTTGCTGCGCATTGGCTGCAATGTATAACCGCAGTATGAACTGTCAAAATATTTGAATTTGCTTACCTAGTGGCTTTGTTTGATAAAGCATACATACTTTATATACCGATAAATCAATAACTCCTTTTGATTCTTCGGTTTGAGAATTGTGCGGTCACACATCTCTGCAATGTCTGAAAAGGTGGCAGGGAAGTATTGAAACTTACTTAACACTATATTTACAGTTAAACCTTGAACTACTATAACTAGGGCAGTAGGAAACGCCAAAAAGTAGATCATCTGACTAAAACAACTTAACTTCATCCAAGAGTCTAGTTAGCAGCATTGTAGCGATAAGATACCACCATAGTTTGAGCTGTCGACACTGAAATAAAACAAACAATTTACTTTTCACTACTGCAGGGGAATGCATGTAACATATAAAGAATAAAGATATAATATATTGTATGTTTTTCATCGTGGCCTCAGGGGAGAAGGGCAGCTCGAAAAACCGAAAAAAGTCTAAAAAACCGTGTTGGAGCTGGTGAGTTAAAGCTACCGATCTCGATCGTGAGAGTCAGATGATCAGATCGCATGTAACGTGAGTTTCGCCCGCCTGAATAAGGCAACATGAAATCATATTGCTGGTGACAGGTCTCGACCAAGATGTAAAATAAAGATACCCCAAATTTGTTATTTTTAAGCCGATTCACATCGACCCAAGTCTCTGCTTTGACCCTAAATGCTCAAACTTCGTTAATAGATTGGAAAATCGTGTTATGCTTGTTACTAATAACTGTTGTTTGTGAGAGGACATCTCGATTTCCCGGATCAGAGGATCACACCAATGAGGGGTTGATTGTGCATGTGTGAACTTGACTAAATTTTCAAATTGCCCGATTTTTTTTCAGTAGGTCACATTACTCGTGACGTGCAAATGTATCTTTTGTCTTTTAATAGGTCAAGCTCAGAGCTTTAAAGCTTTAAAGACTTCTCCGTGACAAAGACGGCCGACATATATCTTTACTCCAGGAAAAGTCAGAACTCTTTCCACACCACATTCTTAAATGTACACGACAGCAGAACGACGATGTAGCCCCACGCCGCAGTAAACTTTAAATTTCTGACCCGGAACGAGCCCAGCAACTGTAGACAGCTGCGTGAGCTATGTACGGTTAGCAGATTTAAGAGCTTATGCAATAAGCAGTCACCGTTCACTCTCATTTTTGACTTTTCTTCTTTTGAACAACAAATGTCCATTGAATGATGCCAAGCTAAGCGATTATGATTAGAAAAGTACCGTGATTTACACTGATGGCTCATACAAGGACTTGTTGGACTTCGTGAATTTGGAGGACCTGCAGCTGTAATCAGTACTTCACTACCAGATGTGCGAGGCCGAGGTTCCCGTTTGACAACATTACAAGTGGACCACCCAGGCCGGGATGATCACGCGCTAGTTGACATGAGATCTGATTCTCCCGGGAAAATTGGGCGAGATGACCGGTGTCCTGTCAGAGGTCACGGATACAAGGATACAAAAATATAAATATTTTATTGTACAATTACAATAGTCGTATAAACTTGACAAATTCGCCTACCATCACGTGACCCTCGTCAACGAGCAAGTGAAAAATGTGTTCACAGCATTTATATTATACGGTAACTACACCATAGATTGACAAGCTAAGCGTACAGAAAAACGTCCAACTCCTGACTATAATAAAACTCCGGTATAATAGCGTTTTTGACGGAGCAATTTAATGGCCTGGAGTAGGA